TTACATTCATTAAAATAATGTAAAAATGTGGAAGTAATCTCAGGAGTCTCAGGAAGTAATCAAATAAGTTCCTTTAAATTTTGTATTTTAACATATAAAATTACATTCATTAAAATAATGTAAAAATGTGGAAGTAATCTCAGGAGTCTCAGGAAGTAATCAAATAAGTTCCTTTAAGTTTTGTATTTTAACATATAACATTACATTCATTAAAATAATGTAAAAATGTGGAAGTAATCTCAGAAGTCTCAGGAAGTAATCAAATAAGTTCCTTTAAGTTTTGTATTTTAACATATAAAATTACATTCATTAAAATAATGTAAATATGTGGAAGTAATCTCAGGAGTCTCAGAAAGTAATCAAATAAGTTCCTTTAAGTTTTGTATTTTAGCATATAAAATTACATTCATTAAAATAATGTAAAAAATGTGGAAGTAATCTCAGGAGTCTCAGGAAGTAATAAAATAAGTTCCTTTAAATTTTGTATTTTAACATATAAAATTACATTCATAAAATAATGTAAAAATGTGGAAGTAATCTCAGGAGTCTCAGGAAGTAATCAAATAAGTTCCTTTATATTTTGTATTTTAACATATAACATTACATTCATTAAAATAATGTAAAAATGTGGAAGTAATCTCAGAAGTCTCAGGAAGTAATCAAATAAGTTCCTTTAAGTTTTGTATTTTAACATACAACATTACATTCATTAAAATAATGTAAAAATGTGGAAGTAATCTCAGAAGTCTCAGGAAGTAATCAAATAAGTTCCTTTAAGTTTTGTACTTTAACATATAAAATTACATTCATTAAAATAATGTAAATATGTGGAAGTAATCTCAGGAGTCTCAGGAAGTAATCAAATACGTTCCTCAAAATTTTTTATTTTAACATATAAAATTACATTCATTAAAATAATGTAAAAATGTGCATATCCCCCAATTTAAAATTTCAATTATTATAAACTTTTTTGCTTGCTGCTGGTTCAACATGTGGGCCACGGGTTATGGTACAACATGGTGCACCTTAAGCAATGGGTTAAATAAAATAATAAAAAATTGTAAGTAATTATAATTATTTTTTGTCATGAATAAACGAATGGAATTTTTGTATAAACGAATTTTTATGTAATGTATCCAAAAAATTTTCAATTAAATTAAAAAACTCTCGATATACAGCGATAAAATTAAAAGATATTTTACTAACTTATAATTATACTAGAGGTCCCGATTTTCTAATAACAAAAAAAAATTTAAAAACATTTCGTCTCTTTGAGTTTGTCGCAGTATGTATTATTTTACTACGTATATTTATTTATATGATCAGAATACGATGCTATTAGATTCAATTTTAATGGTTTGACGAAGGCAAAATAAAAATACTAATTAATTAGTGTTACGAAAGTTTCAGTTAAGTTTTTAAAAAATATGGATAATTAGAATAATTTTAAGTATTTAAGTCGTAAGAACGGTCAAAAAGTAGTGTCTTCTAATGATAATTGAACTTTTTTACTTATTTTGCAATATCTTTGGAATAAACTTAAAACAAAAAAAGCTTTTATTAAATAAACTTTTTTACCAAAGAGGATTCCAGGCAAAAAAATATTAATAATTATGTATTATTTTTAATTTTATAAGGATTAACAAAAAATTCTTCGATACCTTAAAAGAGTATTATTAAGAGATAAGAACTAAGTTTTTAACGTGACTAGTTGAATAGCTTCTAAGAAATAATTATTCAATTAATTTCTTTCATTATTATTTTTTAGATTAAAAATTTAATAGTTTAAGGGATGCAAAACTTTTTATATCTTAAGTTTAAAGTTTATCTATCATTCTAAACCCAAATATTGAGAACAAGAAATAATTATTAAAGATTTTTTTTAGTTTTGAATTGTTTTGGGGAAGTTTTAAAATGATTTCAAAAAGGATAACGAGTTTAAAATTGCTCTTAAAAGCTTTTCGATTTACACAAATATCTCTAGATTTAGGGAGAAAAAATAAAAATAACATTATAGTACGACAGGCATAAAATATTAGGCTATTTAAAATGGAACTAGAATTTAAATATTGTTTGAGATTGACCATTAGACATATGAAACAGTTGCAAAACAATTATTTACAAAAAATCATGTCAGCGTTTAATTTTACGAATTAATTTAGCTTCAAGACTCACGAAACACCGGTGTTTTTTTCTGTGTTAAAGGTAGCATTTTCCGATCATTGCTTACTTCCAAACAATATTTTTTCAAAATTGCACTTATTTGCAGTTATTTAAATCTAAGAGAAACAGTTATTCATCATTAAATTTTTTTTAATTTACAAAATAAGCTATTCATAACGTTTTAGTTACGAATGAAAAAAAATTTTCAAGCTCTTATACTTTTTTGGATTTTATATTTTTGTACAAATATAATTCCGATAATCTAACACATTCTCTTAGTCACTATTAGACTAGTTTTTATAATTAAAAAAATACCAGAATAGCTTTTTGCTTGTAATTAGAACGTCAGAAGAAAAAAATAATGCGTGAAAAGGATGTTAAAGGATTAAGCGTGACTTTTCTCACGGCATTTATACTTTTCAAAAAAATAGACAATAACATGATAATTTAATGAAACTTTTAGTGACTAAATAGGAAAAGAAAATTCAAAATAATGATAACTATATCTATAGTCTGGCAATTCAAACTGACTGAAATCAGCAGTGAGTGCTCATCACGCGATTGCCAGATAGTAACAAAACTACATTCATAGAAAAATAAATATTTTTTATTTTATTCTGTCACATTGGATAATTACATTTTTTTAACCAATGAATTCAGCGATCAGTGCAATGCATACTTTATAGCACATTGACGCGACCTGCAAACATTATCATTTCATTCCTGTTGTCCATAATTGCAAATATGAAAGGGTGGTTTGCATTGAACACCACGGGAGGAATTAGAGGCATGGGCGCCATTATTGGCATAACAATTGCTGTTGCAGCAGCTGCTTCACTTCCTTCTTCATTTACTTCAATGGCTGCTTTATGCATAACCTGGCTGACATATAGACCGGCATCAGCAATACCTGTGAAGTTGGCCTTCGAACCATCAAAAACATCAGCGGCACCCACAGCCTTGAAATCACCAGTCATGTCTCGTGAATATTCAACCTCGAATTTTGGAAGCGAAAGAATTACTTTTTGCTCATTAAGTTGCTTCCGTACGGAGGCTATTGTTTCAATCGTTAAATTCTCTTCCACAGCTGATAGTCCATCAAGCTCATTGGGTAGTAAAATCATCATACTTATGTTATTGCCCTTGTATGGTAGCTCTATCACTTGTGCATCATTAGTTGTGGCATAATTAAATTTATCTGTTAAATGCATGAAATGAACTTGCCTGCAAGAGAAAGAAAGCTTGTTAGAAAACAACGCAAAAAGATCAAATGAAATTGACTAAACAGCGCGAATCAATTTTTGTGCTAGAAGCAAATTTTAGAGAGAGTCCAACCATACTATCGTTCAAAGTATTTAAAACCTTACCATTGATCTATATTGAACCATATTATGGAACTACATTATACCATAATACTTGAACTTCATTACACGATACGTACTATGACTCAATTTCAACAGAAATATGGTTCAAATTAACGCCTTATTGAAATTCCAGATTTGAATGAACATCAAATGAGGGAATTATATTAAATTTCAAAATTTAAATGAAAGTTAAGTTTGGGAAAAGAAAAAATTTGAGAAGAAAGTTTTATTTAGGATTTTCAGCCGGCCAAGAAATTGGCAAAACTGGTCAAAACATTCCTACGTAATATTTGAACAACCTCCCCCCTCCCCTTTATGCAATCGAGTTAAAATTCAAAATAATCTGGAAAAAGTAGATGGAAAGAAAGCAGAAAGAGAAGCAGAATAATTATGAATGGTGATATAGGTAATAAACAAGAAATATTTTGTAATAAACATAAAAAATAAATTAATTAAATGCAGTTAGTTTCAAAACAACTTGAATTATTAAAATAGTTATTAGCATTCTTTAGAGCATGAAAGATTTATTGAACAATAGTCTGGAAAGTCTATTATTCTAAAAGTTTTTGAACAGAGATTAATCTTACTTGAAAAAAATCGATAAGTAGAATAATACCTCTGAATAGCACATTTCTGATAGTTGAGAAGTTTATACAATATCTAATACCATAACAGTCATGTGGCATTGTAAACTCTTCAGATATGAATATTGACTTAACTGCTTAAAATGATAAGTAAAACTTATAAAACACAGTTATTTTTTACCAACGAGAATTTACGTTGGTGGATCACTTATCGACTGATACATATTGCTCAAGGTTGATTTTTTTTTATTAATTTAAAAAATTGCAACTGCTACTCACAAAGTCATAAGTTTTTTTCACAATTTCAAATGTTTTGAATTCTCAATTCTATGAAATATGAAGTACCAGAATGCGGATCTAATCATGTTCTTTTAAAATGTATGTTACTATGCTGATTTTGCTAATTGCGTTCAATTAATTTCAAAATAATCCATTTCCTATTTTATAACAAGAAAATATGATTCAATTGAAACTGAATTATGAATATTTTCAGTGTGTTTGTATACATCTTTTCAACTTTTTAAGCAAAAACTTTTTAAATAGTTAAATTTATTAAGGCCACTGATTAAAAAAAAATGCAGTTTGCATCTGATACATTCATATGAATTGATAAAAATTGTCTTAAAAACAGTAAGTTTCAAAGGCTAATAAAGTTTGCAAATAATGTGTACGTCATAATTTTTTTTCCGCTTTAAACCATTGAAAAGCATTGCCTCTACCTAAACAAAGATGTAGAAACCCGTGACTGTTTTGTGAAAACAGCTCCTGGATTTCTGAATCGAGCCCTGTTTGGAAGATTATTAAGAAAATTACTGCACTTAGCCCTGCGTTAAAGTTATATAGCTGTGTTTCTTAAACTTGTCTGTAAATATCCGTATAATTTTTTCTTCAATGACAGAAAAGATTTTTTATTTTTCTGTTTATTTAATTTGCAAATAATTATGTCTCACGCGTAATTTTAATTAAAACTAAATCTAAACCCAAAATCAATTAAAGAATTTATAACATCAAACTCGCATTTTTATTGCTTTCCCTTGCCTCGCTCCGAAAATTTATTTGCATGACTGTTATCTCAATTACGCAACATAACAGCAGAAATAAGATATAATAATAAACACAAAAAATGTATTTACTGTGCATTTGCCAGTACACCATCATTGTAAAAATCTTGTTCATTGGTAGCTGAGGTCTTAAATTGAGTTTGCCATGTTCCTTTGAAATAAACCGCATTTAGAAGAAGAAGAGCTGCGCTTGGATCAAGTTGCTCGAGCAGTTTCTTTATTTTGCCGTGAGTCTTTTCCTCGACCCAGTGATTGACCTTTTCTATTACTTTGGAACCATCCTCCCCGAAGTTAACTTCTTCTATAGGCGCGTGGAAAAGACTTTCCACTTCTTCTTTGAAAGCCGGCTTCAAATGCAGCCCATCTTGGACCAATATTTGATTGGCAATTTCCAGTATGTATGCAGAATTGTTAGTATTAGGAGGAGGGAGTTCTTCTTCTAAAAGATGATAAAACAAATTTGAAACTTCCTCAGAGTTTAAGCCTGCCTCTTCGTAACCTAATGCATGCCTTAGGATCTGAAAAAAAGAAAACCGAAGTTACTTGTTTATTTTTTCATAAATTAGGAAATAAAGTCAAAATGCTACCTTAATTAGTTTTTGCAAAACTCTATGAAAGAATACGCATGACTGAAAAGCTTAAGGGAAGAGCATATTTTGTACAGTTATGAAAATACTCAATATCGCAGGTTTAAAAAAGGTGTTGTAGATTAGTTGTGCTATGCGTAAACAATAATTTATTCTGTTAATTGATTAATAAAACAATTAGTGTTCGAATTAAAAAAAATCTTTTATAATAGATTTTTATGCATTCTTAATTTTTATGAAATTTTATTGATTAATGATAATTTGTCTCAAATTCACCACGGTATCACTTAACGTGTTATTTTAAAAGGCTCTCACATGTTAGAGATATTTTCAAAAATTTTTTAAATTGGTCTGTCTCCAAAACATTATTTCACTCTTTTCCTAAATAAATATATTTTCAATGCTCCTTTGCAAAAAGATATTTTCTCAATAGCTTCTAAATGGTCCAGTTTTTCATCGAAAATTATAAAGCTGATTATTTTTAAATTCCTTAAAATTCCACTTCAATGTTTCAATAAGATATTCACTTGTTCAAGATACTGTAAAAAAGTGTTCAAAAATTTTTTGTGTTTTTAATTATTTTAAATATTGATTAGTTGAATGAAAGAAATGTTTTAACTACCACCAAATTATTACAATAACTGCTCAATCATTGAAATGTTTTGTTTTTTTTTCATGACACTGAATGAAAATCTGAGAACATTTTGTTTACATTGCTTCTACGGTTAATTGAAATAATGAATCACTTAATTGGAAAAAAAATTTCAATCAAGCAAAATTCGACAAATCTTAAGTAGTTGAGGTCAAAAATAAGATAAAATTTAGAAAAAAAGCTCTTAAATATTTAAAACTTAATATTTTCAAAATTTGAATTAACATATTTTTTTCACTAATTTTTCCAAAGTGTATGTTACTTATTAGCGTATAAATACATAATTTAACGAAAGATTAGAGATAAGAAAGTCTATAAAGGTCAATTTTATAATAGTTAAATGTTGTCTATGACATGACATACAACATGTGCGGGTTATAGATTCTGGAATAAACCAATTGTAAGGGAATTTTCTCATTTATTTCATTATTGCTCATAGACTGAGAAACTTATATTTTTACAACCGTTATTAAATTCCAAGTTAGCCATTTTAAACCTGCAATGATGAGGAGTTTTCTCTGTTTTTCGCTATAGCGCTAATCACTATAGCTTTGCGGAAAATTTCATGAGCCACTTGCGGATTGACTGGAGAGATGATAAGCGACTGCGAAGAGAGAAATCTGATGCAAATCAATGCTCGCATTCTAAGTTATTAGTTATTCCCAAGTTTTTTTTTTCTATAATAGAGTGTGTTGGACAAGACCAGTAAAAAAAGATTTTTTAATACTGCATGAAAACAACTTAAATGCAGGTGAGGAGGAAATATTCTAGAAAGATTTTTTAAAAAATATGCAGGAAATATGTAAGAAAAAATACTCCAAGTAAGCAATATGTAGAAAAAACTTCAAGTCAATAGGTGAACCCATTTTAAACCTGATATGATGAGTTTTTTCTATTTTTTCCCTATAGTGCTAATTCTATACTTTGCAGAGAATTTCACAAGCCACACACGGGATGACTGCAGGTATGATAAAGGACTGCGGAAAGTATAACCTGATGCAAATTTAATGCTCGCCTTCTGAATTATTAGCGAACATAACGGCCTCTATTTCTATTTTTATGAAAAAGTAGTTAAAATATAAAGATAGCAGTTCATGAAATAGAAATAGAATGTAGTCTTACTGTTAAAATAATTCTTATAATGCAAACGAAAGTATTATTTCAATATTTCGCTTAAAAAAGTAATGTCTCTGTTAAATAATAACATACTGTAATGATAATATATAAACATAACTATGGCAGTGGTATACATTTTGCTCCGATTGATAATACACTCGATAATATACGACGCACCAAGAAGGAGTTGTCCGATTAAAACGAAAATTGGTGGACAGGAAGACAATGTACAGAATAGTAAATGATAAAAATTTCAGAATAATTGAATAATTTACTGCAGAGTTACAGTAACAAGTTCAATAAGGTGTTGACCCGCCTCTAGCCTGGATACAAGCTGCCACACGGCGTGGCATAGACTGATAAAGCTCCCGGATGTTCTCTTGCGGTATTTCCTGCCAAATTCGACCCAATTGTCGAACGAGGTCATCAACATTCCGTGTCAGATGCAATCGCCTTCCCATCATATCCCAGACATGCTCGATGGGAGAGAGATCTGGTGATCTGGCAGGCCAAAGAAGAGTTTGACAAGCTTGCAGACGGTTCATAGCAACACGTGCCATGTGTGGTCTGGCACTGTCCTGCTAAAAAACCAGCCCAGGACGCTGCAAAAGGAACGGTAGCAAAACAGGTCTTAGGATGTCGTCGACGTACCGCTGTGCAGTAAGTGTACCTCTAATGATGACCAAAGGGGTACGGCTGTCAAAGGAAATGGCACCCCAGACCATAATGCCTTGTTGAGGGCCAGTGTGGCGTGCAGTAGTGTAGGCAGGATCCCCCTTCTGCCCTGTGCGTCTCCAAACACGGCTTCGATGATCGTCAGGACACAGTTGGAAGCAGGATTCGTCCGCCCCAGTCGGCATCATTCCAGCCTGATCGAGCCATGCACCACTGTAATCTGTAATCGATTTTTTTTTTGTTATAGAGTGTATTTTGCTCCCCAACAAGTCTAGGAATAAATTTCCCGCCCTCCCCAAAACGATCATGAAAAATCGTAAGAAGTTTTTCAATAATCATGACCTTTATTTACTTACTTTGATTGTATTATCTCTAGCGCCATGGAAAAGCATTCCAAAAGCCATAGACAAGCTCAGCGGTGAAAAGAAGATGTTTTTAGTATATCCATTTGCTAACTGTTTGTAAAGTTTGAGTGCTAAATGATTATTAGCTGCCGCTAGTTGCCCAACTTTTACTTTTATATCTTGCTCATTCTCCTCTGAAAAACTGACTGTCACTTTAAGAGCGAAGAACACCAAGAAGAATCCGCAAATCTTTAGCTTAAAGGACATCTTTTCGATTTGCTGTGAAATACAAGTGAAGAATCAGTTATAAAAAGAAAAAACGTTTTAAACTCATGCTAATCAAGTACAGAAATGAATATGCTATAATTTCGATTTTCAAGAGAAGAACCTTCCTCTTTGTCTAAACACCAAACATAATTAGAAAAATAAAGAGATACTTTATCTCATTACTTTTCTAAAGCCATTTGGTGTTAAGACGCTGAGGAAAGCTCTAGTCTAGAGAAGTGGTTCCCAAAAGGTGTTCCTCGCGGAACCCTGAGGTTCCTTTAAAGGATCATAAAGGCTACGAGGATTAGGACTTTTTTTAAGCCAGTTATGATCTTTGAAATTCTTAATTCCATTTATAGGTAATCAATAAATCATTATTAATTTAATATTTTGGTTGTTTTCATGAAATAAAAATAAAATTCCAGAAAAGAAGTAAATAGTACTATTTTAAAAAAATGAATAGATTGAATGAAATATGAAATAGACATGCATATTATAGTAATCTGCATTAGCATTCCACATCGAACTATTTAGTTCAAAATAAAATGACTAAAGTAAACGGCAAAGAAATATGTTCCCCTAACAACCATTTTCCAACATTTATAACAATTCTTTTTCGTTTTTAAAACTTAATTGAAAGTTACACTTTAAAAACTCGGGTGACAAAAATTCCATTTGAAGATGATAAAAAGATGAGCAATTGAAAATAATTATATTTATGTTAAATATTTTAAAAATAGTTAGTTGCTATTCTTTAATTAATTTTCCATAATGCTAATAATGATTGGGGCTCCGCCCAAAGAAAAAAGACTATTTAAGGTTCCATAGTCGAGAAAACTTGGGAACCGTTGGTCTAGAGAACCGAAACTATAGTATGATCATATCCGTACTTGATTTGGGCTTTATTGTTTTATATGTTTTTGTTCAATTTAGTTTACGTGGCAAACGTTAATAATGTCCTTTTGAATTTTGCTTACGAATTTCGCTTATTTAAGAGTACATTTAAAAGTACAGTTTTCTTAAAAGTTTAAGTACATTTAAAAGGTTATTTTTTTCCTTAGTGAAACAACACTGTGAATTTCAGAAAAATTTCGATAAATAATCCTTCCAAAAGCATTTTATCGAATTCCACTGATCTGAAAGATTATGCAATCTTGATCAAGAAATTCGGAGTTAAAGTTCCAGATCATAACGTTAAAATAGAATGATTATAAAACATTTACCACACTCTTAAAAAAATTTACTCACATCAACGTAAGTTGCTACATGTGTTTTAATTTGTGGTAGTTTTCTTAAGTTAAATTTTGACTAAGTTTTAAAAGTGTTTTTCAAGTGTTTGCAGATACTTTGAGAAAATTAGACATCCGCATTCTCCCATGAATCAATTAAAATAAATTGTGCGATAAGATAACTCACTACTTTATTTTTCATTAAATCGATATCACGAGGAAACAATTTTTTTCGTTGTGTTTATATAAATACTTGATCTTGCCTAATTCGGGTGGGAGAATTTCAAATCTGAAATTAGTTTTACTCCTAAAGCTACAGTTATCTTTAAATGACATTTTAGTCTATTTTCTTCGAAATGTACAAGTTTAAAAACGTAATATATAATATGTGGTAGCGTAAATGTTGCAACAAACTTTTAAAAGAGTTAGAGCACATCATCAGGATTCATTTCGTAGGAATCCATACCCTAAAATATTGTCGTAAGCGGCTAGGAGCGCTTCCCTATTATGGTTTGGTTAGAAGGATACGAAGAAGCAGTTCATAATAGGGGAAACGCCTCTAGTGGCGTATGACTTTTCCTAATGGGTTTCGATGAAGTTTTAGTTCCTGATAATGTGCGACTCCTTTAGAAGTTTATTGCAATATTTATGCAACCTATTGTTATATATAACGTTTTTGAACTTGTAAATTTCGCAAAAAATAGACTAAAAATGTCATTTTAAAAATAAAATAGCTTGGTGAGAAGAACTGAAAGCAAATTTGAAATTAGTGATACGAAAATAATCTAACATATGTTAAAGACTATCATGCAACAGAAAACAAAAAAGTTGTTTCCCAGTGCAATCAATTGATTAATCGCATCCGACCACTTTTATCAAAATAAAAAAAAATGCTAAAAACGCCTATGGGATTAAATTTTTTTGAAAAGAGTTGGTTGGTTTAAGGCAAACTTTGACACGCAAACTCATTATTTTTGAAATTGTAACATTAGTTTTTTTTTATTTATTTGCATGCATAAAATTGAAAAATATTTTCTTCGAGAATTGTAAAAATACACAACGCAAGGTAAATTTCGAAACTACTTTGCAGTTTAGTTTGTAAGCGAAAGTTTAACTAACCTTTCTATAGTCTTTCCACAGACAGCCTACTAGCAGAGAAACAGTATGCAAACCAAGTAACTATGAATTTGTTGTATTTATACGACTCCGAAATGTAATAACTATAAAAAAAATTGTTTTATTAGTACGAACTAAAACATACATCATTACAATATCTAATAGCCCATTTAGTACAATATGTTTCCAAGGTTGCAATAAAGATGCATGCATGAACGGCTGAAATGATGCTATAAAATTATTATGAATAACGAATAACTAAATCAATAATAAGAATATCATTTGAATATGCAACACGTGTTTGACATTGAATTCTTAAACTATTACAAGCATTGCATAATATAACAAAAATTCCCTTTCTAAAAATAAAAGTTTTAATTCTTAACTTAAACTAGCGAATCATGTTAATGGAAATTATGTAAACAGAAATTTATTTTTAAAAGCATACAAATATAAACTTATAATAAAGTAACAAAACAAAAAACTCAATGCAGTTCCTATGAAATCTTTAAAGAATTACAGTATAGCGATTTGAGGAAAAAAACTATTAACAATTTATATAATCTAACATATATAAGCATAGATAAATTTACAACATATATATAAATATATGAATTTCGTTTTTTATCGTGCCACATATCTATGTAAGCCCACCAGACAAAAAATTAGTCACCCATTGAGAAATCATGAAAAACATCATTTAATGACGTGTAACACCGCCACTGGACATGATAACAACATGGATTTGGTTAGGAAGTAAGTCAACCTGGCTTTGCAGTTACGTCGAATCCAGCTTAAGCCAGTCACTGAGGATTTGATCGCGCAAATCCACCAAATTGCGAGGATGCTGATTTCAGCGTTTAACCCGTTGTTCCAACATGCCCCACAAGTTTTCAATGGGGTTCAAGTCAGGTGATTTTGCAGGCCAGTAAAGATGTAATTGAGTGTTCTTAAAACGAGTCGCATATTTTTCCAGCCGGATGAACTTTGCTGTTGTTATCTTGAAAAATAGGGGGATTAACAGCACACTATTATGAAGATGCAAAAACGTGATTCGTCAGACCATATTACATTCCACCAATCAGCAACTTCTAGCCCACTGAAGTCGCGCAGCTTTATGCGCATGTGTGAGCAATGGCCTCTTACGAGGTGTTCGACTCCAAATTTTCATTGCCTCGTCGCTCACTTATAGGTTGGGATGGACCCTCATTCACTAACTGAAGCAATTCCTGTCAGGTTTGGAAGCGAATTTGATTGAAAGTTATGAAACACGTCTCCGGTTCTTTTCACGTAGAAAGTTTTACTCTGTAAGTCTTTCGTGACCACGTGTATTACACCTCTGCTTGCAGACAAGCTGAACAGTCCGCATCGAAACACCAACAAATCCAGCAACTTCATTCACCGTATGACCATGAAACACAATTACCCCTTTTTTGCCACTCTGTCACACCCTTACCCATATTTAAACAAAAATAAAACTAAAATATCTCACTGATGGCTACTTGCCTTTGATCACTTTGAGGCAGTGCACACGAAGTTGAGCACGTCACTTGACCAATGCGTCATCCAACGAAACCTAACTGTTCATCGGTGCTTGCGCACTAGGGTCGAAGAATATATAAGTGATACTTATATATTCTTTACTTGGGTAGAAGCATGGAAACTAGGTTTCTCTTTACGTTCGTTGAGCGCGCCAGGTAGGAGAAAAGCATAGTGGGTAATATTAGCGTTAAAGAAAACAGCGAGATTTCCGTTTTATTCGCCAAGAAAAACTTATTGAAATTTAGAACAAAACACCGGCAAGAATGAGATTTGTTTTAGAACATTTAGAAATAAGCTGATTTCCTATTATAATTTTTTTTTAAAAATGGTTTTTATAACTCATATTTTTTAACTAAGAGAAACAAATTTTAAATGAATCAAAATATGGTGTTTGAAAAGTTAATAAATACATTTTTTTTTATTAAATATAAATAAAAAAAAATACTTTGATACTCATAGATACTTTGCTTTAGATACTTATTTTTCCATGTTTTTTTATTTATTTATTTTATTTTATTTTTGTAGATGTATGTACATTAATTTAGCGCTCGTTTGTGTTTCGTGAGGGAGAGAAAAGACAACATAAGCATGAAATCGAACGTTTTCATTGATCATCAAAAATGCCATACGTATTCTTTATAACATTTACAGTTGTTGTTTTTTTATACTAATTTTTTTTGAAAAGTTTTATTTTAATTATAAAAGTGTTTTTTTATTCTGAAATATATTTGTTTCTATAAAACAAAAGACCTTTAGTTAAAAAGACAATCCTTACAAACAGTATATATGTGGAGTTTCAATACCATCCACATATATACTGCTTGTGTGTTTATCGGCAGCCAGATTCCACCCTCTTAGACTCAACACGAACTCTTTTATCTATACAAGTGATGATCAATTTTTCTCATTTATCATTTTAACAGTTGTTTCTAGCACATTAAAAGAAAATGATATTTATGAATATTTCATAATTTAACTTTTGAAAAAAAGTGCCTTTTTTCATTTCTGTTTAGTAGGAAATGCAGTTTCATTCTTCGGTTATCGATCTAACGTACCCTGTATTTCGTTATTAAATTATTTCGCCACATTTTATAAAACATGCACTGAGAGTATGTTTTGAAATTTTAGTTAATAGTTATTGATAACAGAGAATCTTATACATGGATCGATTTGAATACCACCAAAAAGAAATATGCGATGTTCTGTTATCACCAACCTAAATATATAAATTTAGAATTCTTGTTGAATATGTAGTAAAAAAATACGCACATTCTAGATATAAAATAAGTATTTCATCTAATTAGAAGCAGAAACTCTTTCAAAATCTGTCGAATCACTAGTGAGGAAAGTGAGAAAAAACACTAATACGAATTTGATAGCCAGATGAAGCTTGAGAGCGCTTCGAATAATCACATATTAAATACTCTTAGTTCCCATTTGTGCAGAAATGATAAGTCAGGTTTTGACAGTTGCTTTGGTTTTATCCAACTTTAATATTACTTATGAGTACAGTGCAAAATAAGTGAATAACCCTGACTAACTTTTGATCAAATCTTCACGCACTTGGACTCATTCTTAATGGTTCGAAGGGGTGACCTCAAATATATTAAATAGTTAGTGCAGACGATCTTTTAAATTACGAAATCGGACACAAAAACGTACTTTCTCTAAATAACCTTAACTTTTTTCGAAGGATTTGGAGTTTTGACCCTAACATATAAGGAGTGGCCACAATCTGGGAAATATGATTCTGATAGTTTGGTCAGAAGAATGGTTGAAAGTTTGGATCCCTCAACTATAATCTTACACTTTTGCATATTTCACCATATCTCAGGAATTTTTAAGCAATTCTAATAATTTTTGCACATTATTATAAAATTCGTTTGTCCAAATAAGATAGCACAATGGAAAAAAATAATTATTTATAATTATTAACTATTTATATTTTTGTATAATTTTATATAATAATAGTTTAAAAAATTTTGAATTTTAAGGTGTAGAAATTTTAAATCATTTTAAGGAATTTAATTTTAGGTGAAAGAAACAGTTGTAAAACAATTATTTATAATCATCATTACAATTCATCGCTTAATTTTACGAATTAATTTAGCGTCGAGACTAAATAAATTATCTGATACACATAAGTGGTGCTCTTTAAACCATTACAATCACAGATTAATACGTAAAAGCCTGGCAGTTCATTCAAAAGTTCCAAACACTTTGGCACAGAATTTTTATAAAACGTGATTTTCATATTTTTTTCATTATTTTGTTCTAATTTAAGTTAAAATAAGGGGGAAATATTACTTTTACCATTTTGATAATTTATAGTTATGAAATTCCGCATGAAACACCGGTGTCTTTTTCTGTGTTAAAGGTAACATTTTCCAAGCACTGCTCTCTTTCAAATAATAATTTTTCCAAAATTGCACTTGTTTGCAGTTATTTAGATCTAAGAGAAACAGTTATTCCTCATTAAAATTTCTTTAATTTACAGAGTAAGTTATTGAGTTACGAAGTAAGTTATAAAGTTTTAAATATGAATAGGAAAAAAATTAATTTCAAACTATTATACTTTTTTGGATTATAAACTTTAGTTCAAATAGAATTCCGATAAGCTAACACATTCTCTTAGTCACTATTGGACTAGTTTTTTTATAATTAAAATAATACCAAATTATTTTTTTGCTTATAATTAGAAAGTCAGAAAAAAATATACACACCGAAGAGCCATCACATTATGACCACCCTGCTAATAACATGTAGGACCACCTTTAGCCCTCATAACTGCTAGCACCTGCCGTGGCATTGATTTCACAAGGTGCTGATAGGTAGTCTGAGATATCTGGTACCAAGCGCTCACCAACTGGTCCTGCAATTCCCTCGCATTGCGAGGGGTAGCGTGGCAGCACGAATTTGGTTTTCCAAGTAGGACTACAAAAGCTCTATTGGATTAAGGTCAGGTGAATGTTCCTCGACTATTCGACCCTTATGACATGGTGCATTATCCTGTTGGTAAACACCATCCCCTGCAGAAAAAACTGTTGCCATCAATGGGTGAACCTAATCTGTAACTATGTTCAAGTAGCTTACAGACGTCAGGGATTGTTCTATGGGGATTATGGGTCCTAATGTGCCCCATGAAAACATTGTTCCTGGGCGAGAAACCATGAAAATCGGGACGAGCCCAATGTTATCGATGGAGGGTGGTCATAATGTAATGGCTCTTCGGTGTATAAGGGATGTTAAGGATTAAGCGCGACTTCTCTCGTGGCATTTGTGATTTTAAAAAATAGACAATAACATGATAATTTAATGAAACTTTTAGAGGCTAAATACAAAAAGAACATTTAAAATAACGATAACTATAATATCTATAGTCTGGCAATTCAAACTCACTGAAATCAACAGTGAATGCTCATCACGTGATTGCCAGATAGTAACAAAACTACATTCGTAAAAAAATTAATATTTTTTATTTGATTCTGTCACATTGGATAATTACATCTCTTTAGTTAATGAATTCAGCGTTTAGTGCAATGTATACTTTATAGTTCATTGACCCGACCTGCAAACATTATCATTTCATTTCTGTTATCCATAATTGCAAATATGAAAGGGTGGTTTGCATTGAACACCACGGGAGGAATTAGACGCGTGGGTCTCACCGGTATTCTCATAACAATTGCTGTTGCAGCAGCTGCTTCACTTCCTTCTTCATTTACTTCAATAGCTGCTTTATGTATAACCTGGCTGACATATAGATCGGCGTCAGCAATACCTGTGAAATTGGCTTTCAAATCATCAAAAATATCAGCTGCTCCCAGAGCCTTAAAATCATCTGCCATGTCTCGTGAATATTCAACTTCGAATTTTGGAAGCGAAAGAATTACTTTTCGCTTATTAAGTTGCTTCCGTACGGAGGCTATTTTCTCATTCGTTAAATTCTCTTCCACAGCTGATAGTCCATCAAGCTCATTGGGTAGTAAAATCACCATACTTATGTTGTTGCCCTTGTATGGTAGCTCTATCACTTGTGCGTCATCAGTTGAGGCATAATTAAATTTATCTGTTAAATGCATGAAATGAACTTGCCTGAAAGAGAAAGCAGCTTGTTAGAGAACAACGGAAAAAGACCAAATGAAATTGACTAAACGGCGTAAATCAATTTTTGTGCTGGAAACAAATTTTAGAGAGAGTCCAATCATATTATCGTTCAAAGTATTTAAAACCTTATCATTGATCTAAGTTCAACCATATTATACATTGACATCATACCATAATACTTGAACTTCATTACTTGATACTGTGACTCAATTTCAACAGAAATATGGTTCAAATTAGCACCTTAATAAAATTGCAGTTAATTCCTCCTCATAATTTTACCATAAACTTAAAGTCAATAAGATTTACCTGGCTGGTTAGGATTTAACTAAACATCAAATAAGTTAATTATACTAAATTTCAAAATTTAAATGAAACTTATGTTTGGGAAAAGAAAGTTTCATCTAGGATTTTCAGCTGGGCAAGAATTTCAGTTATAAAGAGAAAATTTTATAATATGAATTGAAACATAGTTTTTTTAAGGTTAAGATTAAGATTTCAGTTTAAGATTTCTACTGAAAAGGTGAAAATTAAAGAAAAAAACAATGGGAAGCTAAAGATTTTCTTATTTTTTCTGACAAAAATGGAAAAAAATTGACAACAAATTGTCAAAAACATTCTTAAGTAATAGTTGCACAACCCCCTCCCCCTTTATGCAATCGAGTTAAAATTCGAAATAATCTGGAAAAAATAGATCGGAAGAAAGCAGAAAAAGACGCAGAATAAAAATGAATGGTGATATGGGTAATAAACAAGAAATATTTATCAATATACAAAAAAATAAATAAATAAAATGCAGTTAGATGCAAAACTAATTAAATTATTATTAAAATAGTTATTAGCAATCTTTAGAACGTAAAAGATTTATAGAAAAATAGTCTGGAAAGCCAATTATTCTAACATTTCAGAACCTTGATTAATCTTACTTGAAAAAAATCCAAATATTGAGTAGAATAATATTTCTGTACAGCATATTTGTGATAATTGGGAAGTTTATACTATATCTAATACCATAACAGTCTGTGGCATTATTTTGTTAAATCTTCACATATGAATATTGAATAATAACTTTGCTGCTTAAAATGGTAAATGAAACTTAGAAAACACGGGTTATTTTTTACCAACGAGAAATTATGTTAAGGATACTTATTGACTGATACCAATTGCGCAAGGTTTATTTTTTTTTAATTCAAAAAATTGCAACTGCTACTTATAAGATCTAAAGTAAATATTCATAAGTTTTTTTTTCCAATTTCAGATATTATGAATTCTCAATTCTATGAAATATGAAGTACTAGAATGCAGATTTAATCATATTCTTTAAACTATGCATGCTACTATGTTGATTTTACTTATTACGTTCTATTAATTTCAAAATAATTCATTTCCTATTTTATGAAAGGAAAAATATTATTCGATTGAAACTGAATCATGAATATTTTTAGAGCGTTTGATTACATCCTTTCAATTTTTTAAGCAAAAATTTTTTAAATATTTAAATTTCTTAAGGCCACTGATTAGAAAAATTACGCCGTTTGCATCTGATACATTCATAAGGATTGATAAGAATTGTCTTAAAACCAGTAAGTTTCTAAGGCAAATTAAAGTTTGCAAATAATGAGAGCTTCAAAATTGTTTTTGCTTTAAATCATTGCATACCTAAACAAAGCAATAGAAACCTCTGACTGTTTTGTAAAAACAGTTCCTGGGTTTCTGAACTGAACCCTGTTTAGAAGAGTATTAAGAAAATTACTGCACTTAACCCTGCGTTAAAGTTACATATCTGTGTTTCTTAAACTTGTCTTTAAATATTCGTATAATTTTTTCTTCACTGACTGAAAATTTTTCTTATTTTTCTGTTAATATAATTTGCAAGTAATTATGTCTCACGCATAATTTTAATTAAAACTATATCTAAAACCAAAATCAATTAAAGAATTTTTCGCATCAAATTTACATGTTTATTGTTTTCCCTTGCCTCGCTCCGAAAATTTATTTGCCTGACTATTATCTCAAATACGCAAAAAAAAATTTTTTTAATTTCCAATGAACTGCACAATCGGTCTTGCCGATGAGCAGACCTAGTGCGTTCTCCAGAGGTGGTATCCACTCTTTCAGGACCACCACAATGGGTGAGATACCGTTGGTCATGTTAATTTGGACGTCTAGTTTCTGCCACACTAGATGGCAGCACCGAGACTCTATTTAGATGCTAAAGTGCACTAGAAATTTTGCTGGAAATGCCGAAAGCCAATAATACGCAACATAACAGCAGAAATAAGATATAATAATAATAATAAACAAAAAAGAATGTATTTACTGTGCATTTGCCAGCACACCATTATTGTAAAAATCTTGTTCATTGGTAGCTGAGGTCTTGAATTGAGTTTGCCATGTTCCTTTGAAATAAACAGCATTCAGAAGAAGCATAGTAGCGTTTGGATCAAGTTGCTCAAGCAGTTTCTTTATTTTTCCGTGAGTCCTTTCCTCGACCCAGTGATTGACCTTTTCTATTACTATTTTGGAATCATCCTCCACGAAGTCAACTTCTTCTATAGGTGCGTGGAAAAGACTTTCCACTTCTTCCTTGAACGCCTTCTTCAAATGTAATCCATCTTGGATCAATATTTGATTGGCAATTTCCAGTATGTATGCGGAATTGTTAGTATTAGGAGGAGGGAGTTCTTCTTCTAAAAGATGATAAAACAAATTTGAAACTTCCTCAGAATTTAAGCCTGCCGCTTCGTAGCCCAATGCATGCCTAAGGACCTAAAAAAAGGAAAACCGAAATTACTTATTTATTTTTTGTATAATTTGGAAATAAAGTCAAAATGCTACCTTAATTTGTTTTCGCAAAACTCTGTGAATGAATACGTATGACTGAAAGAACACACTACATGCAATTATGAAAGAACTCAATATGCAACATTATACTCAATATTATTCCTAAACTTGTGAAGATGTTGCAGATTATTTCAACTATGCGTAAAACAATGATTTATTCCATTAATCGATTAATAAAGCAATTAGTGCTCGTATGAAAATAAAAATAAATTTTATATAATAGATTTTTATTGCTTTTATAGATTGTTGACTTTTCTGAAATTTTGCTGATTAATGCTTATTTTTCTCAAATTCACCACAATTTCACTTAACATGTTATTTTTAAACGTTCTCACATGTCAAAGATATTTTCAAAAATTTTGAAAATTGGTCTGTCTGCGAAACATTACTTTACTCTATTCCTAAAAAAAATTATTTTTAATACTTCATTGCAAAAAGATATTTTCTCAATAGCTTCTAAATGATCCAGTATTTCATCGAAAATTATAAAGCTGATTATTTTTAAATTCTTTAAAATTTCCCTTCAATGTTTCAATAAAATTTTCACTTGTTAAAGATAGTTTAAAACAATGTTCAAACAATTTTTGTGTTTTTCGTTACTTTAAATGTTTATTAGTTACAAGAAAAATGTTATAACTACCACCAAATTATTACAATGGCTGCTCTATCACTGAAATATTTTTTTCAAGACACTGAATTTAAATTTGAAAATACTCTGTTTACATTGCTTCTACGATTGATTGAAATAATGAATCGTTTAATTGGAGAGAAAAAAATCAATCAAGCAAAATTCGGGAAATTAAGTAGTTGAGCTCAAAAATAAGCTAAAATTTAGAAAATAAGCTCTTAAATGTTAAAAATTTAATTTGTTCAAAATTTGAATTAAGATATTTTGTTCACTAAATTTTCAAAAGGTTATGTTACTTATTAGCGTAAAAATATATAATTTAACGAAAGATTAGAAATATGAAAGTCTATAAAGACCAATTTTATAATAGTTGAATGTTGTCTATGACATGACGTGCAACATGTGCGGGTAATAGATTCGGAAATAAACCAATTGAAAGGGAATTTTCTCATTTATTTCTTTATTGCTCATAGACCGAGAAACTTATCTCTTTACAGCAGTTATTAAATTCCAAGTCAATAGGTGACACCATTTTAAACCTGAAATGATGAGGAGTTTTTTCTGTTTTTTTTTTTTCGCTATAGCGCTAATTGCTATAACTTTGCAGAAACTTTCATAAGCCACTTGCAGGTTGACTGAAGAAATGATAAGCGACTGCGAAGAGAAAAATCTGATGCAAATCAATGCTCGTACTCCAAGTTATTAGTTATTCCCAAGTTTTTTTTCTACAATAGAGTGTGCAATAGATAGAAAAATAAAAATTAGATTTTTTTAACACTGCATGAAAGCAACTTAAATGCAGGTGAAAAGGAAATATTCCAATTAAGCAATTTGTAGAAAATATACAATGTGTAGAAAAAATTCCAAGTCAATAGGTAAAACCATTTTAAACCTGCTATGATGAGTTTTTTCTCATTTTTTCCCTATAGAGCTAATTCTATACTTTGCAGAGAATTTCATAAGCCACATGCGGGATGACTGCAGGGATGATAAAGAACTGCGGAGAGTAAAATCTGATGCAAATTTAATGCTCGTCTTCCGAGTTATTAGCGAACATACAAGCCTCCATTTCCATTTTTATGGAAAAGTAATCGCAGTTCATGAAATAGAAATAGAATGTAGTGTTACTATTAAAATAATTCTTATAATCCAAGTAAAAATAATATTTCAAAATTTCGCTTGAAAAAGGTAATGTCTCTGTTAAATAATAACATACTGTAATGATAATATATAAACATAACTATCTCAGTGGTATACATTTTGCTCCGATCGATAATATTTTGCTCCCCAACAAGTCTAGGAATAAATTTTCTCGCCTTCCCCAAAACGATAATAAAAAATCGTAAGAAATTTTTAAATAATCATGACCCTTATTTACTTACTTCGATTGTATTATCTCTAGCACCATGGAAAAGCATTCCAAAAGCCATAGACAAGCTCAGTGGTGAAAAGAAGATGTTTTTAGTATATCCGTTCGCTAACTGTTTGTAAAGTTTGAGTGCTAAATGATTATTAGCTGCCGCTAGTTGTCCAACTTTCAATTTTAAATCGTGCTCATTCTCCTCTGCAAAACTGACTGTCACTTTAAGAATGAAGAACACCAAGAAGAATCCGCAAATCTTCAGCTTAAAAGACATCTTTTTGATTTGCTGTGAAATACAAGTGAAGAATCAATTTTAAAAAAAAATTTTAAACTCTTGCCAATTAAGTACAGAAATGGACATACAATAGTTTCGATTTTCAAAACAAGAACCTTCCTCTTTGTCTAAACACCAAACATAATTTTAAAAAAAAATAAAGCGATACTTTGCACATGTTTATCTCATTACTTTTCTAATACCATTTGGTGTTAAGACGCTGAGGAAAGTTCTAATCTGGAGCAATGGTTCCCAAAAGGTGTTCCGAGGAACCCTAAGGTTCCTTTAAAGGATCATAAAGGCTCCGAGGATTAGGACTTTTTTAAGCCAGTTATGAGCTTTGAAATTCTTAATTTCATTTATAGGTAATCAATAAATCCTTATTAATTTAATATTTTGATAATTTTTATGAAATAAAAATAAAATGCCACAGAAGAAACAAATAGCAATATTTTTTTTGAAAAAAAGAATATATTGAATAAATTATGAAAAAGGCATGCATATTATAGAAATCTGAATTAGTATTCCACATCGAACTATTTAGTACAAAATAAAATAACTAAAGTAAATGGTAAAGAAATATGCTCCCCTAATAACCATTTTCAAACATTTATGACAATTCTTTTTCCATTTTAAAACTTAATTGAAAGCTAAACTTTAAAAAGTCGGGTGACAAAAAATTCGATTTAAAGATTATAAAAAGATAAAAAATTGAAAATAATTAGATTTATGTTAAATATTTTTTAAATAGTTAGTTGCTATTCTTTAATTAATTTTTTCCATATTGCTAATGAAGATTGGGGTTCCGCCAAAAAAATTAAGACTATTTAGGGTTCCATAGCCGAGAAAACTTGTGAACCGCTGGTCTAGAGAACCGAAATTATTGTATGATCACATCTGTACTTGATTTGGGCTTAATTTATGATGTTGTTCAATTTAGTTTAGGTGGCATAAAAAAAGAAAATCCTATCCTTTTGGCTTTTGCTTACATTTAAGAGTATATTTAAAAATACAATACAGTTAAAAGTTTAAGTACATTTAAAAAGTAATTTTTTTCCTCTAATGAAATAAGAACATACATACGAGTTTTAGAAGCATTTCGATAAATAATCTTCGAAAAACATTTTATCAAGTTCCACGGATTGTTATTAGGCATTTGATAAGAATTTTATGAAAATTTTTTATACCTTCAGTTGATACCAGATTTTCTAAGTGATTGAAAAGAAAAGAAAGTGATTGAAGGGAAAGTTTCCTTAAATATTGTAGAATATTTCCTTATAAGATGCAGAAAAATAATATCTGTCAATTATTTCTTGACACATAAGGTTATTTTCAAATATATGACACCCCTTCCTTCCTATAAACTCCGTAGTGCAATAATGCTGAAAATTCGCAAAGTGTATCTCTGATGATTTCATTTAATCACATGATGTCTGAAAGATTATGCAATCTTGGTCAAGAAGTTTGGAGTTACAATTTCAGATCATAACGTTAAAACTGAATGATTACAAAGCATTTTCAACACTCTTAAAAAAATTTACTTAGGTCAATGTAAGTTGCCACCAGTGTTTTAATTCGAGATAGTTTTTTAAGTTAAATTTTTACTAAGTTTTAAAAGTACTTTTCAACGTTTATGGATACTTTCAGAAAATTAGACATCCGCTTACTCTCATGAATCAATTAAATCAAATTGTGCAATAAGGTAATTCTTTGCTTTATTTTTTAATTAAATCGATAGCTGGAAAACATTTTTTTTTTTGTTGCGTTTATATAAATACTTGATCTTGCCTAATTCGGGTGGGGGGATTTCAAATCGGAAATTAGTTCTACTCCTAAAACTACAATTATTTTTAGAGGGCATTTTTAGTTTATTTTCGTCGAAATGTACAAGTTTAAAATTAATATATGCATATGGTGCATGAGGCATAATATATAACATATGGTAACGTAAATGTTGCAACAAACTTCTAAATGAGTTAGAGCAGATAATCAAGATTCATTTCATAGGAACCCTTATCCAAAAATGTTGTCGTACGCGGCTAGGAGCGCTTCCCCATTATGGTTCGGTTAGAAGGATATGAAGAAAGAATTCATAATAGGAAAAACGCCCCTAGTGGCGTATGACATTTCCTAATGGATTTCAATGAAGTTTTAGTTCCTGATAATGTGCCAAACTCTTCTAGAAGTTTATTGCAAAGTTTATGCAACCTACTGTTATATATTAAGTTTTTAAACTTGTAAATTTCGCAAAAATAGACAAAAACTGTCCTTTAAAAATAAAATAAAAAACTGTAACTTGGTGAGAAAAATTGATAATAAATTTGAAATCAGTGATACGAAAATAATCTAAGATCTGTTTAAAAACTATTAAGGAGCAGAAAATAAAAAATGTTGTTTCCCTGTGTAATCGATTGGTTAATCGAATCCGACCACTTTTATCAGAATTTTTAAAAAATGCTAAAAACGCCTAAGGGATTAAATCTTTTTGAGAAGCGTTAATTGGCTTAAAGCAAACTTTGACTCGCAAACTCGTCACTTTTGAAATTCTAAAATTTACATTTTATTATTTATTTGCATGCATAAAATTGAAAAATATTTTCCTCAAGGATTATAAAATTACATTACGCGAGGTAAATTTCAAAACTACTTCGCAGTTTAGTTTGTAAGCGAAAGTTTAACTAACCTTTTTATAGGCTTTCCACAGACAGCCCACTAGCAGAGAAACAGTATGCAAAACCAAGTAACTATGAATTTTTTGTATTTATACGACTCCAAAATGTAATAACTAAAAAAAAGAAAAAATTCATTTATTAGTACGAACTAAGACATGCATTATTGCAAAATCTAACAGCCCATTTGGTATAATAGTTCCTTCCAAGGTTACTTCCTTTCCAAGGTTGCAATAAAGATGCAAGAAAGGAACCGGCTGAAATGAGGGTGTAAAATTATTATGATTAACGAGTAACTAAATTAATAATAAGAATATCATTTGAATATGCAACACGTGCTTGACATTGGAGTTCTAAACTATTATATGTATTACATAATGTAACAAAAATTCCCTTTATAAAAACAAAAATTTTAATTCTTAACTTGAATCAGCGAATCGTGTTAATAGAGATTATGCGAACAGAAATTTATTTTTAAAGGCAATAATTAATAGGCTTGTAATAAAATAACAAAGAAAAACTCAATGTAGTTCGTATGAAATTTTTGAAGAATTGGAGTATAATGATTTGGGTAAAAAACCTTTAACAATTTATAATACTGTCTCTAGGACGTTACGTGTGTTTAGGATGTTGCTCTTTGAGCCTATTTTTATGGAATTAAACAATTATAACAATTTAGCGCCTGGTAAAAAATGTGTTCAATATTTAAATTATTCTTCATGTTGTACCCGGTACGGAGAGCCTAAATCAGAGGGGAACTTCGGATCGACATCCTGCTACTCTGAAAGCAAAAGCGAAAGCAAACGATTTTTTGAATTGCATTCTATTCCCGAAACTTTACCTTCCTATAAAGCGTGTNAAAAAATTAGTCACCCATAGAGAAATCATAAAAAACATTATTTGATGACGTGTAACTACGCCACTGGATATGATAATTACCTGGATTTGGTTAACTCTTTCGCAACAAGTTTTTTTTTTACAGCAGAACAATTTCGGTAGCATAAACCATGAGTAGGGCAGCATTATGTACGGTAGTGCCATCTATGTTCAATGAATGAAAATAACTTCAAAAATATTGGCAGGACTGGTGGGAAAGTGTCCCATTAGACAGAGAAGCGTTTCTGTCCCAAAAGACTTTTTTGAAATTTGCTTGGGACGTATGTGTCCCGTTAGGTGCGAACCGGTTAAAAAGTGAGTAAACAAAGCTTTGTATGTACGTCGAATCCAGTTTAAGCCACTCACTGAGGATATGATTGCGGAATTCCACCATTCCACCAAATTGCGTGGATCCTGATTTCAGCGTTTTTCCTGTTGTTCCAACATGTCCCACAAATTTTCAATAGGGTTCAAGTCAGGTGATTTTGCAGGCCAGTTGAGATGTAATTAAGTGTTCTTAAAACCAGTCACATATTCTTCTAGCCCGATTAACTTTGCTGTTGTCATCTTGAAAAATAGGAACTTGACAGCATACTCTTAACTGAAAGGCAACACTTGATCATCCAGAATGTTCAAATAAACATGTTGGTGGCCACCTCAATGAGGGTCCTAATCCATGATAAGAAAAGTACTTTCAAAATATGACAGACCCACCTCCGGATTAAAGCTGTCCGTGAAAACAATTAGTATGAAATGCTTCATCTAGTCTTTGGTGCACTCGGCGAAGTGTGTCATTTGAATAAAGGCAAAAACGTGATTCGTCAGACTTTATTACATTCCGCCTATCAGCAAATGTCCACGTTCGGTGATTTCTAGCCCCTTGAAGTCGCGCAGCTTCATGTTCCTGTTCCTCTTACGAGGTGTTCAACTCCAAATTTTCATTGCCTCGTCGCTAACTTATAGGTTGGGATGGACCTTCATTCAATAACTGAAGCAATTCCTGTCAGATTTGGAAGCGAATTTGATTGAAAGTCATGAAACACGTCTCCGGTTCTTTTCATGCAGGAAGTTTTACCAACCACAATTCTGACGTCGTCTTTCGTGACCACGGGTATTGCACCTCTGCTTGCGGACACGTTGAACAGTCCGCATCGAAACACCAACAAATCCAGCAACTTCATTCACCGTATGACCATGGGCACGGTCAAACACAATCACCCCTTTTTTGCCCCTCTGTCACACCCTTACCCATACTTAAACAAAAATAAAACAGAAATATCTCACTGATGGCTACTTGCCTTTGATCACGCTGAGGAAGTGCATACGAAGTTGAGCACGTCACTTGACCACTGCTTCATCCAACGAAACCTAACTGTTTATCGGTGCTTGCGCACTAGGGTCAAAGAATATGTGAGTGATACCTATACATTCTTTACTAGGGTGACTAATATTTTGTCCCGTGAGATATAAAATGCTATAATTCAATAGACTAATAATTTTATCGAATATCTAGCACTTTTTAGCAAAGTATGAAATATTACTACCTATTTATTCCTTATATTGTTATGGTATAAAATGTCAAAGTTTCTACAAAGTTATAATAATTTTCGCATTTCATACTTGTGAAAGTATGAAAGATGATAATTATTGTAAAATGTGCCTAATCATTGCAAAAAATGACTGTAGGACTTTCATTAGTCTTTCTATAGAATACCTAGACAATAAGTAAAATATTAATCAATTCATATTTTGCCTGTATGCCATTAATCATTTTATAAAATACCAATCAGAGTATGAAATATTAAGGATTTCGTACTTATCCGGACAACTTTAGGCATTCTACACCGAAGAGCCATTACATTATGACCACCCTTCATCTATAACAATGGGCTCGCCTAGGTTTTCATGGTTTCTCGCCCAGGAACAATGTTTTCATGGGGTACATTAGGACCCATAATCCTCATAGAACAATCCCTGACGTCTGTAAGCTACTTGAATATAGTTACAGACCAGGTTCCCCCATTCATGGCAACAGTTTTTCCTGGGGGGGGGATGGTGTTTACCAACAGGCTAATGCACCATGTCATAAGGGTCGAATCGTCATGGATTGGTTCGAGGAACATTCCAGTGACTTACCTCCAAATTCAGTTTCTTGGCCTTCCAAATCACTTGACCTTAATCCAATAGAGCATTTGTAGTCCTACTTGGAGAACCAAATTCGTGCTGCCACGCTACCCCCTCGCAATGTGAGGGAATTGCAGGACCAGCTGGTGAGTGCTTGATACCAGATACCTCAGACTACCTATCAGCACCTTGTGGAATCAATGCCACGGCCGTTGCTAGCAGTTTTGAGGTCCTATGGTGGTCCTACAAGTTATTAGCAAGGTGGTCATAATGTAATGGCTCTTCGGTGTATATAAGGATTAGACATGAGCCGTTTTGGGTCAGGGCATAGAGCACTCGCCTTCCAATGAGGTGCTCCAGGTTCGAATCCGAATCCCAGGATGGCTGATCGATACGAATTCCGCATCCGGCTCGCACTAACCACAATGACGCAAGTATCCTCAATAGTGGAAGGATCATGGGTTTCTTTAAGTATTTTTTTTACTTTCTTTAAGCATTCCTTAAGTATTTCTTGAGAAATATAAAAAACGCATTGGTATAAAAGTGTTTCCTTTATTTTGTCTACCCCCTGTATAAAATTTTACTTAAAGTATACATAGTTTTACCTAAAAAGTATTATTTAACTAGAGTTTTGGAAATAATAACCATATAGTAGTATATTTAAGGGACAACCATCTGCACCTTTTAGTATTGTGACCTTGCCCTTCTTTATTCTTAAACGCTGTGGAAAGTGAATCTACTGTTTCATGTTCGGTAGTGTTCTGGAAAAAGTATTTAAAATTGGAATACAAACTAGATCAAAGTAGTTAAAAAAACATTTTCGTAACTTCTGATTCAGAGAGTTAATGATTTATGTTAAAAGTTATTGATATTTTTAAAGACTTCATTTCTGTTGCTTAATTATGGTAATCTAAAAAAACATATTAAGACTGCTAAAGCCACTCACACGCCTTAAGTTAAAAAAAATATTATAATTTATATTTTAATTTTTTGTTGAAAATGCCTTAAGCACTTATTAATTGATTTATTTGTCGATAATACATGTTGGTTAATGTGATTGAAAAAATATATGTTACCTATCTAAACTATTATTTCAAAAAAAATGAACAGAAGGAACACTATACCGCCATGTGCCGTACAATTCAAAATCAACGTCAAGTGCTTTACGATTGATTGCAATAAACGTGGCTTGACAACTATTTTCCTTATATTGCTAATGCTATCTATGAATGCTGAAATAGAATTTCAAAAAAATTAATGAAACAAAATTTATTTATGAAAAAAAAAATTGCAGTATTTAGCTTAGCATACAAAGATGCCAAATATATAAAAATCTTTATCATTAATTTTCTGTCTCTTATGTTGATTTTTCAATTGCACGGCTGTTTCTTTTAAGTTTGTTTTAATATTTTCCTCGCTTTATCTCTTTTTTTTTAAATTAAAGATACACTATGGTAAGTTGTCAAAGAAAAAATACAGCGGTTCTCATAACTTTATTACTTCATTCACACTTTAGTAGGTGCCATAAAGTTAGATATTTTGTTTTATTTAAATTTTAAAATCTATTTACATGACCTGCAAACAATATGATATGTGTATCATCGTCGACAATTTGGAACATAAACGGATGATTAGCTTTAAAAACAGTCGGTTCACCGGGTGCTGCAGCTCCTGGATGCACAGAAATACTAGTTGCAGCAGCAGCCTGACAACCAAACTCATCGACACTTATAGTTGACTTGTGTATAACTTCGCTGAGATAGATGTTACTATCGACATTTGCCATGCCAGAAAAATCTGCTTTGCTAACATCAAAAGCTTCCGCTGCACCAAGACTTTTAATACTTTCTGATATTTCTTGGGAAAAGTCGACTTTGAACTTTGGCAATGACACATTTACTTGTAGACCTCCAAGTTTCTTTTGAATCTTCATGACTGCTTGCACATTAAGTTTTTTTTGCAAAGATTGCAAACCATTGCCGTTGAGCGGTAGTATGAAAAGCATGCTAATTGCATTTCCGTCAAATGGTATTTTCAGAAATTGTGCATCGTCAGTGGATGTATACAGGAAATAGTTCGTGCGATGCATGAATTCGACGTTTCTAAAATACAAACATAAAATATTATTAAACAGTAAATACTTTGATATCATAAATAAGGAGCTAAGTAAAAAAAATTTCTCAGAACTATTTTAGAGATATTGACTAAATTAACTAAGTTTATTCATTCATTATGGATTTTTCGCACTTTCACGTTAGTTTCCGTACATAAGATTGAATCAACTGCGCATGTTCGCGTTCATTTTAGATGCTACGTATCTTTGCGTTATGTTGGCATGATTTACGCTAAAAAGACAAAACTACAAGCATACCGTTTATAGCTGTTAATTGTTGTTTTCTATTTAAGCCTACCTTCGAACTAAAAACAAGGACATGGAATGTGAATTTGAAGAAATGTATTGATGAAATGTAGAAATGAATCGTGTGATCGTACGACTATTGGTTCATTCAATAAAAAACAAAATTATTTTATTAGTTTTTGTTTAATATTATAGTTGTCCAATTGCACTAGTTCCGTAAAACTACTAGTTCCAACTCTACTAGTTCCTATAGTGCACTCTATAGTGCCTATAGTTCTCTATAGTGCACTAGTTCCATCTCTAAATTCTTCAAAATCTATAATCTACCAAATTTTCTTCTCATAATCACAGTTTTACGCAGAGCAAAGCATCTTGAATAGTATGCCACAGCTTTAAGGAAATAGTCTACGGCCATTGTAAATGCTTGTTTCGATTTTGTGGTCAAGGTTAAACTGATATTCCACTACGTTAGCATTTTCAACTTACATATTTCTGCGAAATCTCTTATTTATCACTTACGTAAGTTTGATATTGTTTGAAGGGCGCATGCGCAATCACTTGAAATCTTACGTACGAGAGCGTATGGAAGCTAACGTAAATTTGTGAAATCTCCCTATTGTTACTCTTTTTTGTAACCTTACTAAATCACTGTATTTTTGGTGTATTAGCGAAGTTTTAGTTTGAATTCGATATTGATTTCATCTCTCCGAAATTTATGTTGAACAACGTTGAAGGCACGCTTGTTTTTTCAAGTTAACAAGTTAACACCAAATCGGATTTTCATAGAGGATTTCTAGGGTTTATGAAATCTCTTCACACCGAAAATGCAAACATGTTACACCATGATTGCTCACCTTTACACCATATGTTAATTATTTTGGCCTCTGAAAACTCTAATGTTGAAATGTTTTGATTTCGTCAGTAATTGCTCGTAATTGATAACGATTTTGCAATTGTTTGTGGTTGACCTCAACGCTGCTTTCCATTTACAGAAGCTTAAGTTCGCCATTAAGCCGACCGGCCTGTGTAGGGGTTAGGGAACTGCCCTTGCATCAGAAAGGTTCTGGGTTCGAATCCCGGGCGAGGCATGAATGTTCTTTCCTTCTCTGTACAATCTGTTCTTACTGTGGGAGCAAACGTTGGCCCACCTAATATGGTGCCTCTGAAAGAGTGGCAAGCAAATTTGCCCTTCAGGTGCCCTTCAGCATTTATTTACTGTTTGACTGCTCTGCTTGCTCACTTTTCTGACTGATCGACGAGATCTCCCGAGACCTTTGTTAGTAGCTATTTATAGCAGTTAAAAAATGCGCTGTGGCTACCCTTTACTTGGGCGCAATAAGTTCAGTCGGCAAATTGTTGATACAAAAAACGACTTATAAATTTAAGGCAAATATAGAACAGATAGCACAAAATAGAGAAAGACAGTACAAAGTTGGGGACTAACCGAATCGCAGATCTACCATACCCTCTGTAGCGTGACGGTAACAGGTTTGAATCTTGTTGCAACTCTGGATGTATTTTTGTGATGTCATTTTACTTGTCATTGTTCTTCAAATTTTCGAGGGTTTATAAGCCATATTTGTAAAGGGCACTCAAGCTAGTATATACAAGTATAACAAAAAATAAGTATAATATACAAAATTACAGAAGCCTTCCTGAACCAGCGGTGGCTCGAATCCCACCGTAACCCTCGATATGTTTTATGTGATACCCTTCTCTAAATTATTTTATCTTTCTTTCTACTTGATAGAGATTTATAAGCCTAAATTGAGCAAATAAGCCTAAAAAAGTATGTAATTTCAATAAAGCAAAAGCCTCTAAGTTCCTATTACAAATCACTATCTCTCGGGAAGTACTGGATCGGAGATTGATCATGCTCTTGCTCAGGTCAAAATTACGATCTGTGGATGACTGGATGATGCGTCAATGTGTCCTCCCTGTAAAATGGGAGGTGAAGTATGCATGTTGTCCCCGGATCTTCCTCAGGGATGTTTCCCAGACCGCAGCCAATACCCCATTGTGAAACTCTTGAGCTACGTAACAGTACCGTACCGTACCATGCCGTACAAAATTACACGGGCCTCCCTGCCAGAGCAATATCACTAGCCAAACGCTCTCTAGCTCGGAAGTAGCAAGTTCAAATCCTGTCGTATGTTCTTCGTGCTATCCATCTCTGTATAGTACTATCTGTCTTTCTACTTGATAACACATAAGCTAAAAGACTTAGCCGTTCTTGTGTAACTGCGCACACAAGCCTTCATGTATGCAGACCAGTAAATAAGCAAAATTACATACGGTGAGATTCGAGACTGCTACCTCCGCACTCTACAACGTTAGGCTGAACGACAATATCGCTCGATCACAGAGGCTAGTAATATCAGATTAGTAACTTTACATTACTTTCTAGTATTACTTCTTAATTGGTTCCCTTTTTATGCCTGAATGGTAATATGACGAAAAGAAATTCTTACTCCAACCGCAAATTTCGTGATTGAATCATAACTATTGTATTTATTTATTTTTTTAACTTATTAAGCAAATTGCCAAGCTGACTTACACAGTGTCGCTTTCTAAGCCGTCGTTAAAGAACTTATCTTCTGCTGTGTCCTTAGGATCAAACGGAGCGTTCCAGTTAGCTTGAAAATATACCGCATTTAACAGAAGCATGACTAATTGAGGATTGATGTTATTCATATCAATCAGCTGTTCGATTTTTCCATCTGTGCTTTCAGCAACCCAGTTATTGACATCCGTTACAATCTTTGCTTTGTCGTGAAAGTCGACTTGCATGATGGAAGTTTGAAGATGGGTTTCGACGATGTATTTGTAAGTATCTTTTAAATTGAATTTTTCTTTTGTTAATATTTTATTTGCGACATGCAATGTATATCCATCTTCTGTTGGCCGCACTGATTTTAAGAGTTTTTTTAAAGAGGGTAGGACCAGAGAATCTTCTATTGTAGCTGTATCATAACCAAGCGTAGACCGCAGTCCCTAAAATGCAAAGGAAAGCCTTTTTAATGGATGTTATATTCATAGTATTTAATTCCAGAGATCACTAACCATATACTAAGAGAAATTTCTTCAAAAATAAATTTGTTTTGGACTTTAAAATTAGGGTAATTTTAGAATTTATAAAATTTTGTTTTCAAATAAGTTAATTGCACCTCAAATTTTGATTGCGTCTTTCACAAAATAAAAATAATCATATCTAAAATAATAAATTTTTCTTTATTTTATGACAAACAGATTGTACCTCAAAACGTCTAAAAAAAGTCTTCTTTGTTAAAAATAAAAAATAATTGTTATTTAAAGTAGTTACGAATTAAAATGTTTTTCTATTTCTCTGGACAAGTGTTTGCTTTTCTGACAAAAAGTGTTTTTCTGACAAAACGATTGTACTTTAAAATCTGAAAAAATGATTTTTTAACGCATCCAGTTTCGGGTCAATCCAAAGTAACTAACAAATCAGCTCTTCTTCAGTAAGAACTCACCATAAAATGAACTCACTATCCTCTATTTACGCTTCTATTTTCATATTTTATAATCTGGCAAACATATTACGAAACTATTTTAAATCATTTTTAAAGATTCCGGTAAATGTTAGTACATTTAAATTCTCTACTCGCTTTATATATTACATTCTGTGTTTTATTCTGCATTTTCTTGAATTTTTTTTAACATGTTTTATTTTGCAATTTTTTTTCATTATGTTTTATTTTCGTTTAAATTTTTTTGGGGGTGCTCATCACACTATTGTATTGATACATTTTTCTTTGACTATATCAATATAATATTAGAAAGCACTCTTTTTTGCGGGTATCGTAAGAGCTGATGAAGAGATCATATATCTTTTCCTTATTTTGTTTTTCAGCTTTTTATTTTTGTTTTTCAGCTTTTTATTTTTGTTTTTCAGCTTTTTATTTTTGTTTTAAATTTTAAATATTTTATTAACAATTTTTTTTTCTTTTAAGAAATATATGCTTTTTTTCCATGTCTTCATCTATTCTTCCATATCTTTTTCCTTCCACTAATGCGGCATAGATGGGGTTTGAACAAAAACTAAATCATTGTTTTCAAGTTCATCATTGAGGAGTATTATTTTTTTGTCAAATATGAGTTAAGATTTTGTTTCTATAAATTTTTTCTCCATAAAATTGTCTATAAATTTAAAACAATTAGAACTTACGTATTTTGGTAATACCCATAGTTTAGATTCGTAAGCTTTTTTTATTTTTTGACATAACACTGCGATGCTTTTGAATTTTGAAAATGCGACTGATCTCTTGAAGCTTACAGAGATTACATATGCAATGAGCCACACAATAAAAGGACCACTCTAAATAACTTTTGATCTAATGATCGATCTCAATGGTCAATATTAATGGTTTGAGGATGCATCCTCAAACTTTGAAAAAAAATCATATTTTTAAAATTCTCTAGAACTATTCGACCGATTTCGATCAAATCTCGTAGTTTGCCATTTAAAAAGGCACTCTTCAAAATGATGGTACGTTTTTTGCGTCTGCTTTCGTAACTAAATATCGTCTACACTAGTTAATTAGCCGACTTGAAGTCACCCTCTCAAACTATTAAAATTGAGTCCTAAAATGTGAAGAACCAATCATTAGATAAAATCATTTGATTTTTTTTTTAATTTTGCGCACTGTACACAAGATACAATAATGATCATTATAATAATTGATATTTTCTAATGTTAACTGTACAAAAGTGTCTCGTTAATAAACTTTGCCCTAAATGGAAAAAAAGCAAATTGAATATTCAAAATATTTCACCGATTTCAATACACTTACCTCAGACGTACTTCCTCTGGCTCCATGATAGACTGTTCCTAATGCCAATCCCAAACTAAGGGGACAAAAGCATATGCTTTCATCACTTCCTTCACTCAATCTTTTATAAAGTTTCAAAGCAAATTCGTTATTAGCAAGCACTATTTTCTTCAGGGAGGATTTAAGAAAAGTAGGACATTCTTTCCCCATGATGAAGACTGAATATATTGAAATTACTACCAGGAAATAGCCGGTGAATTTATTGATCAAACCAAGCATTTTCGAAGATAATCTAAAAAAAGTATAATTAAATTTTATTTTATATTATAAATTATTGTTTAAATAAATTTGCCACAATCAAAACAAGCCGCAATGGAGCCTTTTTGAAGTAAAAAAGTTCTCTTATGTGATTGAAAGAAATTATACTAGCTAACAATCGTCCAACCCCGGTCGGTTTGCGAAGCAAGCAAACTTGCTATAAAGTTAGATCAGTTTATCTTGCTATTAAGTTAGATCAGTTAGATCAGTTTGAATTTTGCATAATTGGAAAGTAAATTGCAGAAGCTGCTTGAAAAGTAAAATAATTGCAAGATTTTTTTTTCCTTCTCATAAGTGAACATCGTAAAACTGCATGTTTCATCATTGGAACCTGCATTCTTCTTCGTAAATTTTCATTAACATATGTTTCAAATAAAATTTATTCACTAAATAATACATATACCATCCGGTTTTATTACCATTATTCCTGCTTTTGTTTATTTCTGTTACTCAATATATTTTAATAGAGAGCCCATATTTTACCGCAGTGCCATTTTCTACTCAAAAGTACAAAAATACGATGGCTTGCCGAAATTAATTATTTGTTAGCATTATTATTAAAAATGGATTGAAGTTAAAAAAAAACATGTAGCTTAGATAATAATACTGATTTCAAATTCTACAATTTTCAGTCAAAAAATTTCTATAGTTTTTAATTGAGATCATATCACAATCTCGTATGTTTTAAAAACGTATCTTGCCACTTCAATTAGAATTCTTGGGGGGGGGGGAATTTTTTATGACCGCCGTTGAGCAGCCAACCCGATTTTCGGGTTTACGACTACTAATGCTCAACTCCGTAGCCTTGTAATTTTGAACCCAATCCCGAAGACAGGAAAACTACTGGATCAGTTCCCCCAGAGGTATTGATTTGTTATGAGAACATAGAGGACGTTGTGACCCGGCAGATTTAACGTGCATCAGTCACTATTTACTGCACGGATACAATTGCAAGAATATTTTTAGTATTTCTTATGGTTTAAGATTTTTATGCCTTTTTTTAAAAGTTTTGAATTGCACCCGAAATTTTTTTCAAGTAAAAAAATAATTAAATAGATAATAGTTTCAGTATATAAATAGCGTTTTTTTATTTTTTAAGCGTTTTTTTTCTTTTTGGTAAATGTATTTTTCTTACGGAGTTTCTTAAAGAATTTTCTAGATATCTTCGTAGTATTTCGTTTTAATTTTCAAATTAAGTAGGACTTAGCGTCCTTCCGAACATTTTCAATCCTGTAAGGAATTTGAAGATTTCGTTAACTACTTCTAAAATTGAAGTAAACAGTGGACAATACTTACATTTAGTGATAGCAAAACAGGAAAAACTGGAAAATTGCTGCAGACTGAGAAACCCTCGCCGTTCCCACTTACCGACGATGTAAGTTTTAGAATATGTATTAATACACTAAATGCTGCTGTTAGATTTTCCGGATTCTTAAATTTTGTCTTGTTAAAATTTTTACATTTGCTTCACTTTTAATTGATTTATCTAGATCATCATAAAAATATTCTTTTTTGAAACGTTACTTTAAGTCGCTAAGACAGTTTCTCACAATTAAGCTAATAACTCTTGAAATGAATGTTAGAAACTCAACTAAACATAAGAAATAATAGAGATGTCCAAGATAGAGGCTTAACTATATCACTGATTGGGAAAAATCAATCATCGTTTCCACCATTTCTATCGGATGATTCATATCCCATCCCAATGGAAACTTATTCCCAGGGCACCTGTACCTATCAATGATCAATCTATAACTGATTGATCATTGATAGATATTGCCAGTGGGCAGATAAGTGAAGTGCCGTCAGTTTAGACTTAACTATATAGTGGGGAAAATGTCCTTGCTGTTGCCATCACCGACCACTCTAGTTTTGGATCTCTCAGAGTCAGGTTGTATTATAACCACGCTCTGAACGTCTTCATATCAGCGATATGACGGGGAGGTATGCGGTGAACTGAAAGGCTCGACGACTGATGAAACCTGCTTAGAGTAAACCAGGAATTGTACTAAAATGTATGATAGGGGCCGATATAGCCTAATTGGTAGGGCACTGGGCCCATGTCCAAGAGGTTCGATCTCCACTGGCCAAAGACTCCCCGTGTAGTGTATGGTGACTGATGCATGTTACTTCTACCGAGTCACAAAGTCCTCCATGCTCCCATGACAAATCTTACCTCTGGGCGTACTGATCCAAAAGTTTCCTTGTCTTCTGGATTGATTCAAAATTACAAGACTATAGAGTTGAACATTAGCAGTCGTAAACCCAAAAATTGGGTCGGCTGTTCAACGACAGTTATAAAGAAAATGTATGATTCCAAAGAGGTTATTTGATGACGAGATTGAATTCTACGAAAAACTCATTAGAGAGAATAATTCAACATCCAGTGGCAATGAGTTTTTTCTCAAAACCTTTATAGAAGGAAGGAAAGAGTGAGGTCACTGTCTTAGAAACAACCATGCCTGTTGAGACTAAAAGGTCGCCTACACCGATAATCCAGAGGAAGTCAGTGACTGCACTGATCTCCGATCAACAGAAAAAGAAAAATTGGAAAAAGGATCGTGTCAACACGGCGCCGCAAAATGATTCAGAGACAGATGGCCAAGACCACCCGCCTAGAGAAAAAGACAGTTCCCGCACACCAGACGGAAACCACAACCCTAGAACCGATGGAGTAAGCAGACGCACCTGAAGCCGAAGCGACGGAGGAGACTCCGGATACCAACTACACTCCAGATAGTATCCAACAACCCACCTGCAGGATCTTGAAAATCCTCATCCGTTAATAGGATAGACTTCAGAATCCCGGATTTGGGAGAAAATTCTCACCAACAACGGTTTCACACCGCTGAAAATCATCCAGCTAAGGAAGAGATCCGGCCAGGAGTTTAGGCTCCTCCCCTTCTTCCTGTTTATCCTATCAAGCAACAACTCCCATCTACGAATCTACAATATTTCTCAGATTATTGATATTCCAGTTAAGATTTAACGCTTCAAAGGAGGCCGATACCAGATACAGTGCTATCGTTGCCAGAAATTTGGGCGTACACAAAGATCCTTGTGCAGCAGAGCTTACGCTCACAAAGTACGCGAGAAGAAATCACTGGTACGAATGTATGAAATGTCTAGATATACCACCAACTTGCATTAACTGCCAAGCATGCACCCAGCATGGTTACAGTGAACGCCCAAAAATAAAATGACAACAAAAGAACCCATAACACATGAATACTGTCAACTCAACCACCAGACTACTACATATATTTAAAGAAATGCAGGAATTACTTCTGAACGAGGAGTTTGTTAAACTTCTCCAATCCCTATTTCCCGGATCCAGAAAGCTATAGAAAAGGGAGATACTCCAATCATGTTGTCATCACCACAAGACAAGCACAAGTTGGGGCGTTTTTTTCATCATCATTGCCATTAGTCACAGTCACCCAAGGGCTAACAGAACAGAAGAAAGAGTGAGATTCCCACTATAGCGAACAGGTACTCTGTTACCCTTTGTCTCGTCTGGTCCAGAGCTGTTGCCTGCAGTTGGAACTAGTGCATCGGTTCTTAGCATCAACATGTCATGCTGATGACAACAATTAGCGTTTATGATTTAAAACAAAGTTTTTTTATGAGAATTAATAATACCTGTGTTTCCTGCGAAAGTATCAACGAATCTTCACCATTTTTTGTAAACTTACAAATAAATACATGGTTTTAAGACTACTCATATAAAAAATTGTACAAAACAAATTGTTTGCATATTTAGCACAGTGTATTAAATGCAGGATGTCTACTAAATGATTAACTATTTTTGAACATAAATAAGAAAAACATGGTTTGAGGTTTAAAAAAATGCACTGCTTACTGCATTGTTATTAGAAATAAATTTTAAAAAATGCATAGTATTAAAAATAGCTTCCAAATTTCACCACTGGGAGGATCTGGTGGCTAAAAAACTAAACAGGCTCTGGTTAGTAAAAAAAATTTCTTTGAAGCAATAATATGCTATAGTTTCAACAAAATCTGCACATACGTGGGACAATGTCTTACTCGAAATGGACTAGCGTGCATTATAAACGTAAAGTTTTATGTTCGTAAAAGTTTGGGGGAGTTTATTGGTACACCTCGTCTTTCAAGTGTACCCACAGAACGAAATCACAAGTATTCAAATCCGGTAAAAAGGGAAGAAAGCAACGATTGGTTGAATACAAGTAGACTGTCTGTATTCTTACAGCAGGTTGCCGCCAGCGCCACCTAATATTAAAATTTTGAACTATTTCCATCACTATGTATTTTTCAATTTATTTCTTTTCTCTTAACAAAGCAGAAAAATGAGCATTTTCATCTCGAACCATGTTTTTTTTATTATTATTAATATTATTATTATTTACGTTCAAAATGGGTCAGTCATTTAGTGGCTACCCTGTATGAGTGATAAATGAAATGTGTTAACTTAATAATACCGTAATTTAAAAGCATCATTGAGCTAGAGTATTAGTTCTCATGTATTTTAATTAGCACATATATTAGTGTCATTTTATTACTTAGCGTATAATTTACATAAAGTATGCCTATAAATACTATAATATCACGCATCAGTTTCTGTCGCTTTCAGTATGCCTGCCATTAAAACAAAGCGTCTTCTGTGTGATTACTTAAAACATAATTTTGATACATGAATTTGTTCCCTTAAAATAATTGCCCATTTTGTAAACAGCTGCTAAACATCCATCGCCTAGTGACGTGGCGTGCTCAACTTCAATTTCTTATTCATATTTTCTCAGTGCCTTTTTTAGAATTAATCTTAATATTATGTGTTAGTAGCAGTTATACAAAGAATAAGGAAGTAAACAAAAAGTTTAAACAAAACAAAACCCAAGCAAAAACATTCTTTAATACGAATTGCGAAATTGAATCCATTATGAACCCCGCACAAAAACAAATCACTAAATTTCTGAAATACTTTTTCGGCTATAATAATACTTCTTGAAAAAAAAATTTCAGGAACTATAAACAATAGAAGTCAGTCCACTTCGCTGTGATAAAGTTAAAAAAGTAATGTGAACAAAATGGATACACATATAGAATGTAAAATTACTTCAATTTCTAAATTTGTCATTTAATTTTACCAAAACCATTAGAATTATTAGAGTAGACAAAGTCTGCTACTTTTTTTTAAAAAAAAAATGCATTTAAAATGTTAATTAAGATAAAAATTGTAGGAGTTAATGAAAAACACTTCTACAAGAAAATGCTATCGAATGAAAAACACTTCTATAAGAAAATGCTATCGAAAATTTTGCAAGTCTCATTCCATCAGATGTGCGATAATGATTATGTTCTGAATTTTTCGCATCTGAGGTAATATTTCAAATAAGTAAAGTTGATATTATGTAAAGTTGATATTAAAACTATTTTAATTCAGACTCATATAACTGAGATAAGTAATTCCTCTTCTTCAATTAACAATTCGGATATTTATCTCTTAATTTGATATCTCAAAAGACTAACAAAGTAAATTTATTACATACCCTTTAGTTCTACGTACAAACATATATCAGAATATATTCGAACCTCCAACCTAGGAAAATTTCCGCTAAGAAAGGATTTACTATTCTTTTTCTTAACTTTTAAGAGATTTCACAACAATCAAGAAATTAAAAAACAATAGAAGATAATTAAAATGCAATTAAGAAACAATAGAAAATAAAATTACTATCCCGTCCAGGAATTTCAACATTTCCTAAGTTTGTTTTCAGACTAGTATGCAATAGAAAATTAAGAAATAAAACTAATTTTTTTTCAACCGATTTGTTTTATTTTAAATGTAAATGAACAATTGTTAGGTTAACAGGAAAAAAAATTTAAAATAATATTTCGCGTAATATTATAAGCTAAAGTTGAGAATTGAGTGAAAGACTTGCTGATTGTTTTCATTTTTCTTAATTTTTATTACTATCTCCTTGTAAATCCTTATTTTTATGTTTAAAAAAACTAGTAAATTTGAATGATTTGTTTATTATAATGAAAATCTCCGTAAATAAAGATATTTTTGCGCGTTTTAAAAAGAATGTTCTAAAAAAGCCGGGTGAACCCAAAAGCCAGATTACCAGATGAAACAGAGGAGTATAAAAGCAACTATTGTAAATACTAAATCCCATTGGGCAATAAAACTGGTTTTGTTTCTCCTTCAGAACTTCTCACTAGCTATTCGGAAAATTCGATAGCCCTCTCTGTTCAACGATGTTGAATATTTTTATTCTCCTTCACATTTAATATATGTAAATATCTAATGCTATCGTTTTTTATCACTTAACGATGCATTTTTACATATTCCTGTTTTTTCCCCTCTACCAAGTTTTTCCTGTTATGTACACTATATAATTTCGTTGTTCATTCCCAACGTAACACTCAGCTAATTTTAGGGATTTTTTTTTCCCACGCGTAAGTCCGTTTCTAAGTAATCGTGGAGAAAAATCAATTATCGATGGGGGAAATAGCATAATTTTATCAAAATCTTTTCAATTGGGTGGCAAGGAGATAAATTCTTTGCTGAAAGTTTCACTAAGCAAAGGATTGTTCGAATTTCTCCTGAACATCTCAGATTATTCTCTCTCTGCTCAAGGTCATCTTTCGTCTTATCTTAGTGCATGAGTGTGTATTTTCATTTGTAACATTTTCATAATTTTAATTTTGTTTATCAGAAAATACTTATTATTTAAAGATTCTGCAAAAATTTCAGAAAAAAGAAAATTTATTTCTCCCAAACAACTTAAATTTCAACGGTATTCAAATTATATTTTTACTTATAAATTTCTTAATAAGATTGACTACTAAATTATAGAGAGAAGGGAGAATTGAGGAGTTTTTTACTCTCAAACTCATTTTAAATCTTCCAGTGCTCTTACCTAAGAAAATTGTTCTCTTAGGAATGTCTTTTTTTTTCCTCTAAAGTTTTAATATTTTTTATTATCTACATTTATATAAAATGCAAAGCTCTCATTTGCTCACTCATCACTAGTTCTGCTTCCCATAAAATTTGAAAGCTAACATGTGATCTTTGTACGATAGAAAAGCTAAAGAAGTTGCATTTCGATATTTGTAATTATCGGTGTTTTTAGCCTAATTGAAGTAATACTTTCAAAGTGATGCCAAATAACACGTTTTTAACATGGTTTGTGCTATTGGATTATGTGCTTGAAATAACGCATAGTTCAATGTTTTGAATGTGTTTTGAACTTTCAGACCAAATTAGATGTCCTAAAAACTTGAATCATATGCTCCTAATCAAATAATAGGGATGAAATAAAAAGTTTTTTATCGGCATTTAGTAATTAGCTCAATATATTGTAATACTGAATAACTCTTTTCCTCCAATTACCACCAAGTGTTTGGCCCAAAATAGCCGATTCCGGCTTTTGTGCTATTAAACAGCGAAGAGTTGAGTTCATGCAGGTGGAATTGTATGTGGGTATAAGTTTTTGTATATGGCGCAACTGGCCGCTGATTTGCCTTGTTGCATTTAAAATACTTCACTGAAAGATCAGGAGCAACACTGGGGACAACAGCATACTAATACGAGAATACGTAGTAATACGAATTTTAATAGCAAAGTTGCGAATTGAAATCACCTGCGAGGGTGGGATAGTGGGCCGCTGGAGTCAGAAAGGCTCGTCTCATGTATGATACCGTGTGCCGTGATCACAGTCATAAAGATTTTAAGTCTCAAATACAGTGTATTAATATTTCTTTTTATTTAAATACTTATAATTGTTACATTTTATTAACTTGACCAGCAAATAAAACCATATCACTTTTCTGATCTATTATTAAAAACATAAAAGGATGATCTGCAATGAATTGTGGCGTTGGGGGTAAGGAGATGGGCATTCTTACTGCTATCATAGTCATCCCTGTGAAAGCAGCTGCTACACTTCCTTTTTNAAAAAAATCAAAATAATATTTCGCGTAATATTATAAGCTAAAGTTGAGAATTGAGTGAAAGACTTACTGATTGTTTTCATTTTAGTACCAAGTTTATATCAACTTGCCGTCGTGTATGTCTATTCGGGTGGAATTTTATAATCGATTTTAAACTAACTTCCCGACTAGCTACATACTTCAAATTTGGCACATAGTTCAGAATCGGATGACAATGCATGAAAATGAAGAGAAAAAAGACATACACAGTAAAATAAAATAAAAATTAAGGAAAAATTAATATTTTCGTGATTGTCTTTTGTTGTCGATTCGATTATTTCAAATTAGTGTCACATGTCAGTTGAAAAGTTTTGTGAACAGTGAGTGAAAAAATTGAGATTTTGGAAGTGAGTACAAAAAAAATATTTAAAAAAACATAATATTTTTAAAAACCACGTTTTTGTAGTGGAGAATAATAATTGAAAAACAAAAATTTGAAAAACGAAAAACGTGGGGCGCATGAAATACATAACAGTTCATATACACATTTTCTTACTCATACACATGCACATCCACACTCAGATACAATTACAGATATGCATGCACGGATTCTCATGAGCACACATACTGTTACTGTTATGTATTTCATGCGCCCCACGTTTTTCGTTTTCAAATTTTTGTTTTTTAATTATTATTCTCCACTACAAAAACATGGTTTTTAAAAATATTATTTTGATTTATTTTTCTTAATTTTTCTCTTATTCTTTGATTTATTTTTCTTAATTATCTCTTTGTAAATCCTTATTTTTATGTTGAAAAAAAACTTGTAAATTTGAATGATTTGTTTATTATAAGGAAAATCAGCCTTGTAAAAAATCAGCCTATTATTTATTATAATTACCGTAAATAAAAATATTTTTGCGCGTATTGAAAAGAATGTTCTCTAAAAAAGTCGGGTGAACCCAAAAGCCGGATTACCCGATGAGTACAAAAGCAGCTATTGTAAATACTAAATCTCATTGGGCAATCAAACTGGTTTTGTTTTTCCTTTAGAATTTCTCACTAGCTATTCGGAAAATTCGTTAGCCTTCTCTTCTCAACGATGTTAAATATTTTTATTCTCCTTCGCATTAAATATATGTAAATATCTAAAAATGCGCTTTTTATGACTTAATGATGTATTTTTACATATTCCTGTTTTTTTCTCTCTTCCAAGTTTTTCCTGTTATGTACACTATACAATTTCTTTATTCATTCACAACGTAGCACTCAGCTAATTTCAGGGATTTTTTTCTCTCAAGTCTGTTTCTAAGCAATCATGGAGAAAAATCACTTATGGATGTGGGAAATAACAGAATTTTATCAAAATCTTTTCAATTGGGTGGCAAAGAGATGAATTTTTTGTTGAAAGTTTCACTGAGCAAAGGATTATTTGAATTTCTCCTGAACATCTCAAAATATTCTCTTTCTGCTCAAGGTCATCTTTCGTCTTAGCTTAGTGCATGAGTGTGTATTTTCATTTGTAACATTTTCATAGTTTTAATTTTGTTTACCAGAAAATACTTATTACTTAGAGATTCTGTAAAAATTTTGGAAAAAAATTTTTTTTTCTACCTAACAAATTTTAATGGTATACACATTTAATTTTTCCTTATACATTTCTTAATACGATTGACCCTCTAAATTATAAAGAGAAGGGAGAATTTAGAAGCTTTTTACTCTCATACTCATTTTAAATCTTCCAGTGCTCGTACCTAGGAAAAATGTTTCTTAGGAATGTTTTTTTTTTCTCTAAGTTTTAATATTTTTTATTATCTACATTTATATGTAAGGCAAAGCTCTCATCTACTCACTCATCACTAGTTCTGCTTCCCTTGAAATTAGAAAGCTAACATGTGCTCTTTATGCGATGGAAAAGCTAAAGAAGTTGCATTTCGATATTTGTAATTATCGGTGTTTTTGCCTAATTGAAGTAATACTGAAGTAATACTTTGAAAGTGATGCCAAATAACACGTTTTTAACATGGTTTGTGTTATTGGATTATGTGTTTGAAATAACGCATTGTTCAATGTTTTGAATGTGTCTTGAACTTTCAGACCAAATTAGAAGTCCTAAAAACTTGAATCATATGCTCCTTATCAAATTATAGAGATGAAATAAAATAAAAAGTTTTTATCAGCATTTAGTAATTAGCTCAATATACTGTAATACTGAATTACTCCTTTCCTCCAATTACCACCAAGTGTTTGGCCCAAAATAGCCGATTCCGGCTTTTGTGCTATTAAACCGCGAAGAGTTGAGTTCAACCAGGTGGACGAGTATGTGGGTATAAGTTTTTGTAAATAGCGCAACGGGCCGCTAATTAGCCTTGTTGCATTTAAAATTCTTCATTCGAAGATCAGAAGCAATACTCTGGACAACAGCGTACTAATACGAGAATATGTACTATTACGAGTTTTAATAAGAGAGTTGCGAATTGAAATCACTTGCGTGTGTGTGATCGTGGGCAGCTGGAGTCAGAAAGACTCGTCTCATGTATGATACCGTGGACCGTGAAGAGAGAATCGCGTGATCACGGCCCTAAAGAATTTAAACCTGAAATACAGTGTATTAATATTTCTTTTTAATCAAATATTTATAATTGTTACATTTTATTAACTTGACCAGCAAATAAAACCATATCACTTTTCTGATCTATTATTAAAAACATAAAAGGATGATCTGCAACGAATTGTGGCGTTGGGGGTAGGGAGATGGGCATTCTTACTGCTATCATAGTCATCCCTGTGAAAGCAGCTGCTACACTTCCTTTTTCATTGACGTCAATAGCTGCTTTGTGCTTGATTCGGCTGACGCATGCATTTTTGCTGGCTATCATGGCTGAAAAATCAGCATATCCTTTTTTAAATATCGCACGCATACCCATTGCTTGCAATTCTGGTGACAAATCTTTAGAATAATTAATTTTGAATTTTGGCAAGGATACTTTTACATTGGTTGTATAAAGTTGTTTTCGAATCGAAGTAATGTCCCGGTTCATAAATAAATTAGCAATGCTAGATAATCCATTCAGCCGACTTGGCAGTATAACGAACATGCTAAATTTATCCCCTGAGTAGGGTAGCTCAAGCACTTGAACATCTGAGAGACTTGCATAGTTAAATTTTGATTCAATATGCATGAAAGGAACATTCCTGTAAAAAAAGAAAAACAAATTATTAATCATAAAGTAGAGAATGTAGTTTCGAGTGAGAAAAATTAACCTTTTATGTTTAGAAGTTAATTCTTAAGCGAAATAGTTATATCAATAAAATTGAATGCTAAGTGGTTGCAAAAGTTTAAAACTGGTACAGTAGGTAGATGCTTTATTTGTGTGGCACTAGAGCTACACAATGGTCTATTGGCGACGCTCTGGGAAACATCCCTAAAGATGATCCGAAAGCATGTCATCACAATTTTGATCCTCTACAGAGGGGATGACTCCCCCTCTACAATAGCGGTTGAACAATACTGCGCACCCTCGGTCTTTACGCAGGCTGATCAAAGTTTTCACTGACCGGCTTACTGACCACAGGCAGTATTGCTTGACTTCGATTTCGATTCTCTACTGGGAACCGTAGATACGATCAGTTCACTGCAAGAAGAAACTGGTTTGAAATGAAATGAAATACAACGCATTTTCTTAAAAATGTATTTATTTATCAGTCGTGTATTTTTTTATTATTATTTTTATTTTCTATAACTACATATAAAACGCATTTTTATTTCATTTTTACAGAAATTCCCCGATTTTGTCTAAGGAAGTCCTAAGAATGGCTTTGATTTCTTTCACGAAGTCTTCTTAGTCCCTTAAATTATTTTTTAACGAACAGAACATATAAAAATCTGAATTGACGAAGTAAAATGAATGGAAGATAGCTCTTCTTTATAACACGTTAACTTGGTTGCATTGTCTGTTAACCCTTTCTCTGAGACGGTAGGATTGAAAACTATCCAACTTATTTTTGACAATGTCATCCATAAAAATTGAAATAGTTTTTAAATCTAAAACTAATAAACGATGCAGAAAAATCACGAAATTAAAGATAACGCAAATTTCTGCCTGACGCAGTAATTTCTATAATTCTGCTTGACTAAATATTTTGGGGCCGATTTCTCATTCATCATTATGTATACAGGGTGGTCCTAAAATATATGTCAATAATGTAAAGGTAGGTAGAGGGGACATAAATAAGCATATTTCGGATAGGAATGTGTGTGCGGTAATGCCGCCTTGAGCCGGTAGGGAATCGAATTATTTTATGTCTTCACTTGTCTTTTCAGTTTCCTTTGATTCATACTACTTTACAAGCTAGTGCTTTAATGTGCCATTACCGCACACACATTCCTATCCGAAATATGCTTATTTATGTCCCCTCTACCTACCTTTACATTATTGACATATATTTTAGGACCACCCTGTATAANGGAACCAGATACCTCAGACTACCTATTAGCACCTTGTGGAATCAATGCCAAGGCGGGTGCTAGCAGTTTTTAGGGCTAAAGGTGATCCTACATGTTATTAGCAGGGTGGTCATATTGTAATAGCTCTTCGGTGTAGAAGAAAAAATAATAACGTAAAAAGGGAAGAAAAAGAGAAAAAATCTTACTTAGCATTAAATTCTAATCCATTATTATAAAATATTTTTGGCCTTGTCCTATGTTTTGGGAAAGGGTATTTCCATGCGCTCTTGAAGTACACAGCATTTAAAAAAGTCATTATTGTATTGGGTTCAATTTCCTTCACAATGCTACCGATTGTCCCGTTTGTGCTCTCTCTGGCCCATTCATTAACGTCATGGATGATTTTGTGGAAATATCTTTGAAAGTTAACTTCTTCGATGGAGGCTCGATATAAGTTGGTTACTAGTCTCTTGTAGGAAGGAAGAAGGCCTAGGTTCTCTTGAACTAATATTTTATTGATGATATTCAAATTGTAATTTGAGCGCTCCCTATTGGATTGGTATAACATTCTGGATAAGAGAAGATCAAAAGACGCAGAAATTTGCTGCGTTGTCAAGTTGACACTTTCGTATCCCAAGACGGAACTCAATTCCTGAAAAGAAAATGAAAACATATCAAGCCATGAAAATTTTCAGTGATAGATAACTTCAGAATAAGGTCATGAATAGTACTATGTATACAATGTTTAATGACATTCCTCAATGAAATTTCAAATAAGTGGAAATTAGAATCAATCAGCTAGCTTTTTATTAAATATTTTTTTTAAAAAATGGGGTGCGGGTTGCTGAACTATAGTATGTGAAAAATTTTCTGCAGTGACACCTATTCCTGGTCCCACAAATAACTACGCCATGAAATTGAAACTAACTAAGACTTAGTAATTTGTCGCTAATATTATGAGTTCATTTTTTTCGTCAAAATTAGTTTAATAGGTTTTCATGGTAGTAAACAAATTATTTTTCCTCTCGTGGACACCATTTATGCGTACAGTATACAATTTTAATTCAACTGAAAATTCGAAATTTAAGCAATATTTTGCTGCTTTAATTTGTTTTATAAATTAAATTTTTAGTTAAAGAAAACGGGTGATCATTAATTACTTTCGAGAAAAAAAATTTCCAAAAACATTTCATTACATCCTACAAAGTTTTTTTTTTTTTTTTTTTTAATAATATTCCTGATAACTGTTTAGCTTTTTTTTTTGCACTGAAATTGCTAAATAATGTGCACTTATTTTTAGGGTGTTGAATTCAGTGAAAGAATCGTATTTTCTCCATCATTTCTCTTTTTTTTTTATGTATAAAATAATATAAATAAAGGTGATCGGTGCACAATGCTGATAACATTGTCCTATAATGCCGTTATTCTCGAAAGTACGCTTTTTTTACCTCCGTGACCCCCTTGGTCAATAAACTGGCTTTTGTGGAACTGGTTTATATCTTTATATAAATGAAGCAGTAAAAAAATATTTATAAATAAATATTTAAAAATACTGTATTCTTAATAAGAGTAAAATTAGTGAAAAAAAAACCTCCATTTTAAATTTTTCATTTAAAATTTTAAATCAAAAACTAAAATAATGCAGAAAATATACCTATGTTAATATTAGTATGTAACTGTATGTACATTGCAAATGCACAAAATTCTAAGAATTCAAAACAATGATTCAAATCCATATAACAGTTTTTTTTTTTTTTAAAAAAAAACATGGTTTTAGTAAATACTATACTACATAATACTACATAAAAATCTAATAATTGTCTAATTGTTGTCGGGTACATTCCTTAGATGGAAAATCACAAAGTAAGATTCAGTTTTCCTACATAAATTTCCATATTTTTTGGTTGACATCAGCTTAATAATAAGTCATGAGTATTGTTTTCATGTAAAATATTTTTGTATCTCAAATATAAGGTAATAAGGCTCAAAATATAATAACTTTTAATATTTTTTATTTTATTTTACTCTTCTATTATTACGTTTTTTATTTTCATTGTTTTCTAAACTAAGAGTTTAAAACTAAAAGTGCTGTTTCTTTATTATAACGCAATTGGGTATAATATAGCCTACGTCACAGGTTGTGTTGTTCCTACTAAATTTAACCCATGAACGGCATTTTCTGCGAGCCTAACTTCAAGCCACAAATAAACAAACGAAGTGTTCGATCGTTTAAATAGCTGCTCGCCAGATTTNAAATGATATGAACGCTCTGACGCCAGGTCATTTTTTAATAGGGCGTCCAATAACTGCCCCCATAGAACCCGAAATCACTCAAATTCCAGATAACAGATTGTCTAGATGGGAAAGAGTTACAAAATTGACTCAAAATATTTGGAAAAGGTGGCAAAGAGATTACTTGTCTAATTTACACGAACGAACTAAGTGGCAATTTTCGAAGGATAATGTTACCCCTGGTACAATGGTTCTAGTTAGGGAAGATAATCTTCCAGTATGTCATTGGGTAATTGGTAGAGTTGAAGAAACTATAGCTGGCAAAGATAAAAAGGTTAGGGTTGTTTTAGTGCGAACTTCTAAAGGTTTATTTAAAAGACCAATTCATAAATTGAGTATTTTACCTATTGAGGACAATAAATAGTTTGGTAATAATTGTAACCTCATTGAATTATTTTTTGTTTATATTTGTATTGTATCTTGTATTTTAATAATTTCCTTTAAATTTGGAATTGTGCATTCATTTAATATTGGAACAAATATTTTTCTACAGTCCATAATTTTATTCTATTAATTGAAATCAAATATTTCTAATAATTTTATTGTGATTCTTATAGTTTCAATGTATATTAGTTATTGTTGAAATATGTTAAATATTTCAAGGGGCCGGCATGTTCGGTCTTAGGCGAAGCGCCATCTGTAGCAATTGTTGTGAACTGCTCAGTTTCTCTTGAACTCTTGTTTGAGCCAGTCGTGGCTTCCATTGTAATAGTGCAATGAATTTGGTTATTTACAATTGTTAAAAATAAAGTATTGTTTGTTGAAATTTCGTATTTAATGAACCAGCGCACTGTGTACAATCGTGTACAGTAGTAAACAAATTATTTTTCCTCTCGTGTACAGCATTTATCCGTACAGTATACATTTTTGATTCAGCTGAAAATTCGATATTTAAGAAATATTTTGCTGCTTTAATTTGTTTTATAAAGTAAATTTTAATTTGAAAAAAAACGGGTGATCGTTAATTACTTTTGAGGAAAAAAATGTCCAGAAACATTTCATTGCAAAGTGGATTTTTTTATTTTCCTGAGAGCTGCTGCTTTTTTTGCACCTAAATTTCTAAATGAACACTTATTTTCGGGGTGCTGAATTCAGTGAAGGAATCTTATTTTCTCTATCACTTTGCATATTCTTGATACATAGAATAATATAAATAAAGGTGCTCAATGCTGACAACATTGGCCAATATTGCTATTATTCTCGAAAGTTCGCATTTTTTACCTCCGTGACCCCCTTGGTCAATAAACTGGCTTTTGTGGGACTGCTTTATATCTTTATATAAAAGAAGCAGTAAGAAAATATTTATAAATAAATATTTAAAAAATACTGTATTCTTAACAAGAGTAAAATTAGTGGAAAAAAAACTTCAATTTTAAATTTTTTATTTAAAATTTTAAATTAAAAACTAAAATAATGCAGAAAATATACCTATGTTAATATTAGCATATAACTGTATATAAAAAACTAATGATTGTCTAATTGTCATTCCTTTGAAGGAAAATCGCGAAGTAAGATTTAGTTTTCTTACATAAATTTCAATATTTTTTCGGTTGACATCAACTTAATAATAAGTCATGAATAATGTTTTCATGTAAAACATTTTTGTATCTCAAATATAAGGTAATAAGGCTCAAATATAATAACTTGTAAAAAAAAAATTTCATTTTATTCTTCTATTATTACGTTTTTTATTTTCATTGTTTTCTAAACGCTAAGACTTAACTGAGACTTAATGTTAAGATTATGACTTAACTCTTACATTAATGCATGTTCTGTGAACAATGAATTATACTTTTATCCTAATTCTGTTGCTGGAAATAGATTTTATTCTAATAAACAACTCTTACTTTTTTTGTATCTCCATTGGTACCTTGTAAAACCATTCCAAAGCATATAGATAAACTCAGTGGAGAGAAGAACACATTAGTCAAAGTTCCGTTAGCCAGTCTCTGATACAGTCTTAGCATCACATCATTATTAGTTACAGCTAACGTCCTTAGATTTTCGTCAGCTAGAAATTCTGGTATTTTTCTAGCAAAAATAGGCAATTTCAGAACGAGCAACAAGGTTAGAATATTCCAAACATCCATGGCAAATTCTATAATTAATGATGACCACCTAGCTTTTCAATTTGTTTCTAAAATAAAAGGAACAAACTTTAGCTTTTGTTTATTACGTACTCTTACTTAATCAGAAATTTTTTTCTTGAAAATTAAATTAACTGAAGGAAACAAAGTACTGAGAAGTGCTTAAATTTAACGAACCTGTTTAAATGTATGAACCTTTTACGATAAAAAAATACCCACTGTTTTTTCACTATCGAATTGTATTTTTGAACAATAAGGTACTCCATAATGAAACTCCCAAATATATCTATATTGGAATCCAAAATCAAAAATATCAAAATCAAAGGTCAAGTATGCAAAAAATTAATCTCAGTTCAATATTTAAGTTAGGAAAATCAGCGACAACAACGAACTGTAACGAATCGTATAGAAGGAGGTATTGAAAACATCGAAACCTATTTGATTGCCGGAGGAAACGGGAGTTCTGATGATTAGCACATCTAAGTTTTATCCAATCAAACTGGTTCTGATTTTAATCTCTCCTTTTTCGCAACTAATAAGGTGAATTTATTAAATTATGATTTTATTTCATCCTCTCCTGAGTATTAATTTTTGACCCTAAGTGTCTAGAATTTTTTGTTCAAATTTCGCAACAGTTTTATCTTAATAAATACATAAATTCGTTAATTAACTCAAATTATAGTTTTGAACTCTTATAAATAGAATGTATTTCTCCCATAATTAGAATAACTAATAAATGATTATTATAGGTCTGTACACTTATTAACAGAAAAGGATAACAATATCATTTCCTACAATTTAAAAATTTAAGAATCAATGCTTAAATTGAATAAATAACTTATAATAAATATAATAGATTTAGACTTTTATAAACTAGGAAACTCTGCCACTTCGTCGCTTCGATCACTATCCCCCAAGATTGCTACAATCATTTCTTTCTTGGTGATAAACAAATTGTTACAGCTAAGTTAAAAAGTATGCAATTTTATTTTTTATTTTATAACCGTCGTTGAACAGCCAACTCAATTTTTGGGTTTACAACTACCAATGTTCAACTCCATAGCCTTATAATTTTGAACCCAATCCAGAAGACAAGGGAACTCCTGGATCAAGTATTGGGAGAAATTTGCCTTCGTGGAGGACTTTCCGATGGAACTAACCCGCATTTGCGTTACATGGAGAGGAAGAACACGAAAACCTTTCACGGTTAGCCTAACGGCAAAGGGACTCTAACCCATGATCCGCCTACCACTGAGGATATTCCATGTCAGCACTGTGGTCGATGCAAGGCGGATGCGGAATTCGTATCGACCATCCATCGCCGGGATCGAACCCAGTTCACCTCATTGAAAGGAACGCTCTTCGTGTTTCTGATTCTATTGCCATAAAATTTAAAATTTTGATACTACATATATATTTTAAATTCCTATTTTAATTGGTTGCTTAAAAAGCTCGTTACATAGTTTAAACTATAAGGGAATTATATAATCTTCCAATTATTTTATACAAGTGGTTAGATTTAGATTACACATGTATGTATATAGTTATCGTGTGAGCGTTAATCCTTAGAACGTCTTATAATTTGTATTTATTATTTTAGTTACATTCATTGATTAAACATAATTTTACATTAAGCTTATAAAAAAAATGTAAAATAAACTTATTTACTCTTTTAGAATTGTATAACAGATAATACTTTCAGATACCTATTAAAACTAATTATAAATTAGAATTTAAAAACTGATTATAAATTTCGATAACAATATTTTAGATACTGTGTATCATAAGATGTTGCATTATAAAATATTATAGGATTAGTTTAAAATAAAGAAAAACCGCATTTATTTGAAATCTTTTAATTTGGAATGATAATTATAATAAATAAATCGGGATAAAAAAAGAATGATAATTAAGTAAAACTTATAGTAGGTATTAAAAATTGCGGTTTTCCTTTAAATTCAAGATTATGAAATACTTTACAGGAACATTACCTTAACTGTTCTTATTTAAATTTTAAGTTAATGACAACCAAAAAATCTGGTTCTTCGTGTGGGGAAACTAGGATCTTACAACGTGATTTTCTAGACAATAAGGATACTCAAACAACAATGGAATATGGTTTTAAGTCATTACTTTTTTTGCTATAAATTGATAAACGAAGTATATGATTAATTACAGCATTACTTCCAGCTGTTTAAAAACGTTGTCTTAGGGTGATTGTCATACGTTTAGACATAAAAAAAAGCGCCTAAGAAATAAAAATTTATTTATAATAACAGCTTTAAGACTTAAACTTTAGTACCATAAGTAAATCACAGTGATTACTCAGTTTTAAACAATTGACTATCAGTTGAAATACAATTTTTACCTGTATATTAAATATGTATCTGTCAAGTAGCCACGCCCTTTGGCACATAATTTAAATGAACGGAATGTTTTTTAATCCTGCAAATGACTCTACTCATCACTTACTGTAAATAAACAATAGAACACGAAAGCGAAATGCATATCCGGTACGATAGGGAAACAAGAATGTAACAACCGGTTCTTTAATTATCGTTTGGCAAGAACAAATATAATAATTTGTTACTAATTCAGCTGTATTAAAAGTGATTTAAATTGGCATGTTAAGCTTCAAAAAAAAAAATTTATTGCAAGTTTGTCTTTGATCATTTAAGCTTCTTTATGTTAAAATGATTAATTAATGCTTTCAAACAATATTTTGTTAAAAAAAAAAAGAAATTTAAAAAAATGTACTAATGACAAAGATAGATCCTTTTTTTATCTACGTCTTAAGACTTTACATATTAATTGCAAAACTGCACTTGATAAGCCTTTTAAAATAATTGCATGTGTGTATTTTTACTCCGATATTCGCAAACTTACGTGATGTGTATAAGGCAGTGGTTCCCAAATAGTGTTCCGCGGAACCCTAGGTTTACGTGAAAGGGTAAAGAGGTTCCAAAAATTGAGATTTTTTTTAAACTAGTTATAATTTTCGTAGCCAGTATTTAAATTTTTTTAAATATTAAATTATTAATCTAAAACTACTTCAATATTTCCGTTATTTTTATGAAATTGTTTTATTGAAACGCTTGTCACGGAAGAAATTTCAAAACAATGTTTTTCTTCTAACAGAAATTTAATAAATGAATTATGAAAAGTAGTTGAATTATGAACAATTAGTATTTTGCATCGAATAAAAATAAATTCAACAATGAAGAAGTATTTTTCTCTGATTACCATTCTCTACATTAATGTTCTTCTTTCATTTTTATTTTAATGGAAACCATATTTCAACTTATTCATTTTCAGTTTATGATGGCCTTAAAATCAAATTAAGAACAAGATTGGATGCCACTCCTGGCCTGTGAATTCAACATTCTGATTTATAACAGGATTTTAAAACTAATATTGATAAAACAATGAAGTTTAAAAAATTTCGTTTTTCATTTATTCACAAAATTTTTTCAAAATAATTAATAAAATTTAGAACATTGCATTTTTTCAAAGCAATTAATATCTCTTTAATTAAAGTATACACAATTACTGATGAAATTTATTCGGGGTTCCACCAAAAGTAAGACGATCATTTCGGGTTCCACAGCCGAAAAAAAATTGGGAACCGCTGGTCTTTCTTTACTCTTCAAAAGAACAAACATAATAAATGACAAGATAATGCAATTTTCCGTATTTTCAACACTAGAACTTAAAAATTTAAAGGAGGTAAGATAACTTATAAATATTTAATAACGTTCCATTCTTAACCATATCATTGTTAATAATCATTTACATTTTGCCCATCGCGTTCACGGATCTAAATATGAAAATAATAGTAAAAAAAACCTAAAATGTTAGTTTATAAAGGTTATGGTTTTAAATGCATGATAATTCTGACGCTTTAATGTTTTTAATCTAGTTTTATCCTGTTATCTAGGGTGACTTTACATACATATTCCTTTTTACTCCGAATTTGAGCATAGAGTTTCCATCATAGCTTTCCATTTCACTCAATTTGTAGCCGGATATTTTGCTTCTCACCATGTCTTTCCCATTGTTTTCAATTCGTTAACAATCGTCCTGCCCCAAGTATTTTTAGGTCTTCCTCTTTTTCTATTGCCCAGAGGGTTCCAAATCAAAAACTTGTGTTACTTGTTACGTAGAACATGACCAATCCATTACCATTTGTGTTTTTCAATTTCCATATCAATCTGTTTCTGTTTTGCTTTTTTAAAGATTTTCTGCATTACAAAATTTATGGAACCACTTGATATTCAAGATTCTTCTTAAATTGTTCTTAGTAAACACTAAGTTTTTTCATGCTATTTTTATTGCAGTGTCATGTCTCAGATCCATATAGTTGCACAGATTTATCATTAATATTGAAAATTCTAATTTTTGTTGATTTAGTTATGTTTTTATTTTCTAGAATTTATTGAGAATAGCTAACTGCTTAGGGCTTTGTTTAATCTATTTAGTATATCTTCATGGACAGTATGACTTTACCACCTTAAAAATTTGGACCGAATTTTAAAATTAGGATGCCAAAAATATTTTTAATAAATCTGGTAAAAGAAGTTAAAATATCCCTTTTTTGTGACATAAATTCCTTTTATCAAACACTTGCATTAGGCAACAAATATAAAAATTTAACCACCGATCTTTTCAAGTGCACAAATATTGAAAGGCTTGATATGATCATACGGTAAGAAAAAAAATTTCATTCTTTTTTCAGCTGTTCCATAAAATCCATCTGCGCAAACATATTTTATTTTATAATAAAGATGGATTTATATCTTAAATCATGCAAGCTTTTAACAGCTGCTTAGAATTGTCTTCGAAAAGACAGAGTTTTATCTGTTTAATGAAGTATCTTTTATTCTACAAGCTAAAACAATAAGTCTTAAAAATAATTCTTAAATTTTAATTCCTCAGAATGTTTGCAAATAACTCACTCTAAACAAATACCAGAGAAACCAATTAAAATTCGTTTTAGTTAGTTTCATATATTGTAAGAAACCAACCGGCCTGTGTACGGGGACAGGGAACTGGACTTGCACCAGAAAAATTCTGGGTTCGAATCCCAGACAAGGCATAGATGTTCTTTCATTCTATGTGCATCCAATGGAGTCCAACGGAATAATTAATAAAAACGTTAAACATTCGATAATTTTGGATATTATTAACTATTAATTTTGCAGCAAAAGATATCCTATAGTTCGCTCTGCCGACTACAGGTATGAACAGCAAACTGAAAATTTGATGTGCTGAAAGAACCATATTTGTTTATGAACTTGGCATGAGCTTTTCATACAATTCAAATTTGTTCGACAAGTATTGCAACTTCACTTTTTTCTTCTTCTTTTTTTTTTTTGCTTTACGTTACACTTCATTTTGTTGCTCAAAAACTACACAACTTCAAGACTTAAACTAACGATGACGTGTAGAAAAATATACAGTGCGATGCGTGTTGATCTACTGCTCGCTAAAATGCAACTACTGAGCTGAAATTTCACTTGTTGAAAGCGCCATTTTTTAAAAAACTTAAAGCAACTATCTTTCAAAATTCTAATTTGCTCGAAAGTTATTGCAATTTTAAATGCTTTTCTTGAGATTATTTTTTTCACTTTAAATCTAACTATTTATCCATTGTTGTAGAAAAATATATTTATCCTTTTCCAGAGTTTCCTTTTAAAAATTATCACTTTACTTGTTATCGAAAATTACAAAAGTTTAATTAAAATTAAAAAAAATTAGAGTAAGAGATTAGATATTGTCAGATATAAATCTGTACATTTATATAGAAATTTTTAAAAATATGAAAAGTTTCAAGAGAGTGTGCAACAAGTAACAGATGCCAACTTGCTCCGGACAGCAGATAAATATTTTCGAGGGGTAGTCTTTTAATGTATGATTCTTGGATTAATAAATTCAATTTATAGGGTTGTTACATACTACTACTTCTAAATAGTTCAAAGGTTTAAGCTATACGCTTATTTGCAGCAGTTTAACCGTGTTTAATCTCTTAAAAAGTCGACAAAATTAACCAAAAAATTGCAAATTGTAGTTTTCAGTTCTCTACCGCTTTTTAAAATATGTCTTGTCCGGAGCAGTTGGAATCTCTGAAGTAAAATTATCTCTCATTGTGTCACAATTCCTAATATTCTTTTCAAATATTTTTTTAAAATTTATTTATTATCCTTCAAAACCAAGAAATCATTAGTTTTATTAATATTAACATATTAATGAAATATTCTTACATAATTATATTTTATAACCAAAATGTTTTGTTTTTATTTAAAAAGAAAAAAAAACAGGAGGTGAGGCCTACTTTAATACTTTAAAAAAAAAAGCATTTAATTTTTGTCCATCTCTAACTGAAAGTTAAATTTATATTCTAAAGTTGTATAAGTATATAATACTTACTAATTATTTATGGTCTTATTATAATCTAATCAAGCTTATTGAGCTTATTTTAACATCTTTTTTTCTTTTCTCTTATGGCACTACAGCCCACAGTGCTTTATGAATTCCTATTCTTAGCCTATGATTTTAAGTTCATACTTTTTATTGTTAGATCCTTTGTTACATCATACAACCAAATTTGGGTCTTCAGTTCCTTGGCTTCCAATTTAAGATTTCTCACAACAAAATATTTTCATTCATTCTTCCAATGTAGCCAGCCTAACCATGCCAAGTGTCTAGGATTATATGAATTGAATGATGTTTTTTTTTTTTTATTATTATTAAATTGTCAAGTTTATTATTTCTAATTTTCCACTCTGAATTATTTATTTAAATTGGGTCAAAAATTCTTAATTTTTTTTCAAATATAAATAAGTTATTTTCTTCTTTATTCATGCAGTGCAGTGTTCAAGTTTCACTAACATACACTTGATACAGCTACCTCAGATAAATTCTAAAATAAACCTTCTGTCAAAAACATACTAAATAAATTAATAGAAAGATATTAAATTTAAACAATTGATGAACTACTGCAAAATAATATTATAAAACATATAAAAAATGAAAAAACTCATTAAAAATTTTAAAACATTTTATTACAATCAAACATTTAATCAAAAATCTAAGTCCATCGCAATGGTCATAAATAATTTTTAGAAAACAAAATAACATTTTTCAAATGTCAGTCAAAACAAACAAAAATTTCATACAAAGCAGAATACTTTTAAGAAAATGATGGCACGTGATAATCTCATACACACATGATTGCTCTATGAAGTCTAATCCAGTTTCACACATAAACTGTTCAAATGATTATTTAGCATCTCCTAAAAGTCAGTCATTTTAATATTTCTCCTTATATTATGTATATTGGAACTGTTTTCATATTAATGTTTGCTGTTAGTCTGTTACCTTGAAACTGTGAAAAAGCTTTAACAGGTGACAGACCAAGAACAACGACAAGGGATAAATTATAGCCAATTTTTTTTTAAAAAAAATAGATCTGCTGTCATTCAGTATTTTTTTAAAAAAAACAAAAGTTAAGAATTTAATTAGATTCACCTTGTAAATTTAAAGTATCATAACAATAGCAGACATAATTAAATACAACTAACTCCCTATAATTTGTATTTGAAATTTTTTTTGTTGCTATTACTACTTTAAAGTTCTTACTATCAACACAGTTAAGGTCGAACCGCCAGATTAACAGCATTTGCTTTGTTCTAGTCTACATTATATACAAAAATTATGGTAAAATTAAAATGGCTGAATTAGATGTAATGCCGCTTATCTTACTATAATATCATATGGCAAATTTAAATTTCTTTCAAAAAGTTGGATATTAAATATATTTCAGATACTCTATTTCAACAACACAACACATTACTAAAAAAAATTTTTAACTAACTTTGAGTATGTCCCATGATGACAATCATTACAAATTCAACGAATTTAAAATCCTAAACATACATTAGGAAATAAAAATAACAATATATTTGAATTGAAGTAACTTATTTCTTATTCATAAAATATGTAAAATATCAAGCCAAGAAAAAACTCCATTAGGAGAAATTAGTCAATTCTTAAACAATATATTGAAGTTAAAATAGCACCAGGAAATCTCACCTTGCAATATTAATACAATATAAAAGAAAATTTTTAATTTAAATATAATTTCAATAGAAGTTTTTTCCAACATTTATGACTAAATTCTGGAATAAAAGAAATTTGTACATGTTATTCCACATCAAAGAAATTAAAAATGTTTCAAAGTGCTGATAATTTTAACAATAAAAAATCAAAGCAATTAAAAAATCTAACAAATAGTGCACTAAAAAATAACTGCAAAAAAAACGAGTTTTACACATATTTGTATAACTATATTAGTTGAAAATTTGATACCATTTAAATACAATTTGATGTACCAAAAAACTACTAACAAATGAAATATAAAATTGTTTAAAAATTAATTAATACCACCTATGTATAATAAACTAATTTAAACAGAAAACAAAAACTTTTCAATTTTTTATATAAAAACATTGTACTAGTAGAATGCAACATAAACTGACGCTAAACATTTATGTTATAAGAAAAAAAATTTATATAAAATATATAAGGTCCCTAAAGTTACTATTCAAAATTCCCATTAACACAAACTACATATTGTTAATAAGCAGGGTATATACAATGTAGATTTTTACTAGTAATAACTTTTATTTACTTTTATTAAATGCATGCATTATGGTATTTTAGAAATCATTTCAATCAAGTTTGAAGTTTATGAAATCGGTAAGCATTTTGATCTCCAAAAGAGAAAGGAATACATTTCGTTACTTCATATTGATGTCATTTTCTAGAAAAAAATTTATAAATCATATTTTTATTTATTATAATTACTACTTTGTTTCTAAGCAAAATATAAATTTTAGAATTTTATCATTAAAGAAATAAAAAAGGATAATTTTATCAGAGTATAATTTTATTTAAATAAAGATTATAGCTTTACTTTAAATTTAAAAACTTTTTACAATCTACAAACATCATTGAAATTTTCTTAACAATATATATCTAAATATAAATCTAATAAGTATATCTTTATGAAAAAAAGCATTAAAATTTACATTGATTGTTCATGCTCATACATAAGCTATATTAGATTACGTAAAGCTACACAAATAAAAACTTAAATTGAACGAAATATAATTATCACAGTAATTTACCTGACGGTCATAATTATTAAATATGGTGACTTTCGTAATTTCTTCTATTTACTTAATTTAGGTTCAACAATTTTTTTGACCATTTTTTGATTTAACCAAACTAATTATTGGCCTTCAATACAGATCTTTGTACAATATTATTTCCCAAAGAAACTGGACCTGTTCGCTAAACAAACTTAAATCTTAATTTGTTTAGGATTATACATAACAAGAAGTCAAGAATCAAAATTTTTAAAAAAAATTCATTTAAAACTGATTAGCTTTGTCTAATATATTATGGAATTAATAAGTGAGATGCTGTCATATTTAAAGAAAATTTGATTACTTGTATTAATGAATGGTTAGAAATTTAACTATTCAAAAATTAAATTGTGTATAATAAATACCCTAAGATTTATTAAAAAGTTAATAAGTTTGCATTTAAAATTGCATGTCATTAAAATAAAATTGTATTTCTATTATATAAAAGTAAACTCTTTCAATATTTTTTAATTTATTTATTCAATATTTCTTATTCATATAATGTTGAGATTTAAATTTTAGAAAAAAAATTAAATTATATTTGCTTTCTTGTAAATTTTAGAAATACTTAAGTTTCTTTTTTTTTTAATAATAGTTAAATTATTCCTAATTTTCTAACATTTCTTCTTTATTTGAAGCTGTGAGTAGCACAATTTTTCTTGAAATAAAGTAGCTTAGTTAAAGCAACTATCTCACTGAAATAAAATATAATAAAATGTTAGTTTCATAGTTAGAACTAGTACAATTACATGAACTAATTCGCCTCTTTTTCATAGCAATGTGATAAAAGAAAATTGTCTAAATTTTTGCAGCATTCCCTTTTATGGCAAAGTTATTTTGTGATTACTTTTTATAAAAAAAAATTTAGGAGACATGACTGAATTTCTTTTTTTGATAAAGCTAGATTCATTAATAAAGCACTTAGTTTAAAACCCAAATCAATCAATTTCAATCTGATTAATGACTAATAGTACTTACTAAACACTTAAAATCAATCCAACAAAGTTTAAAAAAATTTCAAAGAGTTTTGCAACAATTGCACAAATAAATTTTCTTTAAAAAAAATGGAAAGAAAATAACATAAAGATTTAATTTACAGAGAAATGCAGACATGAATTGCAACTCACATAAAATGATTTTTAACTTCACTGCTCCGCATCACAAATGTTAAGAAGAGACAAAATGTATACAAAAATGTAAACATCGGTGGTAAAAACTACCGAAACTTGAGATACCCCTCATTTTGAGGTACAGAATTGTTCCTACAAACATTTACAAAATATGATAGTGTCACTATAGTTTAATTCTTGGGACTACGACACAGTTTCATCATTTGCTTTCAACAGTTGCCCTGATATCGTACAAGAGAGGCAGCAGAATTTGGCATAAGTAGGATTTATGCAGTAGTTTTGCTTTACGATCATTGCGCAACTTGTGAAAAATGGACTATCTTTGCACGTTGAGGGTATGGGAACATCTAAGGAAAGAAAAATTTAAATTGTTGTAATATTGTTAAAAGAAAATTTCATAGATTTTACACTAATTTCATACTTGAAATTCAGACATAATATATTTATGTATTTTAAATGTATTAAGCTTTCTGTCCAATGTATAAATAGCAGTGTAATATCTGCTTAAAGAAACATTTCTCTATTAAGCCAAATATAAAGCAAATTTGTCTTTGGCTGACAGGATTCCAACACCCGTTCTCACAAACACAAGCCCAACAGCTATTCAAATTTTAATCTTTTAGCAAATAATTGAAAAAATAATGTAAAAAGTTAATAGTTCTTACTTAGTTGAAATTTTATTGTTTACATCCACAAATAATGTAATTTATGGAGAATTTTGGTTTATAGAATTACGTAATAGATCTTCTATTGCAGTTTATAATAATGCATTATTTCTTAACCTTGTTCTATAAATAAATTTTTGTAAATATTTTGCTTTAATTTATATTCGTAAATGAGTTATATAAATGTTTCTGGTTTAAGGATTTAAATTTTTATTTTTACATAAATTTCAATTTCGTGTATGAAAATTTGTTCATACTCAAAATTGTAACTCGGTAATTCTTGAATATATTTAGCTTTACATTTTGGTATAGTACAGTTCAAAATTTCCTTTATTTATGTGAGAATCAAGATAATGCCATGAATAACATCATTATAGTTATGTCATAGAAGTAGTGTTAATACAAGCAATTAAACTACCTAATTTAATTGTCAAGTAGAACAGAAAAGTGGCGAAAAAAATGAAAACTGCGTGTCAGAAATGTTTTTCAATTTCATTGGACAATCAAACAAATATTCAATTTCAATCTCCAATGTGCATAGATTATAAAACACCTTCTCCTGGGGCAAATAAAAGCATAAAAAATTGTGGAATGTTTCAACTTGTGGATCTTTATTGTTTATTTAACTATATTCAGAAATTTTTAATTCAAAATTAACAGTACAAGTCTATTATCACAATTAAAAATAAAATTCCAACAAAATTTAAATAATTGTAAGTCATGGATAAAAAATAGTTTCGTTATATTTAATTAGATTAAATTTTGACATTAGCAATGAAAGGAATTAATCAAATTTACCATGAATTTGTATGTCATATGATGCAGATGCTTTTCCATGTTGATTTTGAGCCTCACAAATGTAAGTTCCACTGTCATTGTATTGAGCAGATGAGATATATAATGTATGATTGTCAAAGATGTGCCTGTGTTCGTTTGATTCCAGTTCAGGGCTGTTTGATCCCAAATGCCATGAAACTATCATCGGCTGTGTACCTTTTACGATGCAATCAAGTTGTAAGGAGGAATTAGCTTGATAATTTGTTGTCACCAGAGAAATGTTTACTTGAGTATCCACTAAAAGAAAATTGAATCAATAACTCATCAGCATTATTACTCATTTAGTTTCGTTTTCAGCACATGTAACAGGAAATTAGCTTTAAAACAATTATTCACTAAAACAATTATAAAGAAATTGACAATATATCCTTTATATTTAACTAAATATTTACAAAGATTGATTTAATATGAAACACTACAATTCAAACCATGATAAAAAGGAAGGCAGGAACAGATTTGAGTAAAACAAAGTTGCATATAATTAAAAATTAAATTCATATGCACATATATGGCATAAAAACATGAGGTTTAAAAACAGCTAAAAGCATTTATTACATTTGCCACTTTTTTTTATAAGATTGGCCAATAAATTGATCTAAAATATCTAGCTATAATGAAAGTTTAATAATCCATGATAATTCCAAGCCTCATTTCTTGAAAAATACCATGATGTTGATGTTCAACAGTTTAAGTTTGGTTCACAGAATTGTGATTTATACAAAAACTACAAACTATAAAGCAGGGCCGGGATAGCCTGATTGGTAGGGCACTGGGCTCACGTTCAAGAGTTCCTGGGTTCGATCCTCGCCGGCCGAAGACTCCCAGTGTAGTAAATGGTGATTGGTGCATGTTAAATCTGTCGAGTCACAAAGTCCTCCATGTTCCCATAACAAATCAATACCTCTAGAGGTACTGATCCAGGAGTTTCTTTGACTTCTGGATTGGTTCAAAAAATACAAGGTTACGGAGTTGAACATTAGTAGTCATAAACCCGAAATTGGGTCGGCTGTTCAACAACGGATATATAAAAAATATATATAAAAAGCGATTGTTTTTATGCTAATTGTTAAAAACACAAAAAGATATTTTAAACAAATAATTGAAATGCTGGTTCAGTTTGTGGAAAGGTTCAGTTCAGGAAATAGTCCCTTGCACCTTTTGAGCTGAAAAAACATAATTTAAAAGAAATCCTTTTCCTCAGCATTCAATAATATCTCTAAGCTTAACAGATAGGGATACAATATAGGTGATAAGGAATCATAAATGTCCCCATTATACCATAAGTTAAAAAAATCATTATGAAAAAAATATGCTCCATATAAATTTAATTATATGAAGTAGAAAAATTAATTTTCTATTTCATAGAAAACTACCACAAAATCAGCACCACTTCTATGATGACGGTGTTCACTTTATCAGTGATAGTTTCGTTTAAATACAAATTGAAAAATGCACAAAGACCCCTTAAATATATCAACGTAATAAATATGCCGAATGTATTGAATATGAAGCCAATCAAGAACTTACCATAGACAATGAGGTTAAAGAACTTAGTGACTGATTTTCCGATACCATTTTCGGCCGTACATGAGTACATTCCACCGTGAGAATCTTTCACAGCCATTATATGCAGAGAGCCATCCACTGATATTTTGAAATCCCCGTCATCTGTGCTCAAAGGTTCATTTCTGTGATGCCAAGTGACTTTTGGTGCCGGATAACCTTTCACTATGCATCTTAATAGTGCAGGAGTTCCCTTCTTCACAGCCACGTCTTTTCTTGCTGATAAAATTTGAGGAGGTGCTTCAGTATCTACAATGTACAAAATCTAATTAATACAACAAGAGCAAATAGCGTCATTTACAGTTAGTGTAACGCATGTGGAAAATATACGAAATCCAACCAAATATTTATCTATTATATGTAATAAAAAAACAAATATTATAACTTAAGTTTAAAATAATAAAAAATCAGTTTATTTGCAAAAGGTAAATGCATTATAATCACACTACATAAATAAATGATTTTTGAATATTTAAATACTAATTTTTATCTCCTAATGCATATTCCATCCTATTTTTACAAGGATTTAAAATATACAATATAAGAGCAGTTTAAATATATGTTTAGGTTAACACACTTTACATATGTGTTGATGAAAAAATATTTTAATGTGAATTACACATTTAAAACAGCTCCCAATTATTTAAAAATTGGATTTGCTTTAATTTTTTTCAGAGTTTAATTTCCGAAAACAGCTACAATTTTGAGCTCAGGTCTGATATAGAAATAATTTAATGATGTGAAAAAAGTTATAGAAATAATGTTCATAACAAAATATACTGAGCTCACTAAATAATATTTATTAAAACAAAACTTCTTGTTGAATTTTCCTTAAATTTTCTCATAGACTTAATATTCCCATAAATGTATCCAATATATATATATATATATATATATATATATNAAACAATATATATATATATATATTGTTACAAGCAAAAGGCAACATGGTTGACAGATATTCTATATAAAACCATACTTTTTGTTTTGAACTTGTTTCATAAATGCTCGATGAATCAGTTTTCTGTAATTTATTCTTAATGTTTTAAGTTTTTTACTGGGCAACATAAACACAAACCCATGTAACAATATATTTATGTGATAAATATTATCGAATAAAAAATGGTCATGCTTTAAATAGAAAATGTTCATCAAATAGCACTGGATAACATAAGTTTGGTTTAAAAAATTTGATAAGGATTCATAAGTAATAATTTCATGTAATAGTTTGTTGTGTTAACACAATAGATGAGTTTGATGGCACAGAGCAATTGGAGCATATTAATTGGAGCATATTGGAGCAATTGGAGCATATTGGAGCAATTTAAATAATGATTCTAATGCAGATTTTTACAACAACTAAATTAATAATTTTCAAGTGCCATCATAATTCTTCATTAAATAATATAATCCTTTTACCTGTAATTCAAATAATTTTGCTGGGAAATGAAATTATAACACAGGCCTGCCAACTACTACACTTTTTGCAAAATATTTTATATAGTGGTAGACATTTAAAAACCAAAGCTTTCAAAATTTTTGGTAATTTTGCCAACCTTTTTAAAAAACCTTACCATGAAAAAACTGGAACAAAGTGGCATTGCATATGAACTTTTAAATCATTTATGTGTAGTGGTATGGAAAATAAGTTCAAATGAATAAAAAATAATACATTAAAACATATACTTAGGTACCACTAGAATAAATTTTTACAAAAAATGTAGAAAGTTGGCAGCCCTGATAACAGAAAAGGTTAAATCTTAAAACAAATTATAGTATTCGATTCAAGATTTTCAGAAACATTTTTATTAAATCTGGTTTGATTCTTCTGCGCCAATCAGTTTACGAATTTCTATATTTCTTATTAAAATGAGTTTTCATTTTAAAACAAAAGTTATAATAAAAATACAGTTGATATAGCATTAGAAACTATTTTAATTACATATAAAAAGTTATTACACACGAAATTGTGCATTTACAAAAAAATATTTAAAAAAAGTCGAGAAGCATCTTCACTGTCATCTACAAGATTTAAACTATTTGAACGATTTAAACTCTTCAAGTAGGTGGAAGGTTTCAACTGCTTTGATGCAAGAATCAATGGTTCCATGTTATGCAACTCACTCATAAATATAAAAGATTCTAGAAACCTTTTTGATAGTTCTCTAATGTGCAAGTAAGATATTCATAAATTTTATGTGGAATTTAGATTTTCAAAAATTCATATCAATTTTAAATTAAAACAGTCAAATACAAGATAGTTCAGGCAAGTTTTGCTTGAAAAAATAAATACATCTTTCAAGTATTTTTAAGTATTAGTTTTAAATATTTAGTACTGAATAAAAATAAAATTGAACATAATAATTCTATATTATTTGCTTTAAATGGCACATAATTTTAGAACAATTATAATGATATTGAAGCATATTATAATAATAAAACATAACTTTATTACATTACCTGTATCTTCAATGGAGTTTTCCTCATAACTTTCCAATGTATCTAAAAGAATTTTAAAAGATAAATTAATACCAATATTCTGTCGGAGATTTATCCAAATAACAAATTACAGATTTTTGTTACCTGGTAGTAAAGGTAAAACGCAGATTCTTGCACAAGAGACGTGACAGCATTTCAATCCTCCTGGACAGTCTGCGTCCGACTGACATCTATCATGACATGTCCCATTCAAAAGGTGCTCAGATGGTGAAGCAGGACATTGACCACGCTTAGATTCTAAAAATTAAGTTCATATTTAACTAATAGTGTTGTTTAGCAGTTTTCTAAAATTGTTTAAGTTAGAGTGATCAAACTTTTAAACATGCAAGCATTAAAAATCGTCTCGACATTTCCTCATTTGGCTAGAATAAAAATTTAATTTTTTTAAATTAATTTTTTATTAAAATTTATTTTTTATTAATTAATTAATAAAATTAATTTTCACTTACTTAAACGACATAATGGATGTGACTGATATTCTCCATCTGCTGATTTATGTTTTTCAATAACACATTGAGAACCTTCAGGACAATTGTGTTCCTGCAAATTAAAACATTTTTGAGAAATACATACTTCCATTTTTAACAAACTTAAAACAAAGAGAGAAATTCAATTAGTAATTTTTGTTTAAACATACCTTATAACAAGGACAATTGTTTTTAACTACTGTTAAACAATAAAAGTGTATTTAATAAAAACTGCCTGATGTACAATGTTATATACATTGCCAACATAATGCCGTTCGTCACAATAGTGTGGAGACTCAGCTGTCACAAACCTTTTAGCTGACTATTAGGTGTTATGGGAGTGTTTTATTTTAGAAGATTAAAAAACGAACAAAATTAATTTTTTTTATCAAATATGTCAAACGTGGTTACTCTTTGACGCAATTGTCTTTTCAAATCCAAGAACTTAGCATTTACTTAAAGGAGGTTGAAATCTCCTGTTTGAAAAATGCTGGTCAATGATATGTGATGAAGATTTTTATTTTTCTGGAAACTTTGACACAAACACAAGTGCCATTACGTACCATCCATCTAGTTTAATGTGAACATCAGTTGCCCTGTTCCTTAATGACCAGATGGGCTTAAATGTTAATTTAAATAGTCTTAATGTCAAAACTACAAGACCAACAAAAAGCTTAAAGTCAAGGCATATACCATCTTGAGGTGAAATGAGAAGGTAGGAGAATAGCTCCTTGGCCCAATGTAAAAACCAAAGCAACCAAACTGATAAAAAGTTTATTGGTGATCAAAATGGGTTACAGGTGGCATAGAGCAAAACTCATTACCTATAGCAACAATTCTCATACTTACATCATTACCGTGTTAAGAGTCATAAGAGAAGTTAGTTTATGTCCTGACTTTTAAATGGATGAGAAACTCTTAAGCTAGGAAATTATATGGAACTGAAAACTATGTAGAACATAGTACTAAAATAAAACCTCGTGGAAATTTCAAAAAATATTTTTGACAATTAAATACAAAAAAATTATTAAGAAATGCCAAAATATCGTAGTACATTCCTATGCAACTGAAAAGAGTAGAGGCTGAAGACATGGAACCGGTCTTCTCCCCAGAAGGCATATTCTAGCGTTGTGATCGCGAACAGGTGCAGCATGACTTTGGCAACAAGGTTTTTTCAAAAGCAGATGTAAAGGCTACTTCCACCATACATATAAAATACTTTAATTTGTATGTAAATTATGTTAAAATTATTTATGTATGTATCCATTAGCTAGTAATAAATTGATTTTGTAACTTTTGTCTTCTCCTTTAGGGTTCAACTGAAGTTGACTAAATTTATCTATGTACTTACATTATCACACAGACTATACATACCTCACAAGGATTTGTACACAAACATGATATACAGCCCCTGATGTCTACTACTTCTTCAATACCATGTGGACACTGAAGTTGAACGCAGTTGGAGGCTGGACAATTTCTGTTTATCTCTACAGGAACAGTTTCTGCAGCAGCATCTCTAACCACACCAGGTCCTGTAAGAATAGATCTTTTATTTTTAATTTGAAACAAAACAGCACTATAAAATGAGGAATATCAGATATAAATTACATAGAATCACTAAGATATTGTGTACACAATATGTTTTTACCATTTTATGCAACTTATTTATTCTCAAGTTGCAATTTTTGCATAATATTTTGTATATTAATATTACTTAACATAAAAAAGTGGCAAAATTTTTTTAAAAAAATATTACAAAAAAAAAAATTTTTCATTCGTAAAAATTTGAAAGGCTATGCAAAAGTGTTGAAAAACCCATCAAAATTTAAAATACTGTTAGACTCCAAGAAAAAAGTTCTCTTACCATTCAACTTACAAAACAATTTACTAAATACAGATTACCTAAATATATTAATAAAAAGAAATTAAACTTAAAACTTTTCTCCTTGATGTAGCAAAAAATTATAGTTGAGTTATTACCTCAAATAATAGATAAGTACTGCCACTATAAGGAGTACAATGCTTAAAAATAATTTATGTGGAAAAATAAGTAATTTCCAGTATATTAATTACACAAATTATAAATAATGAAAACCAAATTTTTAATAAATTTTGATCAATAGTTCTTGAAAAAGGAATTTTTAGTTTATAATTTTTTTGGATATTTACTGCTCAGAAACTATTTAACCAAATTTGTTTATATTTTAGATTTTGTAAATTAAAATTTCAAACCTTAAAAGAATAAAAATAAGCAAACCTTATAATATAAAACTTTTTTTGATCAATTTTCTAAACTGAATTATAAAAAAGCATTAAAAATAAATTTTTGTATGTCTAGTTATTTTTAGATAAAGAGACTTAATTATGAGTGAAAAGAAAGGAAAATTAACAAACTGCATGTATTTAAAGATTAAAAGAAAAAATTTTGCAAAAAGGCATGTTTATTCAGCAAAAAAAATGTTGTTGCCTCTGATTTTGTAATTTAAAATATTGTCTGCACTGATTAACTGGCATATTTGAGCTCTACAACTTGAACCATCAGGATTACATCATTAAGACATTTTTTAATGGACGACATTACACATCATAAATATCACGGGATGTCACAATACATATATGTGATGTTACAAGAATTACTAAATTATCATTTCTTGATTTATACAATTATGATTTCTTGTGAGTATGAGAGTTATGAATAATTGAACAATGCATGAGAAAGAAACATACCCTCGATGCCAGAACAGAATCTCATACACAAATCTGCTGATTTGAACCTATTTTTGTTTCCACCACATCCTTTATATACAAATGGAAGACACATTTGCTTCATGGGATCATAGTAGAATCGGCTTTGAGAATAACTGCAGTGACCTTCATCAGGCTGCTGTCGGCAAATTTCTATTTAGGAAAAAAAGGACAAAGAATTTTCAAGTATTCTTTTTAATTGGTAATTTCAAATATCCTTTCTTGTTCTACATCATCCATCATGTAAATTTTTAAATTGTGTTAAAACAGCGTTGCAATTTTTTTTTTCTTTTTTTGTATAATTACAGAAAACAATTATTTATGTAAAACTAATTGTTTTACATAGTTTTTAAGAAATGTCAACAAAAAAAATTGCATTAAAAATTTTTAATACTTCTTATTTTTTTACACATCAAAATATACATAAAACTATTTTATAATGTCTTTCGATCTTCAAAAACTAAAAGAAAAAGCTTTCAGAACTATTTTCCTTCAAAAAAAAATTCACATGTCTGAAAAGGATAAACATGAGCAAAAAAAATTTTCTTTTATTTTGTGCATAAATATTAAGAAAAGCAACCTTAAGTTGATACACAAAACAAATGGCTTTTAAAGTATAAAAATAATTTGGAACCGAAAAACTGCACGCCAAAAAAATCTTTGCATTATTTTTTTATATTTTTTTATATTATTTATATATTTTATATATTTATTTTAATCATCATAAGCTATCAAGACAAATAAATTATTTTATAAAACTTCACAAAAAAATACAGGACTGTTTTCAAAAATTTCAGAAAATTATCAATTCAAATTTGTTTTTGTAAAATATTCTGTTTTATATCAAACTTTGATAACTAATAGAACAATTATTAAATCAAAAAAAAAGTGAAGCTATCTACATTTACCTTCATTCGTTATAAATGATGCAGCTGCTGTGACTGGTTCATTGCTGATCGTGTGTTTTGCTAAAAAGGAAAATTCAGAATTTGATTATTTAATAGTGTGTAAAGATGAAATTTTGTCTTAATTTCTAGCAAACTAAAATACTAGAACTTCAACTTTAATCCTGTACTTTACAACAATTCTCAATTGTTTACTGATCACTACAAGCAGAATGCATCATTTTTTCTTCAAATAGAACTAAATCAAAATAATCAACTTAAGTACTCTGATCTCATCTAGAGCTCTGTGTTAGATAACAAAAAATTCAATTGTTTCCTGATTACTACTTGCCGAATTTTCCCTAATATCCAGTCAAATTTTGGACCATTTTTCAATGTTACAAAAAACACAAAACTAAAAATAGCAAAATAAAATTTAAAAAGTAGAAATAATTTTTTTCAATTAAGCTTAAAAGAAACTGATCTAAAATAAAAATAAAAAGTAGAGCACATCAATTCTGTAGTAAATTGATATCCCTTAAATTGGGAAACAAATTAAATTATTTACTTCCTTTCAGGCTATTCGAAAATCATAGCCTACAAAAAAAAAATTACAATTATGCAACCTACCTTTTCGTATGGCTGAAGCACTATTAGTGTGACATTTTGATTCACATTCTTGTAATGTACTAAATCTGTTGTTATTTCCTAAACATCCACCATAAATGAATGTTCGACAAGACATATCGAATGAATCATAGTACCACACTAAGAAATATCCTAAGCAAGGACCAGGATCTTTACTTTGTGTGCAAGGATCTAAAAAGAAACCAATAAAATAAAACAAAATGGTTATTAATAATTACAAGAATGATCTATAAATAATTATTAATATGATATAATTAACAGAATATTTTTAGAGAGTTCCGTTGCAATATTACAATTACAGAGCAAATTGTGAAACTATAGGATAACCCTTGCAGCATTAAAAGGTGACAAATTTGCTGTAAATTAAACATAGCTTCTTTTCTTACAGCTAAAAAGTCAAGAACTAAAAACTGAAAAAAAGATAAAGAAGGTGCTTGCTGTTTAATTGATGCAAAAAGAAGGTATTACAAAGCAGTAAAAATGAATTGCTAGAACTACAATCTTTTTGCAGCAAAAATTGCGAATTGCATCAATCTCACTGTAATTCCTTTACAGGAGTCTTAATTATCCTAGATATTCAAATAAGGAAGAATATTGTCTCATTTAAAATTATAATAAATAAAAAAAATTATTAATAAAATTAAATTATAAATAAATAAATAAAAACAGTTAAAATGGTTATTTTAAAATTCTGTAACTTACAGGATGTTCAACAATGACAATCCTTGATATACATATTTACAAAATTATCATTTGTCATTTATTAGTAAAAAAATCTACATAATTAGTATTCATAAACAAATAGTCAATTGAAGAAAAAATGCTACCAAAATCTACTGAATCACGGGTAAAAAAAACAGGGCAAAAGCATCAAAAGCAATGACTTAATAGAAACTTGAAATTGCTTCTAACAATCGCCTTTCAACCTTTCTCTGTTTCTGCAGGCAATCAAACAAGTGTAATTCACTAGATTTCCATAGCAATTTTTTGTTTTGAAAACACTTTAAAAATTTATGACCCCTAATATATAAAGATTAACTTTATTTTTGATAAGGCTTCTATAAATTCTATATTAAGCATGGTTATTAAACACCTTTAGGTGTAAAAAGGTGCAACAATGCACAATGCAATTATTTGATTTTACAGAAATTGACTGCAATAACAACATTATTTAAATACAAATTTTTTAACACAAAATTACCTTTAGACTGAAGGTTGTCAAGGATAGGAGCGTTTTTACATTGGACTTCACAAGTTTCCTTGTCATTGAAACGATTTGCATTTCCCTGACATCCACTATAGGAAAATTCTTGACAGGCTTTTACATCTTTATCATAATACCACTGAGAAAATGATCCACTACAGGCACCTCTAATTTTAGGAAGTTTGCAGATATCTGTGAGAACAAAAAACTTTTCATTGTTGTTTCTAAATATTTAAGTAAAAAATATCATTGAAGCTGTGTGTTGTGTTACACTTAATCATCACATTACGTAAATATATGTATACAAATAAAAATTTTATTATTAAAAATGACAACCAAAAAAACTGAAAGATTACAAATTGTTTTAATTACAGTAATCTATTTTTCTGATATATTATTACTAGTATTAAAAATTGAAAAGAAAATCCTTTTTCCAGACAAACTTGTGTGAAAACTCAATTTAAGTTAGTTCTTTTTACTGATAAGAATACTTGATAACTGAATCAAAAAAATAAATTTGTAAGCAGCAATACAGCAGGTATAAAGTCCAAATTTGCTTTATTGTGATACTTTATTTACAATCAACAAATATTATTAAGTAGTTAGTGACTATCACACGAGAATCACGATGGCCAATAAGTGCTTTTATGGTCTAAGAAAATATCTTAAGTCAAGCCTAATAAAATAAAAAAAAGTGCTACTCTATAAATGTCTTATACGATCAGTGCTTACATACGCTTGTGAGATCTCGACAATGACCCGTGGAGATGAAAATATGATAGCTAGATTTAAGAGAAAAATACTGCGAAGCATTTTCGGTGAAATAAGTAAAAGCGGTACCTGGTTTAGAAGATCAAACACGGAACTTTACAAAGCATATAAAGAACCTGATGTCATTAAATTTATCAAAGTTCAAAGGATTAAATGGGCAGGCCACATTATAAGAATGGAGGATAGCAGGACAACCAAAAAAGTTTTCCGTGCCAGGCCAACAGGTACAAGAAACCAAAAATTTTTACTACCTTGAAAAGGACCTACAAATTTTAAAGATAATAAACTGGAGAACCTTGGCTAAGGGAAGAATATCTTGCCATAGGCTTGTTGAGAAGGCCAAGGCCCATCCTGGGCTGTCATGCCAATGAGAAGAAGTTAGTGACTATACAAATAAAAAAACAGATACCTTGAGAAGCAGTACATTTCTGTTCACAATCTTTTTTGGTGTTGAACCTGTTTCCATTGCCTTTACACCCACCGTAGTAGTACTGCTTGCATACACCATCTTTGTCATAAAACCATTGAATCTTTTTTCCATTGCAAGGACCACCATCCGGTTCAAATGAACACACATCTGAGAAGTTAATTTACCTTTCATTAGTATTGTTTGACAGAGTTACCAGTTAACACATAAATATATACATAATTAGTATTTACTTCAAATCCTGGTTTATTAAGTTACCAGATGCGCAAGATAATTTTGAACTCCCATGCATAAAACTGCTTCATTTAATAACAAAAGCTAAATATATTTGATATTTTTCATTACTGTAATAACCCTGTTGAAACTAGCTCACATTAAATCCAAAAGCATTAGTTATTGACACATTATATAACTCAATGCAGAAAGCTATCGATTACATTCTAATTTATTTTTTCATCAGTATCACTATGAAGGAGTATTTAAGGTTTTATAAGCAAAGAGATTATTTAAATATAGTGCAAAAAAAGAACCCCATTAATGATTAGCAAATTTAACTGCTTATTTTATATCAATTATTTTAATTATACATATTAGTTGGATATATTCGCATATAAAATTTACTAAAAGCTAAACATAAATAATATACCAAAAAAATAAGAATACCTTTTTCAGTGTTAATTTTTCAATCTTCACTAACAAACAGAATAAAAAATAATAAATAATAACTTTCAAATAAATTTGGATTTTTTATGTTTATTGAGGATCATGTCACTTGAAGTGCTGACATGACAATGCTAGTCATTTAATATTACGGTATTTGGGACCAGAAAGTACGAATATAGTTGCACACAAAAGAGTGTATTATATTATTGCTTACCTAAGTTAAATTCTTCTGAAAATTTATCGTCTACGGATACATGACACTGCTTTTCACATTCTAAATATGATGCAAAGTTATTTTCATTACCGCCGCAACCACTGTAATAAAATCTTTGACATTTTTTCTCAAAAGAATTGTAATACCACCTCTCTCTGAAATGGTAACAGTTTCCAATGGCTTGAGGTAAACTGCACACACCTGGTTCTAAATACAAACAAAGTCATTCATATTAAATTTTAGAAATTTATCTCTATTTTAACTAATATTATTTTAACTTATTTATATCAGACAAAATAGATGCGAAATTGTTCTTGAAAAAACTGATTATAAGACATTTTATTTTAAAAAATTATAAAAACAATGTAGTTATACATCATAATTTAGTAATTGGTAGACAAATATATACACAGTATTCCATAATGGCCATCCATGTCCACTTAATAAAACTCAGGTAAAAAATGAAGTTAAAAAAAATTAATTCAGGACCTGCAAATGGTATATTTAAGCTAGAAAAAAAATACAATCAAAACCTGACGAATCACCACTGAAGAAGGTGGGGCTAAATCAAAACTTGTTTGATTAGATGGACCAGGAGTTGGAGATGCTTCTAACAATTTCCTTTCAAGCTTCATCAGGCAACCAAATTGGGTTTGATGATTTCAATCCCACCTTCCTCACTTGTGATTTAGCAGAATTTGATATTCTTTTGTTGTTGTCAAAGCAAGTTAGTAATTTGATACTAATAATGAGAAAACATTTGTTTTGGTGCATTTTTGAAAAAAATCCTTAAAATACATATATTAAGGGTAATAATTATCAAACACCTTGTACAGTTAAATAAAACATATATATGAAATAAAAGTTTCAATCACCTGTAACGGTTAATTTCATAAACTTATTGCTGGTGGGACCAAATTTAAAATCAATACGACATCTATATTGTCCTTCATCCTCTCTGCGGATTTTGTGAATAGTCAAGGCAGTCATGTGATTTTTATCTTGAACGCTGTATCTTGGATCAGTTCCCCGGCTTGCTACTGTAACCTTTCCATCACTATTTTCTCTTCGATCCACGCCATGTATGGGATAAGCACTGTCTCCTTTGTACCACAGCAACAATACTGCCTCATCATTTGGCGTAGTGGGTGCCGCTTTACATACCATTGTTACTTGGGAACCAACTGTAGCATTGTAAATAGTAGTAAATTCTATAAATAAGAAAAATTAATTAAAAACATTTTTACAAAAATTATTGATAGTTATTTTATTAAATGCATAGTGACTTTTATGTGCAAAACAGATGATTGATGCTAATGGATAACGAACAAAAAAAACTGTGAACATTCTCTTCTACAAACCAAGTTCAATCACAAGGATTTATCTGGATATTCATAACATATTATATTTTATTAAATTATCAAGGATATTTATTGCATATATTATTAAAAATTTATTTGAAACTAAAGCTAAAAAGCAGTCCCTAAAAAAAGAGTAAATATTCTAGTACTATAAGACACAAAAACTGATTTTCTCACTTTTGCCTTGATTGACTTAAAAATGATTCTTTAGAGTATGATAGTGTTTTTATTTCTTTTCTTACTAGAATATTATTTGTAGAATTCTTATGCATAAATTTGTTTCAAACTAATTTTTCACAAACATACTAAAAACATTTTTTAAAATTAGTTAATAAAAAAATTTCTGTAATGTACTGAAGAAACTATATTAATATGAACATTCCACACACAAATATTCTTAGAAATCTCTAATACTACAAGATTAGATTTCGTCTGCTTAGTTCATTGATTAAAAAAATATTAAAATAGCTTAAAAATGAAGTGGATAAAAAAACCATAACAAAATCTAAACTTATTCACTTTTAATGAACTATTTCTTAAATTATTGATAAAAAATTTCTAATGAATTTCTTGAAAATGTGACATATTTTTGTTATTAAAAGTTAAAATGAAAATTAATTCTTTAAAATATGAACTTATCTTATTGGTGAGAATTATAAATTTTATGCAAACATTTATCTTAAACAATTTTTTAAAATTTGGTGAACAAATTCCTTACTAGAATGTTTCAAATCCAACCAAATTTATATACATTGATTCCACATTTAACGCTATATGATACATAAAATTTTTTGTTTCAATGATGTACATTCATAAATCATGTGAATGAAAAACAACAAGCAAAACTCTAATTTCATTATTACTGTTACATTCATCTATACTACAGTTACATCATCCTTAAAAACATCACCTTAAAAAAATAAGAAACATACATTTAAAAACCCTTTAAGTTTGTTTTGCTTTGAAGAAAAGTAAATAATTCACACTGTTAAAAAGAACAAACCTTTTGGTTTGGAGATCAGACATCTATGAATACATTCTTTTTCACTTTCAAAATTGTTGCTGTTGCCCTGGCAACCACCAAAAATGAAAGGTTTGCACAAATTCTCTTCTTTATGGAAAAACCATCTCTGGGCTACCTTTTTGCATGGTCCTATATCCTTAGGTTGATCACATGCATCTAAACATATTAATTTTCGTTAATTTTCTTTTTTTATACAGGGTGATTCTAAAAGGATGGGCAAAATTTTAGGAAGTGATAGTACACACCCAAGCAAACAATTTTTATCAAAGAATGCATGGTCGAAAACGAAATGCAAAACCACTAGAGGGCGTCAAAGTTTATGTTCTTATATGAAGCAAAAGCACACAAAGAACGATGAAGTTAAGTTCTGAAAGCAAATTGAATGGCATGTGATTACAATAAGTGTTCAAAACAGTGACTGGCAGCGGCTATGCACGCATTACAACGGCGAAGAAACACACCAGGAATATCACGAACTTTCCCTGCAGCGGCCGAAAGCTTGGCGACAAGTAACGCAGTGCAGTAACTCGCAGCAGAAATGGAGCTTTCACGTTTGCATCAAACAACTTCCCAAATGCGCCAGCACCTTTGCGTTTTGTTTTTGACCATGCATTCTTTGATAAAAATTTTTTGCTAGGGTGTGTACTATCACTTCCTAAAATTTTGCTCATCTTTTTAGAATCACTCTGTATATATAAAACAACAATACATATATATGCAAAATTTATTTTATTTTTAGCCATAAGCATTTGGAGCAAAAAATAAGTTAGCTAGAAAAAGTTAGAAATAGTTATTTGTAGCTAACTCATAAGTTAAGAAAAATAAAATGAAAAAGGAGATAAAATTATCAAATTTAAAGAAGAAAAAAACAATTGAAAATCGGCATAAAAATACTCAGTTGAATTGAAATGGAAACTTGGGTGCAAATAAATTACAAGGGAGAGGAAAAAAACACTATTTTTCAGATACAATCTAAGACAAAGACCTTTTGTTGGGATATGTAAATGAGAAAACTAAAAAAGCTTAAAATAATGGTATCTATCTTCTACAAAAGTAGTTAAGACTTTTACAATCTGTTAAAATTATAATTTTTTCATAGGTGGTTTACTCTAGTGACTGGAAGTAACATATAATAATGGATAAATTCAACAAAGGGACAGCTATCATGTACATAATTACAGTATGTTGTTATTGAGGGATGAATTAATCAAACATAACCAAACGTCATTACTTATTAAATTTTGTGAATTTTGAATCAAAATAAAGTGCATATAATACTGAGTTAGGGATCAATGGATAGTTAAAAAAGCAAATTTTTAAAAATATTTGCTCTTTTCGCAAAAAAACATGCATAAAAAATTAAATTCTGAATTTTTCTTTTAGTCTGTAGTTCAAAACATGTGTGCTATAATCATAGGCACTTATGAGAAATTGTAGACAATTATTTTAAAAACATGACATATCGTGTTTAAAGTTGTGTAAAATGAGAAAAAATCTGATTTTGAGATACACACAATCAAAGACTTAAAATTATTAGTCTATCCACTGTTATCACCTTACACAAAAACTGCTATAGCTGAGTAAATAATTGGAGTACAAACAAAAGTATTTTTAGAAAGCTACGATTACAGGGATTTTATATCTATAATAAACTCAATTTCAAAAATTTTGCCCAAAATCATGCTTTTGCACTACTTAGGACTAGTACCTGGCACTAGTACCTTAAATAAAATGTCTTTAAATATATCACTGGAATTTCATTAATTTAGCAATCGATTTATTGCATAGATATGTTAAACTGCAGTCTGATTCAAGAAATGCTGCAAAATAAGTTTGTCTCATATTTGAAACCAACAAAAGGTTTTGAATTGTAGAGAATTTCGATATATCTTGACAATCAAGGCAAAAAGGAATTAGAAATATTGAATTATTATTAGTAGAAGATATATGTATACAAGAAAATCAGTGTGATTGGCAAAACACTGAAGTGTTTAGAAGTTATTTTGGAAAACATATACTTACCAAGTACAGGTTGCTTAACACATGTACTCTCACAATTTTCTTTACTCTTGTATCGATTATTATTACCAAGGCAGCCACTGTAATTAAAACTCTTACAAGCATCCAAATCTTGGTCATAAAACCAAGATAGATAAGATCCTTTACACGGTCCGACAACCTTTGGTAGCAAACAGGCCTCTGGAATTAAAGAAATGAATAATGTTTGATTGTTCATCAATTAATCGTTTAATATATCAATAAATTAATGACATTAATTGACCAAAAAATTAAGACATTTTTTAAATAACTCAATAAAATTCATTGATATTTAATTGATGCTTCTTAAAAGTTTATATCAGCAGCTGCTAATACATTATTCTTGTTTATTGATGACAAATATTTTAGAGCAATCATTGTATCATACAAAGTTATGAAAATACAAATTTCATGCAGAGATTCTAAGAAAATGTTATGTGATTTTAAGACTCAATGTGAGCAAAAGAACTTAAAATGTAATTATTTCTTTCAAACAATTATACTTTAACAAAATAATTTTTCATTACATTCTTAACTATTCAATATAACAGTACCAAATCGATACAAGTTGTAAAGCTTATTTATTATAAAATAATACAAGTAAGAATTTACTAATTTTTTTTATATTATGACTAAGACATTTAGTCATAATATTAAAAAAAAATACCTAACTGCTTTGATATTATATTTTGTCTTGCTTAAAAAAATAAAAATCCATAATTAATCATATGAAAAAAATTTAATTAGTAAATAAAAATAAGCGAGAATAAATGTTATTAATGAAAATAACACACTAAGAAATTAAAATAAGAAAGTGACAAAAGCAGTCAACATGGCAACAGATTGGATAAAATAAAAGAATTTTCAAAAGTCTTGCATTTTATACAAAATCCTCTTTTAAGCTTGGATTTTTGTATTTCAAGAATTCATCTCATTCAAAAAGTACAATTTTGAAAATAAATAACAAAAAAACATTAACTGTATACTAAAAATTAATTTTGTTTTTGTCCTTTTTGTTCCTTTTAGTGAAGAGATACAATCATTTTTAAAGTTAAAGATGATAATTTGCAAATAATCATTTGCCAAAAATAAAATTAAAATGTTCAACTACGTACTAAGATCTTACCCCAGCAACAATATATATTTACTCTAAAAAAGTTGAATTAAAATAATTTGCGTCCTTGGAGAACAACCATATAAAGTTCCAGTGTTAATAATTATAACAGTAACTGCGATTGGTCATTTGTTTAGGAATTTAAACAAATCAACACTCTCTCTCACCTTAAGACGTTGAATTTAGTTTAATATGGTTCACAAAAGCCAGCATTCAAATAATTAAGAATTTACATAACACTTATATTTATTTAATCGTGGAAAAAATTTAACAACATACGTTTATAACAGTAGTATTTTATTTATTTTTTTAAATGACATTTTTGGCATACAGAGCATAAACAAATTAAAATGTACTTTTAAGAAACCACACATACAGTGGCTATTAAATAGATAATAACTTCTTAATTCATATATTTCATTTGAATAATAAAGATTGTGATATTGAATTGTGGTATTGAAATGCTATAACTACTTTTCAGTTATCAGAGCACAAACATTTGAATGAGAATTAAAATGCACATTTATGAAAAGGTGTATTCTAACTACTGAATAAAAACTCTTTTACTCATGTATTTTATTTGTATAATAAAGACTATATAATCAGAATCATGATCCCCAAACAAAATATTGTATTTGAATTTAAGTTACTTCCAAATGGCAAATTTTCCCATTAACCTTGCAGTTTAACCCTCGTATAACTCACTAAAAAATTTTTGCAACTCACCATCCCCTTCAGGACTAACACATACTTCTTCACATTCTTCTTGTGAGTTAAACTGATTGCCATTTCCATCACAACCGCCATACCAGAAACGGCTGCAGCCACCATATGACACATCAAAATACCACTTGACACTGAAATTATGGCATCCTCCTCTCTCTTTAGGTAAACTACAGACATCAACTGAAAACATGAATCAAAAATTATTCAAAACTTCTTTGATGGCATTTTGAAGACTTCTAAATTTAGTGAAAATGTAAGCAACATTTTGTTCAACTGCCTTGAATACTATTCTAAATAACAGTATAGTTTTGCTGCAAAGTTTTATTTCTGAAAACTTTTTCATAATGATTAATATTGTATTTATCATAATATATTTATGCAACAGATAAGTTACCATTATATAGTATATTTATACTTAATCTGAGACAGTTAACAATATTTTTTTCTTCATTTGAATAAAGTAGCTTATGTTTATAAAATTACTATAATATTACTTCAGCCAAATTAAACAATAATTAGATAATAAAAGCATAAAGTAAAGCATTTCTGCAACAGCCCATCGTTAGCCGGGATGGACATTAAGGATCCCCATTTTTCGACCAACTTCATGATTGTGACAATCTGATCGGCATTGAACACAGGCCGACTATACTTCCCAGACAAGATGTGGGGGCTTCAAGCTGCCACTGGGGAACATTATCTACTTCAAATAATAAAGTTATTTATTTGTAAATTTCAGTTATTTAAATTACTAAATATTTAAAGAGTATTGTATTTCTGTATTTATTCACTTATTACTTTAAATTTTTCTTCGGATATTTTAAAAGTTCTGTTCAGTTTTTCTCATGTAAAAAACAATATCATGAAGTTCAAAATATAATTATATGGTTTCAAATGGGAGAAAAATACCTGTTACTAAATTTTTATGAACTTTCTTATTTCCTTTACATCCACCAAAATTCTGATCTCTTGCTGGAGTTACACCATCTGGACAACACCCATATGGGAATGAAATGCATGGGCAACCTTCATATCCTAAGCCTTTAGCTACAGTTTTTCCATCAGGACAACATCCATAAGGCATTGAAGTACAAGGACATCCTTGGAAATTGGGACCACTTGCTGACATTTGTTTATCTGGGCAGCAACCATAAGGCATAGTCATACAGTGGCATCCATGGTAATTAGGACCATTAGCAGCAGTTTGATTATCAGGACAACAACCATGAAGAAGAGAATAGCATGGACATCCTTCATTATATGGTCCTTTAGCTGCTGTTTTGTGATCAGGACAGCAACCATGAGTCATAGCTTCACAAGGACAATCCTCTACATTTGGCCCTTTAGAAACAGTTTTACCATCTGGGCAACATCCATAAGGAGTCATTTTACATGGACAACCAGCATAACCATGACCTCTTGCAGCTGTAAAACCATCAGGGCAACAACCAAATCGAAGTTTATGACAATCACAGCCTTTGCCATTAGGTCCCATGGCCGGTGTTAAATTGTCTTCACAACAGCCATACAGCATATCTTTACACTCACAACCTTCCATTGCTGGGCCTTTAGCATATGTAAATCCATCTTGACAACAGCCATAAGTTGAATGTTGACACAAACAACCTTCCCCTCTGAAATACAAACTTGAATTGATTATTTATTTCAAGTTCAATTATTTTGACAAAAATCTAAACTTCATTGATAAAAAAATTTTTATAATTGTAATTTGATTTAGGTATTTTATATTGTTTAGAAAGCTACTTATAAAAAAATGAAAGATTATTACATAAATTAAGTAATAATTATTACTTAAAAAATTGTGAGAATCAACATACCTTGGACCTCTAGCAATCGTAACACCATCAGGGCAGCAACCAAAAGGATAAGTGTTACAACTGCAACCAGCATGATGAGGCCCAGTAGAAACAGTAATGTTATCGGGGCAGCATCCAAATGTTGTTGAATGACAGCAGCCATGTCCATTCGGACCAGAAGCAAACGTGATGCCATCTGAGCAGCAACCATAAGTTGATGTGGTGCATGAGGACTTAAAAGTGTCTTCAGTTTCCTTACTTCTCAAACTTGTATCATTAGTTAACAATTTCTTACAGCCTACAAAATTACGTCCCTTAGCAGGAGTAATATTATCAGGACAGCATCCATACAAGGTATTTTGGCAATCATATCCAAAATCTCCACTACCTTCAAAGCAACCTAACATATCAGGGCCTTCAGCTGCTGTTAAACCATCAGGACAACATCCATGAAGGGAATGAATGCATAATCTTGAATCAGATTCTTTATGCTTCTCAAGGCATCCTAGCATATCTTTTCCTAACGCACGAGTAAATCCATCAGGGCAGCAGCCAAACTCAGAATAAGTACAATCTTCACCAGATGAAACATCTAATTCACAGCCTTCATAATCAGATCCAGTAGCTGTTGTGTATCCGTCAGGACAACAGCCAAATAAGGAGGATTTGCAATTCTCCTTTGTACTTGGGCATCCTTCTTTGTTTTCACCTAGAGCAGGAGTTCGACCATCTGGACAACAACCCCAAATAGAATTTTCACAGTTTTCATAGCAATCACTTTTGTCATCAGTTTGAGCTTCTGTTATGCCATCAGGACAGCAACCAAAAATGGATTCAGCGCAACCTACAGCTTTGTGGCATCCTTGTCTAAAAAGGAAGATAAAAAGTTATCAACAATATAGTGTGCGTAACTAATATATATTTTTAGAATCCTTATATAAAGAGAAGTCAATAAAATATACACAAAATAGCTAATATTTCAGAAAGGAAAAAAAAACATTATCACAATCTCACGAATCATTATTGAGATCAATCATAGTAAAAGAATGTTTTAAAGGTTTAAAAAGTTTGATTGTCATATGACACTGAAAAACATTTTTGATTATCACCTTTCAGTTTCATCAAACAATCAACCTGTAGTTTTTAATTAGACCTAAATAATTGGTTTCAATATAGACATGTCAGAGAAAAAATATAACATTTGCTTTATCTATTATGTACTTTTTGGGGGCAAGAATTTGAAAATACTCGTTACAAATGGTGATTATCAACACCAATATTAGTTATGTTCAATATAACAAATATTATAGCACAATATTTTATTATGATTAACTATCTCAAAAATTGTAAATATGTCTATGCATTTTCTATTAATCATGATTAAAAAAATTTTACCCGAATGGTCCAGTTGCATGAGTAATTCCATCCATGCAGCATCCAAATTCTGTTTCATTACATTTTTGCTTAGGAGAAACAAAAGGACAACCTTCATAATTTGGCCCAGCAATAGTCACACCATCTTCACAGCAACCATGCTTAGATTTGTGACAACCACCAACTATCATCACTTCATCTAAAAAACAATGTCAGGGAAATATAATTTTGTCAGAGAAATTAGCAGTCATTGTTTAAAGCAAACCAAGCTAGCAAAATCTTTTACTAATTGCCAAGAAAGTAACATATTCCAATGCTTATTTTATAAATACCTTAATTTACTACAATTTTTTATCACAGTTGCCTGGAAATTAACTCTATATCATTGCATGATTTATATCACTTTGTTGCAGCAAAGACTATCCTGTATTTAAAAAAATTTCATGGGAATAACAATTTTATACATATCAAGGCATTAATACTAATACCAGGAAATGTGTTGCCAGAAAGAGTATATGTCCCTCTCAATACGTAGAAATGTCTAAAAGACCCTCTCAATATTTTAAGACCAATAAAGAAAAGTTTCAAATTATTATCAATTTAAATTCCCTAATGTTAAAAACAAGAGTGAAAAATATATATTTTTTTGCCAGTAAATAAGCACATTTAAGAACATTTTTAACTTATGTGTGTAATTTAAAGAGCTATTGTGATTGTAATGAAATTTAGTCTCCCTCAAAAATTTGGGGTCTGTGATGCCCATGACTAATACCAATAGAAGACTATCAATTTTTCTTTTAACTTGAGAAATACTTTTATAAATTAGTATCCAACATATTGCTACTTAATTAGCAAGCATAAAATAGTACCATAATTAAAAGTAATACCTTCATCACAAGGATGCATGTTACAAACTTGAAAATCAAATGGCTGTTGTTGAATATTGCATTCATCATGAGGCACAGCTTTATTTTCAGACAAACACATCACTTTACGTGTTTGTTGTCCTCCACCGCATGGTACAGAGCACTAAAAAAGAAACTAAATGCAGTAAAACATATCGAAAACCTAAAAATCAAGTCTTGGAAGAAAAAAAATTTTTGCTTTAAGAATCAGTGTTTGAAATTTAAAAAAAAAAAGTTTTATTAAATTTCTTTTTTTCAATTTATTTAAGTAAATTAAATATGAGGATTTATGACATCATACCTATCTGGATGAACCATATCATAAGTGAAAATAAATATTTAATAAAACAATATTCATTTCATACTAACTTATATTTTACTATGAAATGAAATAACAAAGACTTTCCAATCTTATGGCATAAAGTTGAATATCATGCAGATTATTTTAGGCGAATTTGTCTAAAAATGGTCTTAACTATAACCATGTTTCTGTCTAACTAGAAACATATAGCATTATGTGATCAAGTTCATGATAAATTAAATTTTTTTAATAACATGTGTCGACTCAGCACTGGACTAATGTTGCAGCAAATTAGTAAAATATGATAGTTCAGCCATAAAATTGCATAATTACGTTTATGATATTTTAAATTGGTTCATTTGGTTAAAATAAATAACTTGGTTCAAAATGGCACAATATAATGGTTACAAGAAATTTGAACAATAGCATAGTTCAACACAATTTGTAGCAGTTTGGGCCGAATAACCTAATTGTTACTATTTTTTAAGAACTTTTCAATTTTATCTGAGCTAGGTTTGTTAAATAGAAAAAAAAAACTAGCATAACTTGTTTGAAAGAAGCACTTTAATCTGAATAATAATAACTAAGAAAGATAATACATACACATTATACTGCTAATAACAGTGATTTTTAAAGTTTGATACACATTTAGATTTTACAGTGTTTTCACTACAGCGCGAGAACGCGAGAATCTCGCATATTTTTTTCTTTTCTCGCATTAAAAAATTATTACTGCGAGAAATTCGCGCATTCTATAAATCAATTTCAAAATTCGCGAATTTCTCGCATTTTGGAAGAAGCTTCGAATAACGCTATTTAAAATAAAATCCGTTTCACTTTTCTTCCTGGATCTTCCATTATTTTCAACATTTGCTCCGTTATCTAGCTTCCTTATTTACCAGTATTGTTCAGAACCTTTACGAAGAACAACAGAACCCCTTTCAGAACACATTTCTCTGCAACCACGTGTTTACCGTAGGTAAGGTTTTTTCATGTAAGACGTTCAAATATTTTATGCACTAATGTAAGATGGACAAATACCTAGTAGAGGCAAAATCTTCTATGATGATGCAGCAAGAATATTCAATGCTTTAAAAAATAGAAGACGTTAAAAATGTATTATAATAAAAGAAATGATTTTTTTCTTCAAGTCTGTGTTTTTTTAGTTTTTAGAAATCTCACTTAACTTTCTGAAATCTCACCCTGTTTTTGAGAAAGGGTGAGAAATTCTCACCCATTTTTTTTCTATGATGAAAACACTGTACTTACTCATAAAAATAGATTTTTCTTTGAGACTTTGTATATAAATCTATGCAATAATTACTTACTTTACTTAATAGAATAACCCTAAGCCATTTTTAGTTTAAGTATTACTAAAAAGCATTTATCAATCAAATCTTTCTCCAATTCTTAAATTACCTAACATAACATTTTGTCATTACCTAAACAATTTTGAATAACATGCTTAGTTTACAATCAAGTACATTGCTAATTCTATTAATTTATTTATTTTCATATATAAGTACACATTTTATGTACATAAGTTGTAACTTAATTAAAGTTAACAGGCAAGAAAACACTTAATAAAAATAAAAGCTTAAGTAAACATCTGCAATTATATTATTTTATATTAAATATCTAAAATACCATCTATTTACTTTCAAAACTAAGTTACTGACAAAGTGTGAAAATAAAATAGGAAGAATTAAGAAAGTATTTTCCAAGTAGGTGAAACTGCTTTCTTTAATCAAATTTTATAGAACATAAAGAACTCAATACAATAATCAAATGCATGAAATTATGTGATTTATCAATTTAATATTAATCAAATTCTATTCCATAAGTGTTTAATAAAGACTTTAAAAATACATTTTATTTCAGCATAGAGTAAAATATTTAAAGAATGCAATTGTATATTTTTCTGTTCTTGAAAGTTTGATAACAATAAGCAGGCAGCAATTACCAGCAATCATACAAACCAACGGGCCGGGATAGCCTGGTCGGTAGAGCGCTGGGTCCAAGTCCAAGAGGTCGTGGGTTCGATCCTCGCCGGCCGAAGACTCCCCGTGTAGTAAATGGTGACTGATGCACATTAAATCTGTCGAGTCTCAAAGTCCTCCATGTTCCCACAACAAATCAATACCTCNATGTGTCGACTCAGCACTGGACTAATGTTGCAGCAAATTAGTAAAATATGATAGTTCAGCCATAAAATTGCATAATTACGTTTATGATATTTTAAATTGGTTCATTTGGTTAAAATAAATAACTTGGTTCAAAATGGCACAATATAATGGTTACAAGAAATTTGAACAATAGCATAGTTCAACACAATTTGTAGCAGTTTGGGCCGAATAACCTAATTGTTACTATTTTTTAAGAACTTTTCAATTTTATCTGAGCTATGTTTGTTAAATAGAAAAAAAAAACTAACATAACTTGTTTGAAAGAAGCACTTTAATCTGAATAATAATAACTAAGAAAGATAATATATACACATTATACTGCTAATAGCAGTGATTTTTAAAGTTTGATACACATTTAGATTTAGCTATATAAATAAGAAAATTGTCACTTTCTACTTAAAATTAATTTACAATATTTATGCACGCTAATTTACATTGAATATGCAAAGATTATTTATAAAAAATTTTATTGCATACTTGAATTACCAAAGGAAATACTTTAAATATTACCATACCCTAGTCCAAGGTCCTGTAAACCAAGCACCATGACATTTTTTGCCAAAACAATCTTCATGGGCTTGCATTTTTTTTGAATCATGGCAAAAGTGATCTTCAACTTTATGAATTTCTCCACCTTTCCAAGAGCCACAAAACACTGTCCTGGATTTCATACCTTTACCACATTTTGCTGAACACTTAAAGAAAGGGGGGGAAACACATTATTCTTATGCTTATGAAAAATGTACATACTATAAAAATTAAGCTTTCTAATGCAAATACAATAAGTAAATATGTAAAAAAAAAATTAAAAATATAAATTATTACAACTGTAAATGACTTTAAGGTATACTTAGGAAAGACTGCAAAGTGCATGAAAAATACTGTAAAATTAATGCTATTATTCTTAGTTAATTTTTTATTAATTTTACAAATTATTAAAATTATGTGCGTTATTTCAAATTAACACACATAAAATTGGGAACATAAATCGACCAAAACATATTATTTTACTTTGTAAGAGTGGAATATGTATTTATAAAAGTTGTGAAAAATAATTATTGAAAGCAATCTCCTTAACTGTATACTTTAATAGTATGGTAATGTTCAGCTGTTCTATTGATTACTATAAGCCATTAATAAAATTTAGAAGCAAAGCATTAATTAATAATTATTTATTTCAAATTATTTTAAAAGCTCCACATTTAAATTAAACCACAATTCTAAACGAAAAAGTTTCTATGAAAATATTATTCACCAGTTTTTTTTTAACAGTGCATTATTATTAAAAAATAATTAATTCAACAGCCACCCTGATTATTACCAAGAAAGCAATACTTTGGAAGACTTGAAAATAACCACTTGCCACCAGCCATATGGCAAGTCAATAAAAAGAAAAATGTTGCGACTTACGTTAAATAAACAACCAGTCACTTTTTTACATTGTTTTTGTTTGTTTTTTTAAAAATTGTTTGTTGATAAAAGTACATCAAATTTTCATTTAATGTCTCCATTCAAAATTTTAATTCTTCAGAATCTATCGATTTGAGATGGAAAGATTTATGTGGAAGGAGAGTTCTTTAACAATTAACATACGTCAAAAATGCAATGTATACATTAAATGTATTTCGCCACCCCAAATACTTTTAAATAAAATGCTTTAAAGTTATTTTCTCATATATTTATATTATTTTTATTCTTTAATTTCCTTTTTATAGCCATAGATTGTTACTAATGTAAATGTTTTTAAAAATATAATTTAATCCAAGCAAAGAAAAAAAAAGTTTGCAAAAATGGCTATTAAATGGAAAGGTCCCATTGATATCAGTCACAGACTCATTAGGTTTGAGGAAAACGGGACTAATAAACTTTTAGACTGAACTGGCCTTTGTCTACTAGCTGAAAATTAAATTTTTCAGGTCTAGCATGGGGTAGCATTTTTGTGAGAGAGACCTTTAATTCATTTTATAACCAGGGTTGAACATCCAATATTAATGAGATTCGCTACTGTCTCAATGTTTAAATCTTTCAACTTGTAATTTTGAAGCTAAACTAGAAGACTGGTTAAACATAGGGCAAAAATTAACCTTTATGGAGGACTTTTTTAAAGAAACTAAATCATATTTACATTATTCGAAACAAAAAATGTCACATGGTTTTGACTGACAGCAGGGTTCTAACCCATCATGCATTTGTCACTGGGGGCATTTTTTTTGTCATCACTGGCATGGGCAGTGATCACAGCATCACTGTAGCCCAAATTTATTGGTGAATTGACCAGCCATCCCCAGGTTTTAAACCTGGATCACCATAAGCTACCCCAGATCTTGTTGGACCTTAAGGGATTATCCATATAATAAGTTTGCTGATAAAAGAATATTACAAAAATTAAAAATGGGACGAGAAAACCTTATCAAAACATGAACGCTGATGGACATATTTTTTTACGGATCAACTCGGAATCATTTTTCTCTTAATGACCAAAAATGTTGTTTCTAACAAATCAAACATTCATTAACAGAAAAAAGAATATAAGAAATGTACGAAGTATTGGGATATAGAGGAGAAAGGTGGATTTTATGCAATTTTGGAGAAAATATTTTATGTGCATACCCTTATAAAAAGGTACATAGTTCCAACTCTTCAATTAAGTTCTTGTTATGCTATTGGCATGTAAATGCTAAGGATGATGCATTAACCAAACTTAGTATCACTGACCTCTTTTTTTTCAATTATTGTCCAAATTTCTAATTTATGAGTGATTGCCAAATTTATGATCCCTTATTTTTTTTCAACTTTCAAATCGAATATAATTATGATCAATCATATTTTACCTCACTCCATTCAGAGGCATGCCACATATGTTCACAGTGCACATGATTTGGGCACTGTTTTTTCAAAGTAGGCTTATTTTTGCCGATGCACATCTCATCATTATGTATCTTTCCATCTTGACTGGCACAAAATGCTTCTCTAGATTCCATACTCAAACCACAAACACCATCACACTGCAATGCATACAATGTTTAGTATGATAAAATTAATCGTAAAATTCAAAAAGATGCACAACATTTAACTTTTATAAATCATTTACCCCACTCCACTCAGATACAATCCATTCTGTTTCCTCACAAGGTCTTAAGATGCATTGCTTTTGGTCAGCTGGTCTTTCCTCTTGGCAAAATTCTGGATTTATATTTTTCTCCTGCTCACCGATTTTCATCACACAAGATATGTGCCGTTTTTGCAAGCCTTCACCACACAATTTATCACACTATTTGAATTAAAATGCAATAATAATGTCAATAACTAAAGGAATAAATAATATCTGTAATAATATACAAGGTGTTTTTTAATGGCTGCACTTTATATATATTTTACAGAATCTTTCAAAAAATTGATTTAAAAAATATTCACAAAAGCTGTCATAATATGTTAGTTTTGGATAGATAATATAACATGCATTTATAATAGATGTGAATTTCAAAACATAAAGTTAAATGTTAACCTAAAAAATATGAAATGTTAAAAATTTACAATAAAATAAAAAATTAATGATACTAAACTCTTAGTACTTTCTACTTTTACCTCCAGAAGGAATTCATGTACTCTAGTGAATTCAATTTATGTCAGTGATTTCTAAGTAAATTACTCAATTTAAAATATTTTTCTACAGTTCTCTGTAAGTTCTGTTCTCTTTCTTTATACTCCAAAAAGACACTTGATTATGTAATTACATGAATTAGAATTACAAGATTTAGAAACATTTTGCCTTGATTCCTTCTTGGTAGGAACTCTACCAAATGTTGACAAGACATTTGTGGCATCTGTATAAAAGTCTGACTGGTTTTGTAAGTCTAAATGCTGGAGCACTCTGAATACTTCATAAAACAAAAGCTCAATCGGATTAAGATTTGGAGATTATGAGGGCCAACACAAGAAAATGAAATCTAAAACCAATTCTTTCAGTATGGCATGGTGCATTATCCTGCTGAAAAGGTTCACTGGAAGTGGAATAAATCATTAACATTACAGCTAGTAATGATTAACAATATTTAGATATGACTTTTTCTGAGTATCATGTAGAAGAAAAGAAGATACAAAAAACATATTCTCTATTCGCACCACTTTACGCTTCTAGTGGCAATACTAAGACGCTCATTTGCTCATTGTTATCTATTTTTGGTTGAGAACATGAAAATATTTATTAAAATGGATATTGGTGAACATCCTGCAAAATGAAAATTAAGCCTAACATTCTGCTTATTACGATTTGCATGATAATATCTGTTATTCTTGTTCATCAGTTGTACCGGCCATAAGCAAAGGCTTCACGCATGAACCTTAACATAGAAGTATAAAAAATACAAAAGCCCTATAAAACTTCATTGCCGTCAACTCTGGGTAATGTAAGCATTTTTTTTCTTTCTTTTTTTGAAAAAAATAGAGAAACTTACTTTCTGATGTAACTTTACTTTCCAGTCCATAAAAATATACTTCATAATGAATTTTAATCCATTTTCCCCTCAAATATAAAACAATATATTCACGTTTATATACAGGGTGGCCACTCAATTCAGATTTCAAATTTCCCTGATTTTTCCAGGTTTTCCAGATAAAAATCTTAAAATTTCCAGGTTTTTGATTCTTTTTTCTTATAAAATATAGGATGTGTACAAGAAAAGTGTTTATACTATAAAATATTTTATCCAAAATGTTATTATTTTAATATATCATCTTGAAAAAAATAATTTATTTTGACAGTTTGGCAAGATTTTTTATTTATTTTTTAATGTTTTGGTACAAAATTTTGAATCAAAAATCATATATTGATCAACAAAAGAGTAAAATTAAATATTAATATATAATAAGTTCCTAAAAAAACCTTTTTTTTTAAATTAAAATATGTTATAAAAGGTTAAAATGAAACAGAAAAAATTAGCATTAATGCAACAATTGTAATGATTTGTTGACAAATATTGCTGTTAGCGATTGTAAAAAAATGTGTGATTAGTTGGTTTGAATGGGAGTAGAAAAGCTTTCAGAAAAAGAGTGTGAAATAAAATCTATTATTATTAAATTATAACCAACTAATTTTTGGAGAATTTTATAAAGTAAAAAATACAGAAACATTTTGTCAGAATGGAAAAAAAATTACCACCAAAACATCGAACAAACTTGAGCCATAAATGGATTCAGCCCACGGACAGAATTTAAAAACAGAAGCTAATATCCTAATCCCTTTTTCCACCTCCACCAGAATCTTTCCTAAATTGCATAGTCCCATAGCGGTCAAAGGTTTCTACATTTGTTTAGCAACCGTGGGAGAATTTTATGTGGCATTCTAGTTTAACAGAGCTGTAATGGAGCAAATTTTGATAAAATCTAAGTATCACTAAGTTGATGATATTTCAACTGTTTGGCGATATATTTTCGTTTAAAAAAGTGGGTATAATGGATGAAATAATTTAAATAAAAAAAGTTAGTAAATAATTTAAATTAGTGAAATTAAAAAAATTATCAAAGAAAAAATTTCCAGTTTTTCGTTAAAATTCCCTGATTTTTCCAGGTTTTTATCCAAATTTCCCTTATATTTCCAGGTTTTTTCCAGTATAAAAAAAATTCCCTGATAATTCCAGGTTTTCAAGGTTTTCCAGGTGAGTGGCCACCCTGATATAGTTTATTAGATTACAAAAAAAATGGAATAAAAACTATTTGTTATAATAAAATATACTTCATTATATATGCTATATTATAAATATTGATCTATTATAAAATATGTCATTAGTATTGCTGTTATAATACAAAAACTGAATTGTTGCACAAAACAGCCGTAATAAAAATATTTCTATAATAAGATTAAAATGAGAAAAGCTGACTCGGACAGTAAATTTTAAAAATCAAAATGGTACTACAATTTAAAAATCTTCTCACTTCTGACCATGCTCCAACTTTCCATTCTGGACAAGGGTTGTCACTACATGCCCGAGCGTACAAAGGTTTATCTCCTTCTTTGGATAAGCACTCAGAATCAGGTACCACAACTGGCATACCATGGGCAACTCTTTGACAATGAACTTGCCTGTACTGTACACCACCTCCACATGATTTGGAACATTCGTCCCATACTGAAACTTGCCAGCTAAAAATAGTAAGTTGATTGGTTTTCAAAATTTTATTTTAATAGCAAACTAACATAAGTTGATGCAAGTGTACACTGAATATTTCATATTTTTAGTCTATCAGCAATGCATTCTATGATGCTTGGTGCTTCAGCTTCATTTGCTTGGTGCTTCAGCTTGATGCTTCATTTCCACATCTTGTGTGGGACAAGTAAACTTTACATGCTGTTAAGTTTTTCTTGTTATTTCACTTGTTTATTATTTTTTATATAAATTTAAACTTTAAAAACTTAATTTAATGTGTATTTTTAAACAAGATCTGCATTTTTTAAATAGGAATTTGACATTCTGCATTTTTTAAATAGGAAATTTTTTATAGGAATTCGACAAAAGAAAAATATATTTGGAATTAAAACCAAAGGATTTGGGAAGAAAAATTTAAAAAATTAGGACTTAGGCAAGGATTTAGGCCTTTATTTTAAACTTTGCATTGCTCAAAATATTAAATATTTTTTCAAAAATAAAATATCTTGCTTACACAAATTTAAACTAATTAATGCCATCATTAATAGTGTGTTAAAATATTAAAAACTTAATCTAAAAACTGCATTATTAAAGCATCTACTAAGCAATACACTTACATCTTAAGAACTATTAACTAAGTAATGCATTTAAATATTGAAAAAACTTAAATTACAAAATGATACAAGTTCACTGATAAACTTATTTATAAAAGAAACATTACTAATGAACAATTTTATTCACTTACTGAGCAGGGCATGGCTGATGGTTGCATGTTTGATTAATAGGTGGCTTTGTATGAGAATCACACAGATAATCAGCTACAACTTCATAGGAGTTTGATGTCGCACAATTAACCCTTCTGGTTTGTAAGCCTATAAATAGATTATCATGTATTCCACTGATGAACAATTTTAAATCTGAACAATGTTTTCAATGGTATGAGGCTGTTAAAATTAATGGTATGCAAAAATTAGTCTGATTATAAGATTGACGGTCAAACTTTCAGTCCGATCGCAAGATGTTGTGGGTTAAAACTAAACAACTTGAAAATTATTTTAATAGATGACGGACAAAATGCAAATTGCTAAGAATTAATAATGATATATTAAACAATTATCATTCGTTTGATAGACCATTTTTTGTCAACAGCATTTTAAAACGACTAAAAAGTTTTAGTTTCAAATCAAACTACACCCAGTAGTTTTAAAAATTCACACCAAAGTGCTAGCAAATGAATTCTTTTTATTTTCTATCATTTGTTATTGGTTTGCTACCTACTAAGAGCACATTAAATTTTTTGCCTTTTAAGAAGCCAACACGACTTCAATTATAGCTTTATTTTAACCATATTTTCTTAAAATATACAGTAAACGATGCAACTCTAGGCTGGTAAATACACAGCGTATTTCAAAACCAATGCCCTTATAATATATTTTTAAATTCTTATCAAGAATAAGTTTTTAAAAGTATATACATGAGGGGTTGAAACTTAATGAATCTCAACTGAGGAAGGCAGGACTACAAACATTATAACCGGTTTGATAGCCTGATGAAACTTAACTGTGTTTTGAATTATCACCATTCAATACTTCTGTTTCCTTTAGAAATCAAGGTGTTAACGTTGTTAGTCCTGCTTTATTTAGTAATGATAGATGAGATTTTGATTCTGTTTTTGTTTCTTCTTCCCTTAAATTTTAATTTGCTTTCTCTAGCATGAACACTTCTTTGTCTTCATTTTTAAATGTAAAGGGCAGTTATAATAGAATACCCTGTTTGCTTAAAAGTCTAACAAATAGTTAACATATAAAGTGCATTTTATCGAGCATTCATTAACTTTAACTTTTGTTTTCCTGTCTCATAATTCTATTCTTACTTTTAAAAAAATATCCTTAATGAAAATAATGTATGCTATGTAATTCATTTCGTAAACATTTTAAAATTTTTTCTTATACTTAATATTTCGTAGAAAACATAAGATTCTTGCAGAATCTTATGTTTTAAAAATAAAATAAAAAGAATTTAAAATTAGAGAAAAAGTTTTTTGATAATTACATTAAAAAAAAGTTAAAACAATACTGTTTTGATTTTTATCAACTCAATGCAAATTCGGATTATTTCTTTGACTATTTTTATAACAAGAATAAATAGATATGTACTTCTATAAGAAGAGGGGAGAAATGCTTAAGAGGATGATATACAGGGGGGGGGGGAATCCCTTACGGCAAATTCTCTTTTACCTACATAAGTAATTTTAAATTAAAGTGCAGGGGAAGAAAAAATGAATTCAGGTAAATCATGAACTCTTTGCAGAAAAAGTATTTTCAAAATATCAAAATGCAAACAAAATATGGTAGGATTATGCAGTGGAGAAGTATTAACTTAACCTGGATTGACATGATCATAAAATTAAAAGTAAAAAGGATATGTTCTATTTCAAATATATGATATATTTCAAAGTTTTCAGAAAAATGATGGGTTATATTTGACATTTAAGGTTTAATTTGTAAAATTAATAGAAATCTTCCTTATATAAAATAAAATACATACTTAAAAATAATACCTACCACCACCGCACGTACTACTACAAGATCCGAAATTGGAATAGACCCATACATAATTATCAGGTTGAGTATTGCTCACTCCTAAAGGTATTGAATATTCATAGCTAATACCCATATTCTTTTGCTGATACAAAAGCTGAAACAAATGGTATACTCTTAAGTGTTGCACCTCATAAATTTATATATATATCATTTTACAGGAAAGTCTTTAAGTCATTTTAATCTTTTTAAAATTAATTCATTATCTTGAGCTGTGGATGAAAAATGTTTGAAAATATATACTTGGATATATTTTGGAATATGGATATATATGGAAGGATATGTATATATATTTTGGATATATATTTTGGATATGGATATATATTTTGGAATATGGATATATACTTGGATATATATGGAAGGATAAAATTTTATAAGCTTATTGCAATGAAATCTCACAAAATAAAATTTTTCAAGTATGAAATATTACAAAAAAATCTGAATTCTAATTATTGTACTGAAAGATTTCAACACCTCCCCTTACATTTATGAATATACTAATTCCTTATTAAAATATTCTGTTAACCCATTAATTCCCAATCATAAAAAGTGGTAATAAAAAAACTGGAAAAAAAAGAATTATATATGCATTAATACCATGAGTATATTTCTTTCTATTACCTACCCCATTGTGACTTCAGATCCAAATTAATTTATGTTTCATATCGTTAATGTATACTGAATTATCTTATTTTTTTAAAAATAAATCCTAATAATGAAAGACTTGTGCTACCATAATTTTTTTTATTGAAAAAAGCAACATTCTTTTCAAAACAATGGTAGGCACAAATGGATTAATGTTAAATGTAAGAGAATCTCTGAGAGATTGCGAAGTTGTATGTTGGAAAATATTATTCCTATCGTGATAATATTTTATTAATGTGATATTTAATTCATGCTAAATGCTATCCTAGCACCATAATCTCTTAGAGAAAGTTTAAACTTGCATGTACAAAAATACTATGAATTTGCTATCAAAGCAATATTTTATTAACAACATCTAATAATAACAACATCAATGTTAATTAACATCAATGTTCCAAAAGTGTATATTCGCATGTGAAAGTGTGACCCAAGTGATTATCTATTTTTCATAAAGGCTATTTTAAATATTAGTTTTACATGATTTTAAATACGTTATTCCTGTTAACACAACAATGCACAGACTGCAGCCACAGGAACAATTTCATTGCATCCATTAACAGACCGGCAAAGATTTGTACCCAACATATTCAAAGATTTAGTTGCTTTTGAGGCATGCTTCTTAACTAAACTAACATTAAAAATAGTTTCTAAGAGTTGCTACAAATTACTGTTTTCTTGTATCCCATAACTCACTACACTACTTTATAAAAGTAGCATGCGGCACTACAAACTGCGAAAAAAAGTAGCGACTACAGTAGTTTCTCTACTTGTAGTGCGCTCATTCTGACCACTGAGCTCTGATAATATGCTGCTGTAGTTCATTTACGACGCACTAGAGCTGCACAATGGGCTATTGGCGACTGTCTGGGAGGCATCTCTCAGGATGATCCGAAGACATGCCATCAAAATTTTGATCCTCTGCAGAGGGGATGGCACCCCCGCTTCGTTAGCTCGACGACCTGCACGTGAAGTCGAGCACTTTACGGTAGAACAGTTTAACGAGGACCAATACCGCGCACCCTTGATCCCTGCACAGACTGATCCAATTTGTCATCTACCCGCACACTGATAGCAGTCTGTGATTCTTCACAGTCAATCTTGACTTCAGTGACCTGCTGGGAACCGTGTCTTAACGATCAGTCCACTGCGGGACTCTGATAATATGCAGTTGTCTATACTTGATTTTTCAATTTACATTTTTCTACTACTTTGGTAAATCATTTTTGAAAAAAGCATAAGCTGGCAAGTATGCTGTTTCCTCAATGCCTATCACAAGGATAAATATGAATAATTAATTTTTATATTGTCATACATGCCAAAAATCATTATTAAGAATTATTAAAAATCATCATTATTAAGAATTGTTTTTCTATAAAAAAAAATTACTTACAGAAATATATATGGGTTCCGTAGTAGGTCCAGTGGCATGAATATATTCTAATCCAACATACCCTTGAGGTATTCTTTCATAGTAGAAATAAGTACCTGCATATTTCATCTTTCTTGGAAATTCAATTTGCCAATTTCCATTCAAATAGTAATACCCAGAAGAATTTCTAATAGCTAGAAAAATAAGAAAATAATGCTTAACAATAAATGCTTAGCTTCTTCTAAAAAATAAAGGAGAAAATAAAATGATACCCTACATAAATAGTTATTTGTTGGCTGTAATTCCTTGACTTCAATTGATGTAGCTCCAACCGGTATTAATATGATGTCATTGTAACCTGGAATTAAATTAGTTATGTATAAATAATTATCATAAAAACTAATAAAGATTCAAAATAAATATTTAGAAAAATAAAGAAAGTTGATATATTTTTTTGTTCAATTGATAGACATTGTTTTGCCAATTAGCTAAGAAGTTTGAAAAATTAGATATTTGAATGTTTCATCATTCATTCAGTATAAGTTTTAATAAAAAAACTATATGACTTCATTCATTAGCATGAAGTTTTTGTTGTTACAAATAAAAATTGGGAATTAATAAGAGAAATGGGATGCTTAAAATATATAAAGAAAAATTTTACAGATAAAATAATAATTCAATATGCTCTAAGTAAAATTATATAAATAACTATTTTTTAAGAGAGAGAAGAAATTTAGATAATATGTCAGATAATATATTTTATATATTTCTTAATTGAGAGAAATCAAGTTTCTGTTTTTTTTTAAATTAGAAGACAAAAAAAAATCATTAATTGTGAGTATTCCATGTTTTATGACAATAAAACATGCAATGCTCATAAAATAAAATCCAAAGTGTATGAATGAAAGAATATCTTGCTTCAGAAATAATTTTTCGAATATCATTTGTTAATCATTTATCATTATTATTATTATTTAAATGCGGTTTATTTCATAACTATAAAGTTTCAGGACACTTTTAGATTAGAAATTATCAGAAAGTTTAAAACACTACCATATAACACTACCAAACTTTAAAACACTAGCACTTTAAAGCACTACCAAAATTAATATCTTTCTTGTAAATCACTCTCTTAAAAAAATTAAAAATTCTTTCATAGAAGTTTATGAAACAAACATTTCATTATTAAAGTACTAAAACTCTTAATCAACTTATTAACAAATAGAAATTTTAAATTTATGATAATTTTTGTACGAATTGAGAAACTTACCTACTTGTAGGTTTAATTGGTCAAAAATCCCTTGAACAGTTTTACAGTTAGAACCGTCCCCACCACATTCTTGACATTTATCTTCAACAATCTCAGAGCCAAGCATCAAGTCGCATCCAACAGCCTATTACAAAAAGACACATTTTTTATAATTACAAATATAAGAAAAATTAAAAAAATTTCAAGTCTAATTATTTTTCAAAAATAATTTTCACATTAAAAATTATTCAAATATTTTCATTAAATATATATTATTATTATTATTATTATTATATTATTTTTATTATTATATTGTTATTATTATTATCATATTGTTATTATTATTATATTGTTATTATTATTATTATTATTATATTGTTATTATTATTATATTATTGTTATTATTATTATTATATTGTTATTATTATTATTATTACAATAAAATATAATAATATTTCAAGATTTACAACAGATTACTATTGTATTTTATACAGTCTATAGTAATGCAGACACACATTTTGTAAGAGATTTTTTTTATGATAAAAACATGCAATAATAAATTTAAAAGAAAAAACAGTATTTACGAGTTAATTAAATGTTTATAAAGGTTATGAAACATTTCAAAAAGCTTTTAAGAATTATCTCCCAGGAGGGCACCATGCCATCATCATTGCACCTAAGGAATATTTCAAAAATCGAATTCCACGTATCTCTCCATGAATTACACTTTCTTACAGACTGATGATTCAAAACTAGGATTCATTCGAAAATATGATTCTAACTTAGATTTTATCATCTATCAATTTAGTAAAATTGTGGACATGAAGATCTTTTTAACAGTTTCTATAATTTATATATATTTTTTATTAAACGTTTTTTAATAGTAAATGTAAGCATATAAAATATACACTGAATTTTTTCCACTTATTTGATTAACATTTTCTCACCTTGTGATAAATTTTTAACATCACATTTTAAAATTCATGATCAACTCGAGATACTGTTAAATATGGAAGAATCCACATAAAATGGTAATTACAAGTAAATAATATTCTAATGTTCGAAATATCCCATTATACATCAATTACACACAGCATAATTGAAGTTATAATATTAAAAACATTTCTTTAAATATAAACAGTACACTGACTCTACCATGCAAACTCCTTGCACACAAATGTCATTAGAATCTTCTCTACATCTTGTACCATCCACAACTGCTTGGGAATGTCGATAGTAAAATTTATCTCCTCCTTTTGGCATACAATTAAGTTCACATTCATTGAACCCTAAATGTACAAAATGAAAAAGTTACATGACACAATAAAATGCATTAAGGCACAGTTAAAAAGTGACTGACAATTTAAAAAATCAATTAAAGGTATGAGGAAGAGCTAAAAAAAAAATTATGATTAACTGCAATCTGTTTAGGAAACTAATTATTCAACTCACCAAGTTTTTAAATTAGTTATGAAGCTCATCAACAAATGACATTAACGATTAAGTAAGACAAGTTTTTAAAAGTAATTGTTATATGCAGGAACATTGTGGTACAATTTAAGGACCAAATAAAAAAACCTCTTTGCAAATATTTCATTTTGAATCGTCTGGCATGCAGCAGAAAGCAATTTTTTTATAGGTTGTGTTTTAATGTTAAGCTTAAATTATTTTTCCAGCAGCTTCATCTATTGACAAGCATTGTAGATAATTTTAAATTTTAGTGGGATTAAAATATTGTTTCCAGAGCAAAAGGCAGTGAATCATATATTTCTGTTTTGTTCTATTTCCATAAACTTATTTTTGAAGTCAGCCAACCAGGTGGCCGAGTGGTTAGCGTGTCTAACTGCGGAGCCATTGGCCGCTGGTTCGAATCCTGCTCAGGACATGGATGTTTCTTACTCTCTCTGTGTTCTATGTCCTTTCCTCTTTGTGTGAATGTGACCCGCCCTATAAACAGGTTTGTGGTTGTGTCACGTGGGCGACGCTGCTCCACCGCAGTGGCTTCGCCGCAAGTGACCACTGGGTAACGAGAAGAGAGTAGCAGTTCTGGCATTTCTGTGGCCAATGGGACAAACCCCAAGTGCCCGCCATTAAAAAAAATTAATAATAAATTTAGAAGTCATCAATCATATTGGTACACCCAATACATAGGATATCTATACGGTATTGAGGTTAATATATTACAGTCTAGAGGTTGAGGTAGTGATAAAAAATAAATACTAAATACAACCTTCAACTTTTTTCAGTGTTTACTTTTTTGCAATAATAAAAAGATTTTAAAAAATGTGCTTAGTTCTTAAAATTAAAAGTAACTTATTTTTGAATAAGTCACTTTTGATTAAAAATGTTTTTAAAAAAAACTTTTAAAAAAAATTAAAACATTGAATAAAAAATTAGTCTAACTTTTAAAACCAAACACTTTGTTCTTACTGATATTTTCTTCAAAAAATAATATTAGTATCAGTACAAAAATATACAAAAATATTGCAAGCATCAAGATGTTGATGTGAAATTACTTCTCAATCTGCCTTTAAAAAACATCAAATCTGAGTTCAACAAATGTAAATCTCTCTAAAATGTGTTATATATTTTTAAAAAAATAATCATAATTGTAGTGCAGCTATTTTTTATTATCAAACAAAAAATAAGTCTATGTCCAAGAGTTCGTGGGTTCGATCCCCGCTGGCGGAAGACTCCCCGTGTAGTAAATGGTGACTGATGCATGTTAAATCTGTCGAGTCACAAAGTCCTCCAATGCTCCCATACCAAATCAATACCTCTGGGGGTACTCATCAAGAAGTTCCCTTGTCTTCTGGATTGGTTCAAAATTACAAGGCTACAGAGTTGAACACTAGTAGTCGTAAACCCAAAATTGGGTTGGCTGTTCAACAACCATTAAAAAAAATAAATCAGTTAGAATAAATGAATATACACAAATGAAATATAATTATTACCTTTCTTGTAAGGAATCCAGGTAAAATATTTTCCACCAAATGGTATGGAATCAAATTTCGCACACTGTTCTTCACGAAAATCACGAGATCCCTCTGGGCAATCCTACAGTCAAAATTTTATTTCAGAATCAAAACAATCACAATCATTTTTAAGAGAAAAAAATTTCCTTACAAAAAAATTAAGAATTGGGGAGCTTCCTTAAAAAAAAACTCATACCTTTACTGCTAAACTGCCTTTTAATTTTATAATTTAAGTAAAGGTTCCGATTCCATTTCTTAATACTAATAATTTTTATTCACTGATGATTGTTAGTTCTCAACTCTTTTATTAGGTATTATTAATTGTGAAGTCTGTCAAAGCATATTTCAACGAATTTATTAATACTTGCTTCTGAAGGTCATATATCAATTACAAAAATAATACGTTATTGAACTATCGATGTAGAGTTGCATCTTTGCGGTTCCGGTAAAAGAAAGTAAATAAGATAATACGTACTTTTAATTTTAATAAGTTATCCATTCTTTTCATTTAAAATGTGTATTTTGTTAGCTTATTTGAAAACCCCGCTTTAAAAACACTATGAGAGTAAAAAAAATGAGTATCATACCAACTTCATCAATTGTATTTATCAAAAAAATGTCTGATTCTTCTATGTTATACTGATATTTCAAAAACCTATATTCCCAACTGACATTTATCAGTTATTGTTTTACTTATAATTAAAATAATAGCTAACAGAATAAAATACCCACGAAGTTTAAATGCAATTAGGTAATAAACTATTTCTTTTTACTATTTTTTTCATTATTTTTAGTGAAATAAATGAAAATGGGACACTATTCATATCTGAACAGTTTATAAATATCGTTCCTTACGAATTTAGAAACTGTGATAAGCTATTAAAACGTTCGTCTTTAACGATATTATTTAGATCTAGTTTAGTTCCAGTACTTAGATACTAATAATATTATAACTAATCAAACTTAGTTGGAGAACATAGTTACCTGAATATTGCATGAAATAAATCTCTTGGTGGGTCCTTTGCAAGCTTCAGTTCCATCATGACTTTTGCAGAAACAGAGAAAAAAATATGCAATTAACAATCATCAAAAATATAAAGTAAAGATAATTTATACCACTTATTCTTTTTAAGTAATTAAACGATAAACTAAACTTATATTCAAACATCACAAAATTCTTAGTTATTATTAAGCAAAAAGTATCAGCAGAATACAAAAGTTCAGAAGAAACTGCATAAGTAATGAAGTTAAATGCTTTGAATCATTAGTCAAAACCTTGGCCACCAGAGATCTTTGCTAGCCATAGTCAAAACCGTGTGATGTTTAACAAATCATCAAGTTTGCAAGCATTACATACCTTTCGGATGGAAAAGCTTTTTTCGTCCTTCGTTGCCTCAAATGCAAAAAACGCTGTATTATTTAGTTTAAATTTAACTTAAGAAAATTAGTCATGAAAAAAAAAATTTTTAAAAATATTGATCATTTGAAAGTCCTTTAAAGCAACCGTAAATTTCAAAATACATGAATACAGTAAAAATTTCGCGCTTTTAACGTGCTTCCAAAAATTAAGCACAGAGAGAAAAATGTTAAATCCTAGAAGCCAATTAGAATCGGAGAAACTGTAACTTATTCCAGAGGTACTAGAAAGAAGTAAACAAATATGTTATCTCAGCGGTTCCTAAAAGCTGTTCCGTGGAACCCTAGTGTTCTGGGGTAGAAAGACAGGGATTCTGACAGTTAGGATATCTTTAACCAATTATAATAATACTTATATTCAAACAATAATTCATAATTTATTTTATATTTCGCTTGTTTATATAAACTTCATTATGTAAAATGTGAAGGGGGAAAAAAGTAGCAAAATTTACAATATAAAAATTTCATTTACCCAGCTTTTCAATACAAAATGAATAACTAAATTCAAGAAAGAAATGCAATTTTTGGATAACAATTTTCATCGTTTATAACAGTTCTTTTATAAAAACCATAATTCAGCTTGATTTATTTTCAGCATATGCATAACACCAAGAAAAAATTCAAAATATTAAATATTTCATTCCTCATATTAAATTGTTTCACAATAGTTGTCATTTTTTTTTAAACGTTAATATACACAGTTGAATAACTAATGAACTTTTTTTTATAACTCCGGAGATTCCGCCTTAAGAAGCTCAATCATATGCTCAATCATTTAGGGTTCCCCGCTGTCTCAGATAACAGCCAGTCACTGTTTCACGTCAAAAAATATGCAGATTAAGCTGGCTTTGTGGAGGAACACAGAAGATGCATTTAAGTGCAGATAAAAGGTGTTTAAAGCATCTTTTAATCGTTCTTTTTTCTTTCTAATTAAACTTCTTTCCATGGCTTCCAGAAGACGAATGAAAGATTCCGAGCGTGCTGGCGTGCAGTCGGAGTCATTTAATCAGGACAGTCTATGACAAATGTTGCTATTTTCTTCGGCGTGCATCATTCCTTTACGATTAAGGGGGAAAAATCCAAACCAGTCAAATATTTATGCGAAGAACTGCGGCTGATATTTAAAGTTTACGATATCCCTGGGAGATCGATTTATCGCTGCTGTAGCCAAGAGGAATCGAAGAGCGACCTCCACAAGTGTGACTTCGATGGTAACAGCTGCCATTGGTGAGGCGATATCTGTCACTACTGTTTGCCGAAGGCAACATGTGAAAGGACTGTACCCCTGGGGACCACGAGTTGGTATTCCTTCTCCTTCCAATCCAGAGGCGCTAGGGCCGCGATGACCTGGTTGGTAGGGCACTGGGCCCATGTTCAAGAGGTAGTGGGTTCGATCCCAGGCTGGCCGAAGACTCCCCGTGTGGTAAATGGTGTCTGATCTACGTTAAATCTGTCGAGTCACAAAGTCCTCCATGTTCCCATAACAAATCATACCTCTGGGGGTACTGATCCAGGAGTTTCCTTGTCTTCTGGATTGGTTCAAAATTACAAGGTTACGGAGTTAAACATTCGTAATCGTAAACCTAAAATTGGGTCGGCTGTTCAACGACGGTTATAAAATAAAAAATAAAATCCGGAGGCGCTGGAAGTGTGGTGTTTCAGGGGATAGAGCGCTCGCCTCCCAATGAGATGAACCGAGTTCGAATCCCGGCGATAGCTGGTCGTTACGAATTCCGCATCCGGCTCTCATTGACCACAGTACTGAGTGAAATATTCTCAGTGGTAGACGGATCATGGGTTATAATCCTCTTGCCGTCAGGCTAACCGTTGGAAGTTCTCGTGGTTTTCCGCTCCATGTAACGCAAATGCGAGTTAGTTCCATCAATAAGTCATCCACGAAAGCAATTTTCTCCCAATATTGATCCAGCAGTTCCCCTGTCTTATGGATTGGGTTCAAAAGCACAAGGCTATGTCGTTGAACCTTAGCAGTCGTAAACAGTAAATTGGAATATCTGTTCAATGACGGTGATAAAAGAAAATCCAGAAGGGCCCGATTAAAGTGATGTTGTGAGCATGTAATTAGGACTGTATCTGATTGGAGCAACGTAATGTTCTCGGAGTCTACTAGATTTGACTTGCAACCCGATGACAAGCGTTTAAGGGTCTGGAGGGAACGAATCACGCATAGCAGGTCATAGAACAGCACCGAATATCACGCATTTCGCAATGGAAGCATCATAGCCTGAGCAAGAATTTCAATAGCATATCGCACTTACTACAAACGACGGCTGTCCGGTGTCAGGATGAAATCCTAAACTCTATTGTGAAACTGTACGCTGCAGCAGTTAAGTCCTTATATCGTTCTAATGGACGACAACGCAAGTCTTCATAGAGCTGCCAATGTCGACAACAATTTGAAGAGTGAAGGGATATGCGCGTATCACTTCCTCACTGGATCTTAATCAAATTGAAATTCTTTGGGATGCTTTTGGCCGAGCTGTTTGCTGTTGCCGAGCCTGCAGCCACCTCTCAGACTTTGAGACTACTCTAAAAGAGGAATAGCGATCTCTGGATTCTGAGGTGGTTGATCACCTAGTAACAAGCATGATCACACGCTGTAAAACTTGTGTGGAAATGAGAGATGCTTACATAGCATAACTAATGCGTTTTTTCTTCCACTTTTTAAATTTTAAACATAGTTTTGTGAATTCAATATTTTTTTTTATCATTGTAAGTTATTCTTTGCTTTGCTTCACGAATAAACATATTTGCCACTTTCCTATATCATTTTTGTCAATCAACATAGTACTTGTCTTTCTTTCGCATTTTACTGCGCTCTGCTCAACTTTTAGAAGTGAGTGTACATGTTAATCGTTCATTACTTTTAAATGTAGTGGTTTTTAATATCATAAGTGGTAAAAAAATTTCCTATTTAAACAAGGACAAAGGATCAGTAAAAAAAAATTTACTTTGTCACAGAACACGTCCTAGTCTGGAAAGCTACTCCTCCACCACACGTCCTAGAACAATCGCTTATATCACTCCATTCTTTCCAATGTCCCTCATCGTCTGCACTGGAATGTAAACCCACGGCTATGCTGCTGTTTGGAAACTTGTGATGTGTAACGTGTCGTTTACTATGTCGAATCTGTGAAATCAAATAATAACAACACATTTATAAAATACAAATAAAAGAAGCTAATGTCAAGAAAAACGTCATTTGATACATAACAATACAAAATTTATAATTTAGATGTTCAGTTTCAATAACACCATAAACCCTTTTTTTTTTCAGTTTCATTCCTTGTGTTTAGAGGACTCTCTTAGGAATGGACCCTTAAAACTCTCTTCTCTTTATACCTCTTCGAGTAATTTCGATTAAAAAAAAATTTAAAAGAACTCTTTTTTTTTAATTCTTTAAAAGGTTCGAATAAAAGTTAAACTTTTTGTTTTGTTTTATATTTGTTCAAAAAAACGCTTAACAAATTCTGAAAAAAATTATTAATTTGTATAGAAATGTAGCGAACCCAAATAATAATAAATAAATAAACAGTAAAAAAAAGCAGTTACGGTTTCATTTTTATTTACTTACAATAAAACAAGAAATACTCTAATATCAAGTGTTTAATAACCACCACTTTTAACCAATATATTTTTTAAGAAACCTTGCAATACTTGAAATTATATCTCAAGACATTAATGATTACTAATTAATAACCAAATCAAAAAATTTTATCAAACACTGAGAAATTATTATCGAGGTCAATCATCATGAAATATAAATTAAAAGCATTAAAAATCGTTGGATTACCCGATAAAATTGAAAGGGATATCTAACGATTACCGATTACGACTTCTACAGATTTCATCAGACAAGCAATCTGGTTTCGGGGTTTTTAAACCCTATCTTCTCTAATTGATCTTAACACTGACTTGCTCTTTTTTCTCACAACACTTAATTGAAAATTTTTCTTCCTCCTAATATGTATAGATTTTTCTTTCTTTTATTTTTGATAACTATTCTAAAACTATACATTATGGGCGATGATTACCGAAAATTCTTAATGCAAAATTTTTTGACGAGGTTTTAAAACGGAAATTACCTTAAAACAATCATATGGCCCGGTTCTTGACAAAAACACCAAAACCTTTCTCTTATCTTTTAAGTTCTCAGTGACATGAAATATTCTTATTTTTACTTTTTTATTTATTTATTTTTTTTTTATTTCATTACTTATTTATTTTTATTTATTCATTATTTTATTTTGTTTTTTTAAATGTGCTAAACTGTATTGAGCTAAACTCCACAATTATTCTCACTTACAAGGCATAAAATTGTTTTTACATATTAAAGCAAATAGATATTAATCAGATAATAATACTGTTTATATACAAACATAATTATAGAATATTTTTTTCAAATTCAAAGGAATTTGTTTTCGGTAAGGCAATACACGAAAAAAATTTATAATAATTTTTCTATGTATATACGACATACCTTGATAAAAGTAAACATCATCATAAAAAAGGTGAGTTGGAAATTACCAAACGACTGATTATAATCACAACATACCTTTCGGCATTCGATCAGATGAAAATTTTCGAAACCACACACCTAGAACTTCACACTGATGTGATATGACAACGCCCAAAACCACGCGTTTGACAGCATTATGACACAAGCATAATCGTGCGCATTCTTTCTTACGGAAAAGTTCCCCCAAATGTAGCCCCTACATTTGATAAAAAGTATTAAAAAACTGCATTTATTAAAGCACAGTGTGATGGTAGGAGATAACGTACAGCTGGTTGGATCGTAAACATGACGGCAACAGTGATTACGTTGGAAGCAGTGATTGCCAAGCACTCCAAGTGAATCAAAATTGACCATGTGTTAACTTGGTCTTGATTGTTATACAATATAAAACCGAGTTGCAAGAGATGAAATCCTGAAAAGATATTTCATGAATTTAAATTAAAGTAATTGAAGCTGTGTGTAATGTTTGTTTTATAGTCCAAAATTTTTTTGTGCCATTTCATTAAAATCATTATTTACATCACCGAGCTTGGTTACATATGCTATACAATACTGTTGCTGTACAATATATAATGTATTGTTTAGGGTAAAAATACCTAATGTATTGAAAATGGTAGTAGTCTGGAATGATCAAACCATACTTTAGTCTCGCGAGTATTTTGATTTCATTTATCAAATACAATATAAAGTAAAGCCGTCGCGCAACAACCCATTGCTGGCCAGGGGGCCATGAAGGTTCAGAATTTTGTGAGCAATAACATGATGGTGGCAATATGGTCAATATTACGTACCGGTCGTTTTTGAGTTTCAGACTAGTTCGGTCGATCAGAAGCTGGATGGGATTCAAACCACGGCCGGGAATGGAACCATAGGCCTTTGCAATGACCCAGTGTCTTAACCACAATGCCATTGGATTTTAAATACAGTAAACTTTCCTCTAAAACTTTCATTCTTAGCAAAGCACCTAAAAAGGTGTTTTTATCCCAGTTACCCTCCAAGGTTTGATACAGAAATAAATGAAAGCAGCTTTACGAACAACAGCTATATGAATATTACAAGTATCAAATTTAGCATGTTTTCTTCTAAAAAATTAAAATAAATAAATAATACTAAATACGAAGGTATATTGAAATTAATGAGCGGTAATGTAATATTGAACAGAAGATGATAGAAAATTACTTTATTAAAAACCATTATCATTCTTATCAAAGCTTATAATCAAAGAGATCCGTCATCTTGCCTTTTTATTATTCTCTCCAAATGCATCCTACAGCACCTGCCTGATTCTTAATCGACAGGTTGTATGCACACCACGAGAGATCTTATCGTATTTAATGAACATAACTTGCGTGAAAAGGTGTGAAGCATTATTTTTTATTTACTTGATCGTGCAGTACAGAAATCGGTGGAAAGATATTATCAGATAAAGTGCAGGCTAATGAATTCTATTTGAAAACAGGAAGAATTTATCAAGAGAGCGTTAAAAAGGGTTGATGAGTTTTCATTAGAAAATAATGTACATGAAATTAGAATACTTCTTCCCCCCACCCAAATGCATGTTTTAATCTAAGTTTAAATGCAAGTCCTAAATCGAAATTAAACGAATTCAAACCATGCAGATTAATTGGGATTAACCTTAATCCGAATATTTACAAATTTGATTGTTCAGTAGAGATTTAAAATAAAATTAAAAAATAAATAAAATTAAAAATAGAAGGAAAAAAAAAACAGAAAACAAAGGGAGAGAGAGATTCTCTTTTTCTCTTAAAAGCGAAATATTCTTACAGTGCATTTATTTCATGACTACAAAAATAAGATATAAACAGAAACCAACACAAAGTTTTTTGCGACCTCCGCGACAGGACCCGCGACTCCAATTGGGGTTGAGTCCCAGATTCTAAGAAACTCTGGATTTAACAATATTCATTTAAGTAATATTTTTGTCACGTACTAATTAAAAATATTTGTTTAGATAATTTTTATAAGATCGAAAACTTCATTTCTTCTTTTGACCTTAAAGAATAACTTTCCCCGACTCCGACTCCTGCAAAATTTTCCTCGACTCCGACTCCACAGTCCTGGAAAGGAATATAAAAATGCACTTTTAAACAATATACTTCCTGTAGAGCAGAGCACACCATTTCTTCCCCCTCACCTGCCACCTCTTGAAGCAATGAAGAAGAATTCTTCTAATTGCCCCTGATCTTAATTGAAATAAAAACAGAGTTACAATTGACACATACTGAGGTAATTACTCAGGCACTTTCTCATTATCTAGATCACAATCTCTCATCAACTTCGTGACCTGATCTCACATAAATGTCATCTGCAAGAGCTATCACTTTCCAAGACCTTGACACTACTTAAAAGAAGAAAAACACGTGCCCGTGTCGAGTACAACGAACTAATTGTCTCCTTTACAGAAAGAAACTTTCTTTTTTTTTTATGTATAGATGGGGATTTATAAATCACGGATGTTGGATTGAATGTTGATGTATGGGGAAATAATGGATCGTAAGACGTGGCCTAATCCTTCTGAGAATACATTAAGATCATTGTCAATTATTGTCGGAGGCTTTGATTCTATTTTCTTCTTCTTTTGCAATCCTAACCCTCAATGTTTCATAAGCTTCAGGAAACATTGTGATGGCATTCTTATTTAAAAAATATTTTTTAAAAAAAGATATTACTTTATATTTGTATTAAATATAATTTACAAATAAAAAAAAAATCTTTTTTTTCCCTCCCTTTTTTTAAAAAAAATATAGTCTTGTATTTATGTCTGTATAGCGTGCACACCCACAAACCCCTCGGACGAACTATACGTATTGCACGAACTACAACATCCTTTTTGGTTTTTACACAAATTCTGAATTACATAAGAAAAATAACGCAGAGTGCATTAGCGTTTTCTACGCGCAAGTCCACAGATGGATTTAAAGCTGCACGTTCGATTTATATAGAATGGCTCTTCAAAGACAGGCATAAAATAAGATAAGATCAATCTTACTTATGAAGGCACATAATGTGAATATAATAATCAGTATAAAAGAGAAAAATGAAATCAGGTTATTGGTGGAAGATTTGCAGAGCACTTTGCTGGACTCACTTTTTTGTTTCTACGCATACCAAAAGATGGCAGCACCAAAATTTTATTTAAAAACCTAGTTTACATAAAGTTTGTATTTTGACTTTTGCATGAATATTTTAAACTTAAAATTAACGCGTGTGACAATATTTTTATGCCTATTTACAAAGCGATTTTTTCGAAATATAATAGATTCCACTCTCGAAAGACATAGTTATGAAATGGCAGGAAGAACCATCGTTTGGGACCATCTTTTTTTTTTTTTTAATCTATTTATATTATCTTTTAATTTTATCCGTTTGTTGCGTCGAGCAAAATTTACGAAGATACTTAGTAAAATTATTTTCAATATTTGTTTCATTTCTTAATGTACACAATGATATTTATCATTTCTTAAATTCTTTAAAAATATATATAAGAAATATTTAAATACTTTTTTTTAAGAAATTAGTCCTTCCTCCGTTTACGTGTTTAACTAAAATGTGAACAAAAACACTATACATAACAAAAACATTTATCTCCCATTTATGTCCTTCCAGTCGTTTTTCTTTTCTTTTGTTTCTTTTTTTTTTTTNTTTTTTTTTTTTTTTTTTTTTTTTTTTTTTTTTTTTTTTTACCGCATTTACCCAGTTGCAATAATTACTTTTACAAAGTTGTACATGCTTGTGATTAAAAATCACAATTATGATATTTTTAAAAATCATAAACAAAATATATATTATCATGGAAATAGGATCTCAGTATACAAAGAAATTACCTATTTCTTCTATACAAATCTTTATTAACTTTATTTATTTTACAAATTGAGAAAAACACAGCTCTTCTAAAACAAAAATATAAAACTATAAAATCTCTAACTCTACATCTACACAGGTATATACAGATATATAGTAGTTGTAACATGCATATGCTAGCCTACTTTAAAGTTAATAATTTTTACTATCAAAACGCAGCAATAGGAATCCTATAGGCTATAATGTAATGTTGGATGAAAACAAAAGAAAATTGAATAAAAACACTTACATTTGCCTCCGTAAAATGAAGTAGAAGTATAACGAATACGTTTAACAGCAGCTGCCTGTAAAAATAAATAGAACTTATTAGGATTAAAAAATAAAAACCAAAATTCTTATAGTTAAGATATTTTCAAATAACAATGCATGAATTGGGTACATGCACTTCAGAAAGGAGATGATCACAAAATCCACACAAGTTACATATGACATCAGCTCCAGCTAATCGTTTATAAACAAAATAGCGTTCTAAAGCTTAGCGATTCTCAACATCAATTAGAATGTTAATTAACGTGAAGTTAAATACAGCGCCATACCGCACATTGAATTTGTTGAAATATAATTTTTTCTCATCTACGTCTTTACTTATCATAAACTTATTATTTGTTTATATATTTTACATTAACCATGATTTGTTTATATATTTTAAATTATATTCACCGTTTTGTGTACCTGGCAATTTTGATGAATAATTGGTTTATGTTCCACGTGGCTTCGTGCCTGTCTTCGTGTTAAGTAAGAAATATATAGTGAAAGAATAGAAATATATTTGCGAAAGAATCATTATGAAAGAATATAGAATGTGTCACTTAAGAATTGATACTTGACGGGATTGGTTTATTAGAAATGGAAGGGAAGGAATAGTTGCTAACGTAAACAAATACCAGGTTTCAACAACCAATCAGAATCGAGATACCCACAGGTATCCCATTGTAAACTGTATCAAAATATACAAAAATGGTGTTATTTTCGAACGAAACAAAGCTTTCAGCTTACTATTTCAGATTCATTATCCATCCAAAATTTACGCCAAAGAGTCAATCTTTAAGAGAGTTATTTATTTATTTATTATATGAGAGTTTTTCTGAGAAGAATAATATTTTTTTTCTCATTATCAACATGTAAAATAATATGGGACAGAAAAAAAAACGAGATAAGTTCCTAAAAAGTATTATTATAATATTGTGCTTAAGGAAATAAATAGCCAAAATAGTCGAGAACACTCAAAAGATAGCAACTGATTCATTTTAATTATTGATTGTTTCTAATATTTTTAGTTCAATTCGCATTTAACTAGCTGATTAAATACATGAAATATTATGAATGATAATAGAGTGAAAATTAAATCGTAAAATATTTTCATTGAACCATGTCACACTTTGCTTCGTAAACACAACAAGCAGGACGGATACACCGAAAATTTTCTGAATTTCTTCTGATTTTAGAAACCTTGCTATTGTTTACACTCATTTAACTTTCCAATACAAAATAAAAAATTAATTAAATCATAATTTAAATTACTAAATTAAATAATATTAAGTATTCTTATTGCATTCTGAACCAGTTTGATCATAAATTTTTTAACATCACCTTTAATTTTTTAACATACTTTGTTATCATCTTTAACACCTTTTTTTTAACATCAAACGTCACTCATGAAATATATTATTACATATAACTATAATTTAACATTTTAAAACATTAGTTATAAAATGTAAAGTTATTTAGTAATACACTTTAATTCAACATTGTAATATTCAAAGTTCTATAGTAATATACTGTAATTCAACATTGTAATATTCAAAGTTAGATATAGTAATATACTTAAATTCAACATTGTAATATACTTTAACATTGTAATATTCAAAGTTATAAAGTAAAATTTTATAGTATTAGTTATATGGTAAAGTCGTATCGTACAAAAATATTAGTAGCATATATCATTCATTTAATATTAATAAGAGATATAAACATTTCAACATGTCACCACCTTAATTTTTACAAATTTTAATTTGCAAATACATTACGGTTGACATTATTTAACTTAAATTTTGTGACTGTCTAATAATAAAAATTAACAATTTATTGAAATTGCAGCAATTTTTCTCCTTATTATAATTTAAAGTACCGATATTATGGTTTAAAACTGAACCGATTTTTCTAAGAGTAAAGGCGAATTTAAAAATTGCCCAATCGCATTAACTCATAAATGACTTTAAAAATAACGAATGAAAACTTCTTTTCTTTTATTTCGAATGGCACGAATGAAAACTTATTAAATAAAATTAACATACAGTAATCATTTATCAAAAATATTCATTACGATCAACTCGCTTAATTTTTTTAACACCAAGCATTTATTAACAAAACTAGAAATGCAAATCACTAATTATCAGCACTATCAGTGATTATCAACATTACAATTAATTATTGGCGTTTTCATTAGTTATCAACAGTGTCATTAATTAACTAAATCTGACAATTTCATACAAATACATAAAATTTGCTTAAAAATTTTTATTTCCTGGTTTGTTAATTTGTTTATTTAAATTCATCTTTTTTTTTAACTTTAATACGATTTTAAAACATTTAAAAATTCCAAGCATGTATTAAAACATTCATTAGATTTCAAGATAATATTTCAAAAAGTTATATGCTTAATGAACCTTTCACCAAATGTCCTCGAATATTACAAATGATTAATTTAGCGCAAATGAACAGAAGAAAATTGTGCATTGTTTGAAGGTTAGAAAAATTAAATTAGAAACATTATAAGCAAAACTCAATTATTTCGCTACCATTATTGCATTAAAATAACAAATAATAAGCGACTTTTAATTAAATATTTGCATAACATAAAAAGGAGCTAAACTAAGAAGAAATTAACTAAAATCTCAAGATTCAGTTATATACGAATCAACCTTAAAAAACTTGACCTTTTTGCACCATAATTAAATGTAAGTTTCCCACTAAAATTCGTTTCTTATTTTTAAACCAACATACTTCTAAAAATACATATACACGTATACGAAATTGTACACCAATTATACACGAAAGATTTCAAGATTCGATAGAATCGATATTCATTTTCTTTCACAAGCATAAAAATAGTAATGCGTAACCTAAATCTTTATAACCTTCTGAGACTAGAGCTATAAATAATGGAATAAAATATGGTTCTTGTTGAGAAATATGTAGCTTAGAAGAAAGTAAAATAATTAATTACGTAAAAAAACTATTAATTCATGTTAATTAAAGATTTTTAATTATATATGATTATATTTCTCTTACGTGGCGCCATAAACTCAGCTATTTTTTTATCTATTGGCAACACGATAGTTATCATATTATTTATTAGTTGTCTTAAGTAATAATTTATGTAGTATTAAAAAATTAGTTATATATTAAGTTGTTTATAATAATTACGTATTTTTCTAGAAATAAAAGCGTAGTTAAAAAGTAATTATTCAGATTTGATTTTGATTCTTTCTTAAATGACAGTAGAAATTTCAGCAGATTTTGCAGATTTACTTAGTAAATTCTGTTATACATTGCATAGATATTGGACGCTGGGTTCGAGGAGGTTAAATCCTAACTTTATTATTGGATATACTTCTATTGGATATACTAACTTTATTATTGGATAAAACTCTATTTATTTTAAAGGTATAAGAAATCCATAACACGGTGCAAATTTACAACAACTTAGTAAGGTATTAATCGAACCAAATTTACGTTTAAGTTGAACCATATTGTAAAATCAGTTTAAGTAATACGATAACATTGCACCATATTAAGGTTACAACAATTTGAACGATATTAATGGTCATATTGTAAAATCAGTTTAAGAAATACGATAACATTGCACCATATTAAGGTTACAACAATTTGAACGATTTTAATGGTCATATTGTAAAATCAGTTTAAGAAATACGATAACATTGCACCATATTAAGGTTACAACAATTTGAACGATATTAATGGTCATAATGTAAAATCAGTTTAAGAAATACGATAACATTGCACCATATTAAGGTTACAATAATTTAAACGATATTAATGGTGCAATACGCTCTAAAAATTCTAACAATTTACGCAATTAGTTGATATGCGTACACAGTAAACTGCATTCCATATATGGAAACAACAGCGATATAACAATATCATTAAAAGAAAATAATTTTCTCTAAAGATTAACGTCACTAAGTAACAAATCAATTTGCTTAAACTTTCCTGTTCGTAAATCGATTAATATTTTTTTAGTGTACACAAAAGAGTTAGCAATAAAAGGAAAATATCACAAAAAATATGGAGTTCAAATAGAATATGATTGCGACATACTAAAAGACACTCCAAGGACGACTAAGAATGAAAGTGAATCAAAAAGCCGGGTTAATATACTGTTATAATCATTTTTGAAGATTTAATGGTAACAAATAGCGATGCCAATTAGTTTGGTTAATTGCATTTCTAATAAAGAAGCTGACAAAAGATGACAAATGATTAGGAATAAAAAATAAAAACATCACCTCATCCACTCTATGTTATAGTTTGTTTTCACTCTTTGTTATTGTTTATAGTTATATAGATACTCTTTGTTATTATTTATAGTTATATAGATACTCTTTGCTATTGTTTATAGTTACATAGATACCATTTGTTATTGTTTATAGTTATATAGATACTCTTTGTTATTGTTTATAGTTATATAGATACTCTTTGCTATTGTTTATAGTTACACAGATACCCTTTGTTATTGTTTATAGTTATATAGATACTCTTTGTTATTGTTTATAGTTATATAGATACCCTTTGTTATTGTTTATAGTTCATCAAACGAATGTAAACGATACGTAAGTTTAAATAATGCGATAACAAACCTGTTAAAAATTAATTTGGGGTGGAACGTTACTGTTTTTTTTCTTAAATTCTTTTAAGGTACATAATTTTTAATTTTTTATGCAGCTGAAAAACTGCTTAACAAAACGAAGTTAAATATAAATACGAAATATTTACATCATTAAAAAGTGTTGCTGTAAACGTTTACAATCAGGTGACCCTCCTTTTTTTTCAAATTGAAAAAAAACAAACAATATATATGGAAATAAACCAAGAACCAATTGCATAACGGTAAACAAAAGTTGCAGTAGCACTAAGGGGACATCAATGGATCAGTTTCCATTGATGGATCCAGATTGAAAAAGAAAAAAAAGAAAAAGAAAAAAACAATATACATATGGAAATAAACTAAGAACTAATCGCATAAAGGTAAACAAAAGTTGCA